TCATCATTTGGAGGCGTTGATCTACCCTGCTCCTCTGGTCTTATCTTCCGCCTCCTCCCGTTGCTCTTAGGACCCGGCTTTCTTATTGGGTCCGCCTGCATTTTGCTCGCGCTGCTTCCCAGAGTCTGCCAGCAGCGCCTTCAACCGCAGACTGAATGAATCCCCCATTGTGCCATGGACCGTTTCGGCCTGCTTTGGAGGTGCGAAACAGCTCGGTCATGCGTTATCCATATTCAGCAGCCTCCAGTTCCTCAACTTCATCAACATCATCAGAAACCTCGGCAGATCCCAGCTCGCCCATAAGAGCCGTGTCGCCATTCGACTCGCACGACCCCCTTCGCCTTAGCCCGATCTCTCCTATCAAGCCACAACTTCACTCCTCCCGATCTCCTGCGCCCTTCCACGATACCGGCTCCAGTCGGCTCAAACGTCGAGCCTCGCAAGGATCAATCCTCACCAAGCCTTCGCCTGTCTCCCGTTTCCTTTCGCGCAGCAACGCGTCTCTTCACCTCCCATCGTTCGAAGAACTGGGTCTCTCTTCCAAATTCTCCCGCTCCGACTCTCAGTCCTCCCCTTCGCAATCCCGTCTTCGTCTTTCCACTGGTCCGACTGCCTCCTCTAGTTCGCTGGCGACTCGAGCAGCGCAGTCTTCCTCTACTGGGTGGGATTCGTCGGCCAAAAGTGACTACCTCTCTGCTCTGCCACCTACTCCCCCTGATGACAACGATCATATCGCTTGGAATCCCACCTCCGATATGTTGCTCTTTGAGTCGCATGTGACCCGAGATCATGGTCCCACCATGGTCATGGACGAGGGTCCCAACATCGGCAATTCTCCAGCTCGGACTGACGGCCTAAGTAGCCCCTCCGACCAGCTGTCCAACGTGTCACCGTCGAGCTCCGGTGGCAGCCCAGGGTCTTCAGGCGAGATGGACTGTGATCATAGCTCGTGGCTTGAGAACAGTATTGAAGCCACAGGTGAGTTCGGATCGATCAATCAGGGTTGAGTCGGAGCTAATCAATTTCTCGCGAGCAGTTTCATCACTTTCGCTCGCCAACTCCCGCGGTGAGGCCGTCAAGATCGTCTCACATATGCTTCCTTACCCGCGTCCTGGTGACAAGGCCGCGACAATATCACCCAACGATAGTGTCTATTGCTCCCTGGTGCAGGCAGTTCAGAATCGACTTCGCCATGGACAGTCGCCCTATATCAACGTCACCCATGCAGTCCCCGAACAATTCAGCCTTTCCAACCTACCATCCTCGCCTTCGCATAGCCCTCGATCCCTTTTTTCCAATGACGACTACTTCAATTCGACCGTCTTCTCCAGTGCTGCGGTAGTATCGGCTTATCACGACTTCCGCGGCCCTATTCAATCCAGATCCTCCTCGCACTCACCCATGCCTGTCGTTCCACCCATGACGGTTCATCTCTCGATTTTGGAGCGCTACCTCCCTCCCTCCTCCGCCCAGGAATACAAGGATCTTTTCTCGCCATATCGCCCCTCGTTCTTGGTCGACCGACTATTTGAGCTTTCTCCTGATGGGGGGTCATTGCTCTTCGTCTACCCGACTCGCAGGGGTGGATCCACCTTCAAGTCGCAGTATCTGGGTCCTATTTTAGATCCACTGCTTCGTCAATTGGTGGTTGTGAACGAGCTTTCCACAGATATCGGCCGCTACCTGGGCAAGCTCTCTTCTGTTTCTCACTTGGACGACTTTGACACGATGCGGGAACACCTTGCCCAGCTCTGTGGCTCTTTGAGCTCCTCCTCTTCGCAATTCAGTGTCGTGGACGCGCGCAAAGGGAGCGCTCATCTTGATCGGGAACTCTGGACGGAATGGTTCATTCACCAGGAGAAAGCCCGCATGAAGGAGGTGCTGAGCGTGTACTGGCAGAATGGGCGCCGCCTGCCAGCCACCAAGGCTGTCTCCAATGTGTCTTCTACGAACTACATCTTGGAGGACAAGGAGGTAACATCAGCCATGCTCCTGGGTGAGATCTTGGATGGAATCCGACGACGGCCCTACGGGGAGGATTCCGAGCCTCACGACGGGGTTGAGCTGGGCGTGTTCGTCATCCGCCGATCCCACTCCTAAGCGGGCTCGGCCGGAGTGGAGCGAGCTGCACACTCACCCCCTTGCGTCTCACTCTCGTTCCACTCACACGATTCTTGTTCTTTGAATATCTTTTTCTGAATTTGCAATTTGCTTTCCGGCTGGGTATATGATCGTACAATAAACAGGGGATTTGGCGGGTCCGGCGGCGTCGTGCGGAGTTGGATGAACATTGGGTCTCAGTTTGCATGTTTTGGAGGTCAATCTAGGAAGCATTGGCTGTTTGCATTCTTTATCCGTTGGAACAGAATACCCAGGATATCTTGTGCTTGTGTTATGATGGAAGCGTGATGACCACTAGCTTGTGTCGATGATGACGATGATGATTATTACTACTATATTAGCCGATGGGATCGCAGGATTCCGAATATCAAAACAAATCGGATGTATTCATCCCAATTACTCCGGAGTATCATTGTCTCCTTTTAATTGGCTGGTAGATTGATCTTCAGTGCAGAACCCCGGACTGCCAAGTACCAGCTCATAAATAAGAGAGTCCTCGGAAGTATGCTATAGTAACCAACAATTGCCGCTTCAATGGGGGTGTTTCTCTCAATCAATCTCTCAAAAGGCAAAACGCAGGGTGGCCGGGCGGTGAGAAATGTCCCCGACGCTAAACTTCATCGGGCCAATGGCCGGCTGCCCGCTTTCTGCTTCTCCTCCGTCACTGTCCATCCATCCATCCATCCATCCACTCCCTCATTGTGTTCTGGTTAGCTTGTTCCGCCCTCTGTCAATTTTTTTTTCTCTTACTTTGAATGTGTTACTGAATCGGAATTGGGACCTGTGCTGCTCTCTAACAGCAGCAGCTCACCATATTTTTCCGATTCAAATCACTTGTCTATACCCATTGAACGGAGTGTGAAAGAGAGATTGATTACTTTCGCACTTTATTCAGCCCTTGTCCGTTGACTTCTGCAATCCCACCCAGCGAGCCGGACTATGGCTTATTCGCCTGCTCCTCCATCCCCAGTACATGGCAGTGGTATGCCCATCATGTCTAACAACATGCATTCCCGTGGACGCTCGACGAGCCCCCCAACCAGCGTGCCGCTGTCGAAACGGGACAAGCGACGCAGCGCGCTTCAGGAGCGCCTCCAGGACCTCACGGCTTCCTTCAGCCAAAATCGAGACACTCAGTTTCGGCAGCAACTACATGCCCTCCAATGCGACATGACTCTTATCAACAATGCGGATCCCTACGAGCCCGGGCCGCTGCCCGACTCCGCGGATGAGATCGCACAGTTGATTGAGAACACCGTCGGCGGGGGAAAATTCGCCAAGGAGATGGCTAGCCTGGCGGGCATGTGGTATTCGCGGTTCGTGCAGGAAGTGAACCAGGCCAAGGCCGAGAAAGATGCAGATTTGGCGATGCTGGCGGTAAGTTTGCGTTTCCGTGCTTTTTTTGTCCCGCACAATCCCCGTGGTTTTCTTCTTCCCGTGCTAACGGATATTCTCTATTAGCATCGTCATACCAATAACCTCGAGCGGTTCCAACGAGAATATGCCTTCCGCGTCCACTTCGCCGAAGAAGAATACAAGCACCTTGCAAACACCCTCCGGGAACGTCTTGTCCAGACCATCACCGGCAAACGGGCCCGGCTCATGCGGGAGAAGGAGCAGCTGGACCTGGCCGACACCAACGCTCTGCTTCTGCACCCGAACCAATTCAGTATCACCAACCCCGCCAGTCCAGGCGGCATACACGGCAACCGTAAGACGCGGCATACCCGCCATCGGGTCGACCTCGAGCTCGGCGACGGAGCCATGGCAGAATCTTTCAACCGACGGAAGAGAAAAGCACCGGAAGAGGATGTTGGCTCCCCGGTGCGGGACTCGGGCCTGTCGTCGCACCCGGCGGAGCGCGCGAAAGCCCAGCTCGTGCAGCAGCAGCAAGCGCCCGCGTATGCAATCCAGAATCTTTTCACGGAGAAGGAGCTCAGCGCGCACGCCAACCACGCACACGTGGCCACCGTGCACTTTTTCTCCACCTCCAAGCGCGCGGATCAGCCCTCGGGGGCCGCCACCAACGGCAACAACACCGATGCGGACGAGGGCTCTGGTGTCGACGGCACAGGCGCAGAAGACAACGGTACCCCGGCCACTGACATGGCCCGGACGGCCAGCCAGAATTATCACGCCACGCGGTCGACCCGAGGACACGGCAACCATGCCTTGAACGCCCTGGCTGAGCTGTCCGATAAGCCCGCCGTGCGGCCCAACCTTCCGTACAATATTTTGGCCAACTACCACGCGCGTCCAAGCAATAATGGGGCGCCCCCGCTACCGCCACTCATGAACGAGGAAGTTGACGACGACTGGGCTCGCATGGACAGGCTGCACAATAAGCCGACCGGCTTCGTTGACCGAGGCCTGGTGCAACTCCTCGTGGAATCTATCCCGGCCGAGGTAGACGGCATCCCTCAGAACCCCAACCGGTTCAACATGTTGCACCCGGACTTCCCAACGGACATGGGGATGCATCTGTACCCTCTCGCGAAGGACACGGGAGACGGTGTCTACAGCAACGAACGGGCCAAGAAAAGCCGAAATTAGGCGTTTGTCCGGTTCGCTCATATAGAAAATCCGCGCAACCCGCACATATTACCGCCATTGAATTATACCTTTTGGCCCTTCAATACTTGATTGATCTATTATATGCCTTGAATCATTGCATTGCACGGATACCAAAGATGATTGGGACACACGACCATCACTGCTATGCTACACCGAGTCTGTTGGCTTACTTAACACCTATTTGACCTTATCTTCATACTACCACTTACACACACGGGAATACAAACAGCGGGAGTAAACACGATTCTTGACTTTTTTTGTTGGATCTTATTCTATTTGCTTTTCTATTGCTTACAGGCGTTTGGACGGAGAAGAGGAGAATTTGGCTTCGCTTGTTTTCCCTTTTTTTCCTCTTTTTTTTTTTTTTTTTTTTTCTTTTCTTTTCTTTTCTTTTTTCATTTCTTTTCTTTTCCTTTTTCTTTCTTTTCTTTTTCCTTTTTCTTTCCCAAGGCCCTCCTTTGCTTGCTCATGGGCTTGTCTGTCATACTTGAGAACTAGTTAATACCATTCTACCACCCATACCCTAGCTAGAGAGAAGAGTGTGAGAGACGAAAGAGAAGAAAATATCGAAGATATGACATGACTTTTAGCATTTTATCAGACTTCATCAACCCCTCTAGCCATTGTTGCGTGGATTCATGTACTACCAGATTCATCAGAGTTGTTAAGTCGATCTCCTGCTAGTCTTGAAACCAAGAAGAGATCATGTTTCTGAGGGAAATTGTTCAACTATGCTGTGGGGCCTTCTTTCCTTTCGGTCTTCTGCTTTCCGTGGCTTGTCAACTTCTTCTTGGAGGCCATACCATATGCGCGACTTCCCTTCCCTATGATGCCAATAGTCGATGATCGCGATTCATGAAATGCTCAGGCATCGGGTCTTCAGACACTAGCAAGGTCGAGCAAGTCCGCAGCACTCTATGCACCGTACCTCACCAGGGTATAGTGAAATTCAGTTCAGTCCTTTGGCCCAGCTAATTGTCTAATTTGATGGGGAAGTTGGCTGTCTAGCAGATTTCAAATCAGGGATGGTGAGATGTCTTAGTACTGCAAGTACTGGTCATATCCACCTTGGGGTTGAGAAACCTTGGTAAGTTATTGAAGGCTCCAGACGAGTCCATGCTGGGAATCTCATCAAAACGAGGCCACCTTCCGACACCTCACTGTGAAAATCCATGTTGTTCATGTGCTCAATAATGCCAACCCCGGCATGGGGCGAGGTAGGGTTCAGGAGCGGGACGGAAGTGATCAGCCGAACCGAGCGATAACCTTTTGGTTAACATTAACTATCCTTATCTCGCGTGTCACAACAGATTCTGGTACAAGACTACATCACAGCAAGGAGAGCCCGTTGTGGAGTTTGTTATAGTTGCCTGTGACTGAGGCAGATCAATTTTGTAGCTCTTAGATTCTTACCCAAAAAAATCCAGCCTCACTCGTCAAACGGGCAAATCCCCACTAGCTTCGTCAGCCGGGATTAACACGGAGATAAGAAAGTGAGGATAGATTCTAGATTCGCCCACTTTTCCCCTCGGTCCGGATTCAGATCATTTGACTGCGTTGATCAACCTATCCGGCCCATCTCTTGACAGGGATTTGCTGTGGGAGAAATCCTTCGATTCTTTGTGGGTGGTGACGAACAGGCGTCAGCCTAATCAATACTCAAGAGCAGTCATCGATCGATCGTTGGCCGAACCGTGTCTCACGCCATCCGACTCTTAAACCTTGGTCCTTATAAAGTTCATCCGTCCCCATCCCTGGACCGGGGCCTGGAGATGCTCGCCCTTCAGAGAAACTGGAAATCTCTCCAAACGAAGAAGATTGTCTCCATCCCACGTGTCTTTCCCATCAGCCACCGCAACATGAGTACCCCCGCATCAGGCGTCCTTTACTCGGCCAGTGTTTTGCTGGCGCCGGGATCCCGGGGTCCGAGCGATGTTAAGACCACCAAGGCCCATCACACCGCCAAAGGCTTCAAGAATCCATGGGAGTAAGTCCTCTGTTCGGATTGAACAACTAATGCGTCCAATCTGAGGTCTGACTCTTAACTGTGCTTTGTAGCTCCTGGCAAGACATCACGTTCGCCTTTGCTGCACGTTTCTGGTGGTAAGTGCAGAGTCCAATGAACAGCCTGCAGGATTGACAAGGCATGGATGGGCTGACGCGCACGCATGAATGATTTCTGCTGCAACGCAACAGGCAGATGATCACGGGCAAAGTCAAGTTCCCAAGCACGGCGCCTCCGACTGTCCCTGTCCAGACACCCGAATTTCTGGCCAGTCGCAACACTCCCCAGCTACGCGCGACCTGGCTCGGCCATGCCTGCTACTATGTCGAGTTTCCCAGCGGCCTGCGGGTGCTGCTCGACCCTGTCCTCGAGGAGCGCTGCTCGCCGCTGTCCTGGCTCGGCCCTAAGCGATACACCGACCCGCCCTGCCAGATCAAGGACATTCCTATCATCGACGCTGTCGTGATCTCGCACAACCACTACGACCACATGTCGCACCCCACGATCACGGAGATCTTCAAGAAGCACCCCAACTGCCATTTCTTCGCTCCGCTCGGCAACAAGAGCTGGTTCGAGCAGCTGGGTATCAAGAATGTAACCGAACTCGACTGGTGGGACGAGTGCGACCTGGTCCTGTCGCCTTCCCAAGACTCCCCGGCCAAAGTCGAGGGTGCGGTGGAAGACGTCAATTCGCAGTCATCACCTTCTGAGGTGATCAAGGCGCGCATTGGCTGCCTGCCGTCGCAACACACGAGTAACAGGGGCATCTTTGATCGAGCCAAGACTCTTTGGAGTTCGTGGTCGATCGAGTCGGGGGGCAAGAAATTATACTTTGCTGGGTAAGTTTATGATCGATTATTGAAACCTTCAGTTGCTAGTCTCTAGTAACCCCCGATCTTTCTCTCTCTCTCCCCCTAACGATCTTCTACAGAGACACCGGATACGCAGCAGTCCCCGAACTCCCAGCCGGCACCAACGACCACGACCCCGAGCACAATTTCCCCACCTGTCCCGCCTTCAAACAGATCGGACAGTACCGGGGCCCCTTCGATCTCGGTTTGATTCCCATCGGCGCCTACGCACCCAGATGGTTCATGAGCACCATGCACGCCGACCCTCACGACGCAGTCAAGATCTTCCAAGACACCAAATGCAAGCGCGCCATGGCCATTCATTGGGGCACATGGGTCCTGACCGAGGAGGAGGTGCTCGAACCGCCGCAGAAACTCAAGGAGGCATTGCGCGAACACGACCTTCCCGAGACGGGGATTTTCGATGTCTGCGATATCGGCGAGAGTCGCGAATTTTGAAAGGAAGGAAAGAGATGATAGGGGATTTGTTGGTGTGTTGACACTTGGTTCCGAGGTTCTTTTATTTTTGCATGTACCACCAACAACCTTTTGTGAGAGTCCGATTGTCTGGTGTAAAAGAAGTCTCTCCCCTTCCCGACTTTCGATATGATGCTCTGGCTTTACGGGTTCGAATGTACTTTTTTCTGTATGATATGTTGGTAGAAGTTAGTGCTTGAATCTCATGTACATTAATGCAAAGTAGCAACAACAAGAGGGTTACAACTAATAGTCTCCGTACGAGGAATTTCGCTACCTCATTTTAACTTACTTTTTTACTTTTTTCTTTTCTCACCGTCTTTCTTGCATATGACTTGTCACAAACGGAAATTCTCCATTCACCTTGATCGAACACAGAGCTCATATAAACTGCACAGGGCCACCTTGCAAGGCCCGAGTGGGCTTTCCAAGCGAAATGGTCTTCTCTTCTCTATCGTGACAAGGGGGAGGGACTTTCTCTGCATCCATCCACCCACGCTCCACCAACCAAGCCCCATGAGCCACACCTATGCGATTCAACGTCACCATCGTTGCCTCTGCTCTACGGCATGGAGAGAAATGCTTGACGGAAGACATTGGTTGTATATCTATATCGTTCGCACCGTGAAGCTGAGGGCACAATTGATGCATGCTTGACAGTTCGCTGGGTTAGTCTATGTCCAGGTAGTCATGAGTGTTTGCTCTCGCACTTTTTTTTCCCCTTACGTATATCTCTACTGACGGTGAATGGAATATAGTGGGTAATCAATGGTCTGATCAAAGCCCCAAGGGACACATTGGCCTTTTCCCCCCCCCCCCCCCCCCGTGTGTACCGAACTGTCTACCAAGTTTTCTCAAGCGGGAGGCCATTACACACCCCATCCTCCACCGTACCAAAGCCCGCTCCAGCTGCGCGATCATGTCCTCGTGGAGTATCCCCCCACCGCCCGCGAGGCCCCAAGAACCTGCCCCCCTCCGCCGCCGAAGCAGCAGCAGCAGCAGTGACAAGAACAACAGCAACAGCCGCCAGCAGTACTCCTATGCCAGCAGCCGCCGCCCAGACACCAGACGGGATTTCCACCGCTACTCGACAGACGACGAAGAGGAAGTCCTCTACGACCTGGACGAGGCCGCCCTGGCGCAGCTGCCCGTGCACCTCCAAGACACCATGCGCGAGCTGCAACTCGAGCGCGTCCGAAAGTTCCGACTCCAGCTCCAGCAGAGCAGCGCCCACGGCCACGGCCACGACCACAGCCACAGCCTCCGTCTCTGCCGGCCTGTCTCCCACAGCGATTATGCGGAGACCTGGTTCAAGAACATGATGGCCCGGCTGTCGGCGAATCAGGAGATGCGTGAGGCTCATTATCAGTTGCGAGAATCTGTCCCCCGGGGGTATCAGGCGGATGGGAGTTGGCGGGTGCAGCAGCGGCAGTGGATTGTGGGTCGGGAGAATGATATCCATGCAGCGGCTGCCTTAAAGGGAGAGGGGGAAAGGGACGGGGAAGGGGGGCAGGAGAATGCCAATTGGTTTACGGAGGAAGGGTGTGATGAGCCGCAAGCGCCTTCGACGCAGCAGATGGCTATATTTGAGAGGGATGTGGGGGGTTTTTTACCGTCAGTTGGGTCGAGAAGGTACTATAGCTTGCAGTATGGGTATGGACCCCGAATGGAGGAAAGAGGGCGGCCTCTCTATGAGACTGATACAAGGGATAGCAGAGAGCCCGGAAGTGAAATGAGAGATGGGTTCCCTGCTCACCACCAGCGGAAGAAAAGTCGCTCAGTGATTACCTTCATGCGATGTAGGGGGAAAAGGAGCATCCGGAGAATGGGTCGGCTCTGGAAGAGATAGATTGGGAGTTCATTGCTATCATCTTGGGCGTTGTGCGATATACCACTGTTTTTATTGAGTTGAGTTGTTTAATGAGTCTCCTGTGACGGTTACTGGTTTCAATCGATGGCCTTGTGGAGAATCTATTATCGCAGCTGAGGCGATGAAGGATTGTTGCATTCGCGTAGTATGTAGGAGTAACTTAGAAATAAGTAACTAAGAGGACGGATTGATAGATCAGGGGAAATGGCGCTAATCCGTATACGGACTAGTGGCGGTGAGCTCGTCTTGTCCGCCATCCCACTTCGGGGAGCGCTGGAAATTTGATGGTGACGGCGGGCAAAACACCTTCAGGTATCCTCTCCAGATCTGGTCTATTATTTTGCTTGACTGCCGACTAGACTCGGCATTCTGCTGCAGGACTCTCTGGTTTCCGCTAATTCTATCCCCTCCTTCTCCCCACACGCCCATAACCCGCCGCCAAAATGCAGGCTCCGGTGGTGGTGATGAGTATGTTGCTCCAAGAGGGGGAATGGTCCATGATTGTGCTCGGTCTCAGTAGCTGACTTGCGTATAGACACCAACGCTGGTGACAGACAGGTCGGTCGCAAGGCTCAGCTGTCCAACATTGCCGCGGCTAAGACGTACGTGATCCTTCCCTCCGCGCCCCCTCCCCCTCCGGCTCCGGTCTCTAATACAGGATTGTCAACTGCAGCGTTGCGGACATCATCCGGTCATGTCTCGGACCCAAGGCCATGCTGAAAATGCTGCTGGATCCTATGGGCGGTATTGTTCTGACCAACGATGGACACGCTATTCTGAGAGAAATTGAGGTGTCGCACCCTGCCGCTAAGAGCATGATTGAACTGAGCCGCACTCAGGACGAGGAGGTCGGAGATGGAACGACGACTGTCATCATCCTTGGTATGCATACTTGAGACTACCGTGCCTCTCAGGCCCCCGGGTATGCCGAAGCATGCTTGCTAACACCCCATAGCCGGTGAAATGCTCGCACAGGCCCTTCCCCAACTCGAGCGCAACATCCACCCCGTTGTCATCATCTCCGCCTTCAAGCGTGCTCTGGCTGACGCCCTGGCTATCGTCGAGGAGGTCTCCATCCCCGTTGACATCGACGACGACAAGGCCATGTACACCCTCATCCAGTCCTCCATTGGTACCAAGTTCGTCTCTCGGTGGTCTGAGCTTATGTGCAGCCTCGCTCTGAAGGCTGTGCGAACTGTCTCTTTTGACGCTGGTGGTGGCAAGCGCGAAGTCGACATCAAGCGCTATGCTCGTATTGAAAAGATTCCCGGTGGTCAGATTGAGGAAAGTGAGGTCATCGACGGTGTCATGGTCAACAAGGATATCACACACCCCAAGATGCGGAGAAGAATCGAGAACCCCCGCATCATCCTGCTCGACTGCCCGTTGGAGTACAAGAAGGGTGAATCGCAGACGAACATTGAGATCACCAAGGAGGACGACTGGAACCGGATCCTGCAGATCGAGGAGGAGCAGGTCAAGCACATGTGTGACGCCATCTTGGCTCTGAAGCCTGATGTGGTCATCACCGAGAAGGGTGTCTCAGGTAAGGACGGTGTCCTGATGTTTTGGTCGGCAGCCATTCGCTAATATCTCCCGTGTCAGATCTCGCCCAGCACTTCTTGATGAAGGCCAATGTCACAGCTCTCCGCCGTGTCAGAAAGACGGACAACAACCGTATCGCCAGAGCCACCGGCGCCACCATTGTCAACCGTGTTGACGACCTCCAGGAGTCTGATGTCGGAACCCAGTGTGGTCTGTTCGAGATTGAGAAGATTGGCGACGAGTATTTCACCTTCATGCGGAAGTGCCAGAGCCCCAAGGCCTGCACGATCCTTCTCCGCGGTCCTTCCAAGGATATTTTGAACGAGATTGAGCGGAACCTGCAGGATGCCATGGCCGTGGCCCGCAACGTGATCTTCCACCCTCGCCTTTCCCCCGGAGGTGGTGCCATCGAGATGGCCGTCTCTGTTCGCTTGAGCCAGCTGGCCAAGTCCATCGAGGGTGTCCAACAATGGCCCTACAAGGCCGTTGCGGATGCCATGGAGGTCATTCCTCGCACATTAGCACAGAATGCCGGTGCTAGCCCCATTCGTGTTCTCACCCGCATGAGAGCCAAACACGTTGAAGGCCACACCACCTGGGGTCTGGACGGCGACTCCGGAGCTCTGGTTGATATGAAGGAGTACGGAGTCTGGGAGCCCGAGGCTGTCAAGCTGCAGAGCATCAAGACTGCTGTCGAGGTGAGATTTTCCTACGTCGAGTTGACGTTGTTCCAAGCTAACTATGACGATCTAGTCTGCATGCCTGCTTCTCCGTGTCGACGACATCTGCAGCGGTAAGTCGGCTCAGCAGGTGGGTGCTAATGCTGGTGGCGGTGATGAGTAAATGGGACGAGAGACAAAGGAAAAATTGCGTACATAATAATGCACGGTTATCTTTGGATGGAAATTCTGTATGAATATCCTAGACTTCAAACTAATGGGTATCTTCATATCGTACAACTTTAAATCCTACCATCTCATCTTCCACACTCCACCATGTTCCCGCACACTCGCTCAATCCTCGTGGATAATAATCCCCTGTACCTCTCCCCCAGCCTCCCCATTGTCATATTCCGCCGTGCCAACAGCATCCTGTAGCATGCCATCTCCATCCTTTACTGCTGTACTCACATCCCGATCCACAACCATCCGATCCGCACCACCACCGTTCGCCTGGGCTTTGGGACCCTCCTTCCTCGCATTCCGCTTCTTCTCCCTCCGCCGCCGATTCTTCTCCGTCTTCTCCTCATCCTTCCGTTTTGCTTCTGCCTGCTTCCGCTCCCACTCCTCGTCCTCCTTTTCCCGGATGACCTCGTTCTGCATCATCCGCATGCGCTCGTACTCCCGCCGCCGACTCGCCTTGTACACGTGGAACTCGCCCGACCCGGCCCCCGCCGACGACCCCTGCACGTTGGCGACAATCTCCGGCGGCGGCGGCAGCGCGCTGCGCTGCTGCCTCGAGGCGGCGGACTCCGGCAGCCGGATTTCTCGCGAAGGGTCCCGCATCAACGATTCGATCTGCGATGCTTGCTCCGATTGTGCGGTTGAGGTGTGGCTTCCCCCTTGTCCCGGGCCGCCGAGAGCGCGCCGCTTGGTTGGGCGTTTGCTGCGAGGGTCGGCGCTCGTGGGGATGGATTCGGGGATGGGTTCGGACATCTTTTTTTTTTTTTGTGGTGTGAGGAGGTGTGGTTTATTGGAAGGCTTTGATTGTGGGAGTTTGAATTGTGGACTCTGGAAGGTAGGTAGGTAGGTAGGTTGAGGTGAGTTGATGACGGACTGCGTCTGGGTTTGATGATCGGCGGGGCGCGCGGTGGTTTTGTTCTGGAAGCTTGGGGGGGATTCCGGTGCCAAGACTGGTTGGCTGTAGGGAAGTTTATCCGAGGTTTACTACTATAGAACTTGAAATTGGTAGTGTGACAGGATTACGATGATGAATAGTATGTTCTCGAGCAGTAAATATGTAGAATGGTGCATGTTGTGAGGCTTAAGGGACTTTCCTGTTAGGAAAGACGGATTAACAGCCTCCTACCTTTGAGATGTGAGTAAGTTGTTGGGAACTGAACGCCTGTGCGTTATCTGGTACTTCTAGTAGTACTGCTAGTACTTATATACTTCCTCTTCTTCCGGCGGGGCTTGTCTGCCACTACGGTCCATGTTATCAACACTTCATGCAGACAGTCATGCGCCTCTTCTCTTCACAGACTTCCGCGTATATCGACCCTTTGAGCCGTCTGTCTCAAGCAAACGACCAACTTTAGCCGCCTTCTCCCAGCTCAGAGGAGTTTCCGTTGAGCGGTCCCCTTCACAGTCAATCCAGCGCTGGCGCTACTCCTCACTTCCCTCACCGTGTCAGCAAACAACCCATTCACTTCACTGACTTCCTCTTCTCTCACTTTCATCCTTTACAATATTTGCATCTTATCTAGCAGACTTGATTTCCCCCCGCAGATCGTCTGTCACGTTGACGATGGCCACTACCGAGGCACAAAGAAACATGGCAACCTATGTGAGTTCAGTAAAAATGCATCGCCGAGTACCCCTCTGGACTCAATGCTAACATGTAGGCAGTTCCAAGTAGATGACACCTGTTGTCTGATCTCGGATCCATCTCTCGTTGGTCTAGTAAGGTATGCTTAACATCTCACTAGATGTACTTTCGGAGGTACTGACTACCACAGGGCACATACGATGAAGTACGTCTCTCCCCCGTCTCCGACCACAAACGGCTCATATAACTGACCTATGCTGCGTGAAAGCCTCTCGATGACGATGTAGAGTATTTCACCATCGCCTCTTATCATTCGACACCGGCGGAAACTTTAGAGACCTTTCTGCAGAGTGAGGAAGTAAGTAACGACTCTCGAGGTCCCGTAGGGCGTCTGCTAAATTCTCTCTCCCGAACAGTGTCCGCCAGGGTACATATTTGTCCAGTTCGTGGATAAGTCCCAAGGCAGTTCGCTCATTCACGAAGATGAGCTCCAGATCATTGACAGAACATGGCACATTGGTCAGATCGTCAAACGCCGAGCGGAAGATGCCATGTGTGGCAGGGTTTTGAGTACCCAGACCAAATGCACCGTAGAACCTGTCGTGTATCGCACCACCAATCCACTTACAGGGGAGCATGGCCCACTGAACTTCACAGACATACCGAATTATTTGAGCTCTAGGAACAAACCAGCGCAGGACTCACACCCTACCTTGCTACATGATGTTCTTGCATCGGACCTCCAGCCTGACGAACCATTTGCCTGGGGGGACTATTTCATCTACCAGCAGAAATGCGGAGTGATCGTGCAGGTAGATCGAGACCCTGTGTTTCTCACGAAACAGAACGAGGTCGTCACTCTGTACGATCCCCTGAACATCAAATTTCCAGTACATGTACATCCCGACCGGCTCGTCTCGCAGCACGCCGATGAAGAGACCAGTGATCTATCCAATTACGCTGGAGCTGAGCCGGGTGAAAGTTTGCGACTTCGACCCTATGCTGGATGTTCTGCATGGGTCGGTGCTGCCAACATGTGTGAAGTCTATGGTGCTCGGATCAAAGATCCAACAGGTGGACGTCAGCATGTCCACACCTTAGCCATACGCGCTTCCCATTATCATGTGAGGTGGATAATACCCAATGTGTTTGGCATAGGTGTAGACAAAGACACCGCCACTGGGGTACCAGTGAAAATTCGGTCGTCTTTGTTCCGAAAATTCGCGGTCAAATGCGACTTCAGCCAGCGTCCGACAAACAAGCCCTGTGAGGATGAGCTCCAGCTGGATTCTGAGCGCTCGATAAGATTGGGACGTATAGTGTGCTTTCGCGACACGGTGAATACTGCTGCAAAATACCCGACTTATCAGCCTATCCCAGCTGAGGAGTCCTATGGGTATAACCTGAATGTGTTTCGTGTTGTGTCAACGGAGTCTAATACCACTGTTCAGTGGCAAGATGGGACTACCACTAGAGAGCATTCGATCTCTTTGCATGTTCATCGACCTTATCCCCGAGCCGAATTTTTTCCTGGAGATATTGCTGTTCTGGAGAAATCGGTCCAGAAGCTACCATTATCGACTAGAGCCGATCTTGGATGCCCAATATGCGTATCATTTCGTTCCCAAGAAGTGGGCGTGGTTCAAGCAGTGGACAGTCGCGAGCGGGTAGCATTTATTCGATGGTACGAGAACCCAGCAGCCGAGTTCCTGTTGGGCGCATGCTGGTTAAATCACGAACATACTCGTCTGGGTAGCCTGAGCGACAAGACCACCCCAGCATCGCTCTATGAGCTCGCCCACTGTCCTGCCCTGCGCAGGCCACCAGGAAGGCTTGTAGGCCTTGTTCCAAACATGGTGCACGCCTCAGTTCTACGGGACAGCTCTGCAGCTAGCGACGATGCTGATCATTCGAGCCACCGGGTCTCCACTCACTTTGAGGCTACGAAGTGGTATCTCGACAAATCGAAAAGAGATATCGTCCGCACTGAATGGTTCAAGGACATGATTGCAGTTGACGATTCTCCGGCCCCTACACGTCTAAGCATTCACTATGAGGATTACCGTGCCAGGTTACTTGCGAACTTCGTTGGAATGATAATGAAAGGAAACCCCGACGGCACTGTTGCGGTGCGAATGACTCACAGCAATTCCTGCGTGGATATCGAACTGCCGATGGAGAGAATCATGATTTCCAATCCAGGGAAATGCGACTTGCGTTACATGAGTACCCCTGTATCGTCTTCGGACGACGAGTCAGAATCCCCCGAGACGAATGATGAAGCCGATCATCTTGATCCCGCAGAAGATGATGCAGATGGTCGCGGTGCCTCTCATGTGGAGGAGCTAGATCTTCCACACACTTCGCACAAAGCACTGGAAGACAGCCAGGAACCCCTTTGCCATCATGTCACTATGGCAGATGCTGAAGGAGAGAGGAAGATGACTGGAACAGGTTCCCGCTCCTCGAGACCTTTAGCATTCCTGGTATTGGATGGGTCCCCTCCCGCTGATCATCGATTCTTCTCAAGTGAGAACACGGAGACTTCAGGTCCAAACATCAAGCGCATTCACAAGGAATGGAAGATCCTTGGCACCTCTCTTCCTGATGGCATTTATGTTCGCTCCTGGGAGTCGCGCATGGACCTCATCAGGGCTTTGGTCATTGGGCCTGCAGGCACTCCATACGAGTATGCGCCATTTGTAATCGACTTTCAGCTCACGAACGACTTCCCGAACAAGCCTCCTGTTGCCTTCTTTCACTACTGGAATCTCACAGAGGAGGAAATCAATCCCAACCTCCACCTGAATGGCCATGTTTGCCTTAGTCTACTAGGAACATGGCCTGCACAGAATCCAGATGAATCCTGGTCTCCCAGAAAGTCATCGATTCTTCAGATCCTGGTCTCAATCATGGGATTAGTATTGGTCCAGCGTCCATTCTACAGTAAGCAACCATTCTGTGGGAAGACAACCCTCCTCAATGCTGACCGCAACAGATGAGCCTGGCTTCGAACGCTTGGCTATGGACGACGACGAGCGCGTCGAGTCCATCCAGTATACAGAAAGGGTATTCATTCTGACACGAAAGTTCATTCTACGTGCTCTGGAACGCGGGGTGTCAGGCTTCGACGACGTGCTAGTTTGGTTATACTTGCCGGCTCTCGCGGCTGCGGATGAGATGAATCGGCCTGACCTGCTCCGCAAAGTTATAGCTGATGCCAGAAGTATGATTAAGCATCAAGCTTGCACCGCAGAGCCAGACGCACATCGTGAGAAGGCCTCTGCATACCTTTCGCGACTCAGCCTGGGGGCAGCGCTTATGCTGGATAAGTATGTTTCAGACCTGCTGATTGTCCAGACGACTACATGTGATTTATGGTGAACATGCGTCGAAGCACGGTCTCTCGAGCCCTTGTAGACATTGCGATGTCGCTGCAGTTGGTCTCAAATTATCCTTGAATAATCTCTCTTGTTGGTATGTAGGATTGGATGTATGTACGAGTCGTGTCGGTAACTGTTTGTTAGGCAACAATGGAAGAAATAGGCACCGGATAGGCAGCATTGATGAATGAACAGGCATGTTTGGACTTTGCACCGAATTTGACACCTAGAAGCCGAAGTAGTTCGGACTAGACGGTACATGCCATTGCGAGCCTTTAGATTTGCTCATTTTGGCAACATTCTGAATCTGTGAGTCGAAGTATTCTCATCTCAGAAAAGCGACTGCCGCGACCGGGACCTAGAACAATAGTCGATAGTAGATACAACTCGCACTAATTAGAACAGACGGATATGTCAAAGATTGTAAGATAGCATTCGAGTACATTACTAAATGAGAAGCGAACTAAACCCCAATGGCGCTACAGACATGGAGAGTCACAAAGCAGCGAGGCGGCGAGACGAAGCACTTGCGGGACTGGTCTTTGGCGGGTTCCGTTGTGTGTGTGTGGCTCTTCCTCCCCTTCACTCTCTTTTTCCTTCTCCACAAGTCCTCTCTAATAGCTTCGTCTTCGAATTCCCTCCTTTGCAGTGATACTTTTCCTTCTATTTCTCCCCCTTCTCATACTCTCTGATTTTTGCCATCAAGCCAGTTGTTGGGGTTTGACCTTGGCTGCAGCAAATCCAGCCAGCTTCCGACTCGTGTCGAAACCACGCCAGCACTTGCCGTACGTAACTAACACCGTCGTCACTGCACTGCTGCGCAAATGGGCGCATATCGCTTGGGTAAGTTCTTTTCATCGAATAAGGTATCTTTTGTGCCCTTTGAGGTTATGTCAAGTTCTGGTCTTTTGCACACTCGTCATACCCCGCACCGCGATGAGGAGTACGCAGTAGGAGAAAAAGGACTTGCTATCAGCCAGCCGGGTTGCATCATTCTTGTTGGCCCATGCTATCCAACCACCATCACCATGCCAGCCGACAACTGCCCAGTCCTCCGAATCTTTTGCTCTCATCATACGCTTTTGCTTCATGCTATCTTCCTTTTTGCCCTTGTTTCAGCCTTTGTCATGTCATGACTCTTCCCCCGCACGATTACACACCTTGAATCACATAACCTAACACCCCACATTCAGACGAAGCCAGCACCGGCCGTGCCGGCTGCCAGAACAAAGAATGCAAAGACGCCAAAGTCAAGATCGCCAAGGGCGAGCTCCGTCATGGCAGCTGGGTCGACACTGGCGGCTTTCAAAGCTATAGATGGCGTCATTGGTGAGTTGTGATCCCGTCCCAGTTGGTGTTATGCGGCGCGAATTGCGTTCTTGTCTTGTTGCGTTCTCCGCGTGGAAGTGGGCTTGTAGAGAGAAAAGGACTTTCGTGACTAACCCTTTCCGCTTTTTTTTCTTTTACGTCCATCAGGGGCTGTGTCACTCCGGTGGTCATTGAGAACCTAAAGGAAGCTATTGAGGAGCTGAGTGGTGGGGATGCGACGGACTACTCGGCGCTGGATGGATTTGATGAGCTCTCGGAGGAGAATCAGGAGAAGGTTCGTCGGGCATTGGAGCAGGGTCATGTGGATGATGCGGATTGGAGGGGTGTGAGTATTGCTTCTTCTTCCTTATTTGGATTTCCTCTCTTGTTGTTTCGACTGGGGGCTGGGGGTGCTATGAAATGGGCCGTGTGTGTCTGTGTGCGGAAAACCTAACTTTTTATTGTGGACAGGATGTCGAGTTCAATCGCCCTGGTCAGAGAGGGTTCCGCAAGAAGGCTCCCAAGGAAACTGCAGCCAAGGTGAGATTTTCTGAGTATCCCTGAGTTTGTGGCCCGAGCTGAGATATTGATGCTGACGTGTATAAGGCTAAGGATGAAGAGGAGGACGAGGAGGACGAAGAGCAGGAGCCTACTCCCAAGAGCAAAAAGCGCAGTCGTGCCCAGCCCAAGAAAGAGCCCAAAGCCGAGGCGGAAGCTGACGGCGACGGTGAGCAGCTAGAAGAAGCTCCCAAGGCTAAGCGGTCGAAAAAGAGCACTCAGTCCAAGCCTGTCTCCGATGACGAGGAAGCGGCCAAGCCGAAGACTTCCAAGCGCAGCCGTCAAGCAACGTCCAAGGCCGCTGCCGAGGCGCCTGCTGCCACTAAGAAGAGCGCTGCAAAGAAACCGACCAAGGCCGCTGCTGCCGATGATGGGGAGAAGCCCAAGCGTGGCCGGAAGAAGGCTGCCTGATTGTGGTGCCCTGCATCCATGACGAGCTGCTGCTTCTGTCAAGCGTCTTTGACCTTGTGCACAGTGTCTTCTGCCAATAGTATGCTTTACATTGTCATGGTAGTTCGGGAGCGATTTCCTGTTATCGTTTGTATGTATGGGGGCTTTATGTATTTGCATGCTTGCAGGTATGTTCTTATGGTATGGCGTGGGGGAGGTAGGTGTACTTGAGGACGAACGTCTAAGATGAGGGCGAGAATTTCGAGGCTATCATGGATATGCATTCATTGGTATCCTAGGTTGTACACATAACGTAATGAGCATTTCACACCTTCTAGCCTAGACTGCCAAGCTGGCTTGTATCATGCAAGTCAACTACCCGGTAGTAGTACCTACTGACAATCATGGCCACTAATCAAGCACGAATGATTGATCGATCAGCCGCTCACCATCACATGATCCCCACCACCACCACCTCACTTTACGATCTTCTTCCCTGATCTTCTTCTCTCTTCTTTCTTCCCTTTCTCCTTCACGCTCCCCCGAGTCGAACGTTCCGCTATCGGTTCTCTACTCAACTGTAGAAGACCGTACGCGCAAGCTAGACCCCACAAGACCTGGTACCAGTCCCTTTCGCGCTCTCTTCTTCGCAGGACCACCTCCCGTGAAGGCTGCTAGCTGCGAAAGGAATGCCTGTGCAAGTGCTTGTGTGATCCAGCTTCCGAGACTCGCTCCTCTTGTTCATGCGACCCTCTGTGCATGACCCAGCGGCGGTAGCGTCATTCCTGTCCTTTCCTGCATTGTGATCCACTCCACTCATTTGTTTGTTCCTGGAGTGTCTAAGCGTCTTTCTTCTTCTCTTCTTCTTCTTCTTCTTCTTCTTCTTCTTCTTCTTCTGACACTCATCTTCTGCACTAATATCTTCATGTCTATCGTCTCATTCCTGGTCCAGTGGATGGATCCGGGTGGTAGAAGCACGATGGCCCGTAGGGCCGGTAGGAATCGCTCTTCGTCTTTGCTGGTGAAGAACCGCGGGGTTCAGAAGTCTGCTCGATCGTCTGTGGCGAGAAAAATGGGTGGGAAGGCGAAGGCGAAGGCGATGCATGGGGTGCAGGTGGAGAGAGAGAGAAAGGAGGAGGCAGAGAAGGCGGAGGGGATGGAAGGGCCGCCGCTTTCAAGGTAGATGGTCTCTTTTTTGCCTCTATGCCGCTACTTTGCTTGATGAGTTGGGATCGTTTCTTTGATGTGTTTTTCTTGGGGGTGGCTTCGTAGTTGCAGTGGACGTGCGGGGGACTCATCTCGATGCTGTGTCTGGATTGGACGGGTGTGCTATTGTTCATTAGCATCTCCTTGCTTGTCCTCCTTGCGTCGCTGCGTCTCCGCCCGTGCAAGCTAATCTGATTCCCGAGTGTATAGTCCTCTCGTGAGCCCTGTTGTCAGCTTAATTGTCGGTCCCGACCATCGTCTCTTTGTTGCCCACGAAGATGTACTCGCCCGGGCTACTTTCTTTGATGCTGTACTTGAGGATCAGTTGATCGAGAACAACTTGAACAAAGTGGTGGCTCTACCAGACGAGTATGCACTTCCTTTCTCTGCGAAGCGCCTTGCAACCACCGGCGCTTTCCCGTGACAAACTGCTGATAGCGCGCAGGGACCCAGAAATCGTCTCCTGCATCCTCGAGTTCCTTTACAAGGGCGACTACTACCCGCGCCTCCTACGCAGGGAAGGTCCTGAATCTCCTGGGTGGTACCTCGAGGAGGAGGGCGAGAAGAACACCGACGGACTGCATTCGATTCCAGAGGAAAACACTCCAGCCCCAACTTGTCACCACAGCACGTATGCTAGTGATGATCCCCTGGCTCCCGGCCCCAACACTTCCCCCACTGCAACCTTCTACCACCATCGCGCGGGGCTCATCCTCCGCGACACGGCCATCTACTGCGCCGCCGAGCACTACGGGCTTCCCGAGGGCCTCAAGCGTCTGGCCTTGCGCAAGCAGGGTCTGAGGGTTGGGGTCCCTGTAGATGTGATCCTGCGCTCCGCGCGCTTCACCTACGAGCATACGCCCGAGTCGGAGGACCGGCTGCGCGCGCGGTATCTGGCGATGATCATCCGGTCGCGGGCGGTGTTCAAGGCCAGCGGGACCATGCAGTTGGAGATGGAGCGGGGCCATCCGTTCTTTTTTGATTTGTTTGTCGCTATGTGTAATCATGTGGATGATTTGGAGGAGAGGGTGAAGTTGGCTGAGGTGAGTTTTGCATAGCCGGCTTTCAAGAAGTTGTAGATCGGGTGTGCTGATGGTTAGGATTATTCGGTAATTAAGCCCGGGGTGACTGCGGGTTGATAGGCTTGTCACGCGGGTTCTACTGGCTTTACAGTTCTTCAATTCATCTACTGAGTTGCACGCGCGGCTTGATCGCAGGAAAACACATGCACAAACATGTTCCAGCGAAAAGAAAAATCCAGAAAACAAATGCAGGGATCCTGCTGATATGAGATCCTATATTTGTCTTCTCCTGAGGTTTGGCTGGTGAACTTTCAGCATTGCACTATAAGCATATCTATCTCCCCGATTAATCGTTCTATAAGATTGATTTGAGAGAGCTGACTCGTGAGCTTGAGATTATGTTTCTAATTCTATCCTCACAGCGACCTGTTCTGTTCTGCTTTTGTGATGCGTGTTTTCTCACTATTATGTCGTTCGGATATAAACAGACTGTGATGTGAGCTTTTGAAGGGATACTAACCAATATGTGTGTGTGACAATTTTGGTCCATCTCTTGAGTGAATGGGTTACGTTCAGATGATTCTGGCTTGATGCTCAAATTGCTACATTAGCAGACGGTGGAAATAGGGGAATAAAGCTTGAATCCATGCCTAAACACCCTTATTGCCTTCTACAATTCCGTCTCGGAGCATAAAAGAGGACTACCCCAGATCTACCGGAAGGTCCAAGCGAAGGTCGGAGCACTAACCACTAACGGCGCCGCCAACCACCGAGCTACGTTCTTATCATCGGCATCAGATATGATGTGATTTGCTCCTTGACTTGCAACTTATCTCCAGGGTCGATGTGCATGAGACACCTATAAATTCTCCAATGGGTCCTTTGGCTCTTCCACAACGCTGCCATCCCAGAGCATGGCAAGATGCGTGCTCCAACCCTACATCCAGAGACAGCCGGTCCTCCTGTTTCTGTCCACATCCAGATCGACCCTTTGCCTTCGATGGACGACACCAACGGCACTAGCACCAGCATGCAGGATGCATCCATCTTGATTGTCGGAGCAGGTACCTGGGGTGCTTCGACGGCGCTTCACCTGGCGCGACGGGGATACACCAACGTCACTGTGCTCGATGCGTATCCTCAGCCCTCAGCGATATCCGCTGGCAACGACGTGAACAAGATTGTCTCGTTCAGTGAGTCTTCCTGCTTGCGTTGTCCGTAGAACCTGTCCAGTTTGATTTGACCGTACCCAAAATAACGACTACCTAATCCCTGCCTATCCGCTTTCACCCTACCCGCACCCCAATAACATCCACCCAGTGCCACCCCCCGCAGACGACGACCCAGACTACGCCAACCGGACCTTCTTCGCGGCGCTCAGCCACGGCTTCCGCCACGACCCCGTCTTCCAGCCCCATTTCCACGAGACCGGCGCCATCACCTCGGCCGTCTCGCCCGAGGCGCTCAAACACATTCACCGCCGCGACCGGCCTGGCGACGCGGTGATCGAGCTGAACACCCCGGACGACTTTCGACAAGCCTTTCCCTCAGGAGTCCTCACTGGACCACTGCAGGGGTGGAAGGGGTACTGGAAGCAGCGCGGGGCGGGATGGGTGCACGCGCGCCACGCACTGCTAGCCGCCATCACGGAAGCGCAGCGCCTGGGGGTGCGGTTCATCGGCGGCGATCCGGAGGGCAAAGTCGTGCGCCTCCTCTTCTCCCCTCCCTCCTCAGCGACGACCCCCTCGGCCCCTCCCGACGTCATCGGCGTGGAAACCGCCGATGGAACCCACCACCACGCCGACCGCGTCATCCTGGCCGCGGGCGCCAACGCGGACCACTTCCTCGACTTCAAGAACCAGCTCCGGCCCACGGCCTGGACCCTCGCGCACATCCGACTGACCGCCGCCGAAGCAGCGCAATATCGCAACCTCCCCGTACTGTTTAATGCAGACCAGGGGTTCTTCATGGAGCCGGACGCAGACCGGCACGAGCTGAAGATCTGCGACGAGCATCCGGGGTATTGTAACTGGGTGCGTGATCCGGTGAGCGGGGAGCGGCGGAGCGTTCCCTTCGCGCGCCACCAGATTCCGGTGGAGGCGGAGGAACGCATCCGCGGCCTGCTGCGCGCGACGATGCCGCAGCTGGCGGAGCGGCCGCTGGCGTTTGCACGGATCTGCTGGTGCGCGGATACGGTGGATCGCAATTTCTTGATCGATGTGCATCCTGAGTATAAGTCGTTGGTGCTGGCGGTGGGGGCTTCGGGGAGGGGGTTCGCGCATATCCCGTCGATTGGGGGGTTCGTGGTGGATCGCATGGAGGGGCGGTTGGAGGGGAGGCTGGCGGAGGTGGTGCGGTGGAGGGCGGAGGCGGCGGTGGGTAGGGATTGGGAGGATACACTAGGGCGGTTTGGGGGGGAGTATAGGGTGATGGATTTTGGGGAGGTCCAGGGGTGGACGAATATCGGGGAGATTTAATGGGAAACTGAAAGGAAGGGATCCGGAGGGGGGAGGGGGGGGGGGTCTTCCCAGGGTATGCTTTTACATCTACTAGAATATACTAGGGTGGGATGTATCCAGGAGGCTGGCAAGAAAAGGGGGTCCGGAGGCTTTTCCCCCAAGGTAAATTATATCCGCCACAATTGATCCTATCAATTGTCCATTCTGTGTACTACACGCAGTACTTAAGAGTGTACCGAGTACTGCGTAGTGCATGAGCAGGGACGGGGAACGCGGACTGGTCCGTGCAGTATAAACCCCAGAAGCACAGACCACATCTGCGCACAGATCATGCATCGTGGCGGTGCTTACTGTGGCGGTGGCGTGGCACGTGCAGGGTTCTTCCCCCTCCCCTGCATTCTTGCATGTGACGCGGTCCTCGAAGCAGGTGATATCATCACCACGCCCCCCATGCCCAGTACTCTTCATCCCCAGATTCCTGAGTGGCGCGTTTAGCAAGACATTTTGCCTCGCAAAAATTCTCCTCACATACAGTATTCTGTCCTACTTAAGAACAACCCGAAAGACATTTGGATTTTGAAAGTCTCCCGTCATCTAAACACATAAGTGGGGAAACTTGTTACCCACTCAGCATCCGTGGTCCGTTTTGTTAACGGCTCTCTTCTCCGCATCTACTTGCCATTTGTGTTGCGCATCAAATTTTCTTCTTCCACAGATATCAGGAGGAATCTCTTGTCTCTTGACGTAGCATCAAAATAGAGAACGGGGTATGTGAGAAGCACCAATATGCAGCAGTTCAAGACCTGGAGGCGGGCCTCCTTCCGACAACAACAACAACAGCCACAACAGCCACAACCCCATGACCCAGTCCTGACCGCCGAGGATGAGAACTTTCTACGAGAAATCATGGAAGACTCCGCAGGCGACCAATCTACCTCGCGATCGGTCGGATCGGATCCCCAACTCTCGCCTGTTTCGCCACTGGAGACAGGAGTTCAGCCACCCCCGTCGCAATCGCCGGTGTCGCCGGTGGAGGAATATGGGAGAGAGCTGGGAGAGGAGGAACGGAAAGCTAGGGAGTCTACAACGGACCGGAAGAAGAGTACTGCTAGTGCTGCTGCCCCAGAGACACCCAAGCCTGAAGTTTCTACTTCGCCGCCACCGGCGAAGAAGGGTCCGTGGAATTGGCTGCGCAGACGAAGTACGGTTTTGAAAAAGGTTCATAAATCCACATCAGGGGTGGTGTGGATCAGGTGAAGGCTGACTCTGCATGTCCTCTTAGGAAAACGGAACCGTAAAGGCGTCCCCCCAGGACGACAACAACAAGCTCAGCGAGGCCCAGCAGCCCCCCACCGAGACAGACAAAGACGAGGCCGAGCAGGAAAAGGAAGACATGACAGAGATTCTGGAGAGGCTGAACCTGGCAGCGGAGAACAACCGCGTATTCTCGATGAGCAACGAAACGCGCGAGCTGTTGCGCAAGTTCACCCTGATCTTCAAGGATCTCGTCAACGGCGTGCCCACCGCCTACCACGACCTCGAGATGCTGCTCACCAACGGGAACAAGCAGCTACAGAGCACCTATTCCCAGCTGCCCGGTTTCGTCCAGAAACTGATCCAGAAGCTCCCCGAGAAGTGGACCGAGACTCTGGCACCGGAGGTCCTTGCGGCGGCCACCGCCAAGGCCAGCCAGAGCGGCCTTAGTGTTGAGAACGTGGGCAAGGCGGCCGCGGCTGCCAACAAGATGGGGATCAAGGTGCCGAGCTTGAAGGAGCTGGTAGGCAAGCCGGCCGCGCTGGTCGGGATGTTGCGCTCGATCGTGGCGTTCCTCCGCGCCCGGTTCCCGGCTGTCCTGGGGCTCAATGTGCTATGGTCGTTGGCTCTGACCAGTAAGCTGCCTGCCTGCCTTTTGCATTCTGTACTCTATGTAAAACAAACAGCAAGCTGACAAATCCGCAGTACTTCTGTTTGTCCTTTGGTATTGTCACAAGCGCGGCCGTGAGGTTCGTCTGGAGAATGAGCGTTTGGTGACGGAAGAAGAAATTGGCAAGTTGAACGACGAGAACTCTGCGGAGCACGAGCAAATTCGCACCACGGAGACATTGACCACTACGGCGCCGCAAGGAGCATCTGTCGCGGAGCTCCGGCAAGGGATTGAGGAGGCACAGCATGCGCGTCTTACAGCAGCAGCAGCCAGCCCCCCCGTGTCAGATGACGGTCCGCAGAAGAATCAGGAGAATGAGACTCCCGATGAGTCGGCAAAACCTAAAAGGGCCAAGTCCCGACTATCGATTTGGACCCGGTCCGAGCAGAAACCAACCACGCCGAAGATAGAACCATATCCTGGGACCTGATATGGCCATGCGTCTTCTGTATCAAGAGAGAATGCGGGTACTAGTGAGGGGGGAGGAAGTGGGGAGATCTGCTTGAATATGCGTTCGATACCATCACGTCTTTTGATTATGTTGGAGTTTCGTTTCATGGTTATCATGTCGATTGCTGGCCACCTGGCCTTTTCTTTGCTTTGTCCATTGGGTCGTTTGGGTCCCGAAAAAGATGGAATGATCCGCGGTTGCGCAACGGAGCGGGCGAAGGCTCCGAGTCGAGCGGGCGACTTGTCTCCGGGTGGCAATTCTGGTTTTGCGAGAGCCACGAGAACTACGAACTACGAACAATGCCCAAGGGTTTCCACCAGTTGCAGCTCTGCCCCTGATAGATGGTCATCTGTCGACATTTTGAAGTATTACTACGTTTGTTTCAACCTCAATTTCAACTCCACTCTTATTTCTTTCGTTACATGAGAGATATGATGGTAGCACATAACTTTAATGATTCTCCATGAAGAGAGACGGGTCTATAAGGCAGTCCTAAGACGGAACAAACCAACCCTCGCTCAGTCATTGACACTGATTGGGATTGAGATTGAAATTGAGATTGGGATTGCGGGGTGCAGACAGTCCCGTTCCCGTTTCAGTCCAATTGCCATGCAGCAAAGGACAAAAAAAGGTCGTCCGCATTGGCCAATGGGGCTCTGTGGTTTGGTGGCGGTGGCCGATCGCTTAGTACTACGTTAATACGTGGTAGTCACTGCTCTCTCCACTATTGATTCTGAAAGCGGGTGACTTTGGGAGGGTCCCGACTAGGTGGTATTACCGGTATGGTAATGTTATTTACTGTTTGTCGGTTTATACTCGCAAAATCAGAAACAAGGGGCATGGAATGAGGATGGAAGGATCTGATGTATGTTGAGTACTTTGGCTGGGACTGCTCGTTTGGAGGGACTTGGGGTTCGAGGGGTGCTCTGCAGGTTTGACAACTTACTTACTCCTCCATACTGACTGACTCTCGATCTATTCTGGTCCATGTGGCCTCTAGGGGTGGAGACTGCCTGATCTGTTCAAATCATGGGCCAACCGCCCGAGTTTGCCCCTTCTCCGGAGTACAGTACTTTGGCATCCATTGCTTCAGAAGAGTGAGCAAGCGAGAGCGAGAGAGAGAGAGAGATCCAGTAGTAATTGACGAAGGAATCTTCGAGTTCAATCACTATCCCACTTACCTACCACCTACTACCACTGAGCCAGCTGTCCATCCCATCCATCATCCCCTTACCGCTCCTTTCTAACCAATCACATGTACATGCACCATGCGCGATGCATGTAAGTATGCCACAGGGCCCAGGCTGCCCATGCCTAAGGAGATTTGTTTTTTTTTTTACGTCCCTCTGTTCGTCATACCACATGATCTGAAGGGAATCTGTTCTTACTACCGCATCTTGCTGTGGGTTGAGGTGGTGGTGGTGATGATGATGACTACGTAAATTGCCACCGCAGTGGAGCGCGGAGCGAGAGATGTTTATATCCAGTCATCCATACCCGGAAGGGTTAGGATCTGGGATTTCCAGTCCGCAGTGATCTTCTTTCATTTACGAGTATCGTGGAGGATTGGTCGAATTGGGGGGAATGGGGATGGGGCTTTGGTCATACGGTTTATTCATTATGAGGTATAGCAACTGCTGGGAGGTTGAGGTGTGGTTTGATCCATGTCTTTCCCTGGCGGCGCAGGTGGAGATTGTCACGATGGGGGAAATATCCTGTGGTAGGTATACAGAGACTTGCAGCGTCTCCAGATCTAGAAATCTGCATGAATGTACTCTGGATAACGCGGTAGTCGACCACCTGAAAGACCACTATGGGAGGACTCAAGCTACAAGAACAAGTACAAGTACAATGAGGAGTATGTTAGTACTCCGTAAACACTGACCTCAGCTTTTTTTTAGGCCTACTCAGTTACCCCGACAGGGACAACAAGACCACCCACCAGTTGTTTTGAAGGATTCGAATTGCAGGGGCAGCAAGGCGGCACCTTTCCCCTTCCAGCCCACACTAACCCCAGAGTAGTCTAGACTAGCCGTTCAGTCTGAGGCTCGGCCAATCTCTGAGATGGAGGCCAGTGTCCATCTGGCATCCAGGTTGGAAGTACGGTTTGAATGCTTCTCGACTGGCGGCAATCTCGTGTAGACGTGAAGGGATGGTTTCATGGTCTTTTGTGATGAGTCGATCGGATATCCCACCTGCTTGAGCTGGGGACGGAGTAAGGCGGGGTTGAGAAGGGAAAAAGGGGGGAGTGTGTCACTGTGCATGAAGAGGTTGATAGAGAGGAAGCACGGTCCAACATGTTGTCCGTTTCTGAAGTCATCCTTACAGTATAACTGAACTTTAATAACTGACTCGTGGAAATGGCTTGAGGTTCATGCCAGGATGTCGGAATTTTATCCCATTTCCCTGGGGGTTGTCTGCTACATCCCGAGCAAAGACGATCGCAAGAGATCTGCATTCCTGCCTGGATCCAATCGACTGTCTCGACTCGACAAGGGTTGGTGCATGGTTGTTTCGGTGTATTTGACTACTGGTGGTAGTTACTACTCGTAGGGAGTTAACTCCGTACCATGGCATTTTCAAAAGACAATAGTTATCCCACTCGATAGGTGCAACAAACAAAGTGACTGTCAACAAATCATGAGCAATCAGTTGTTGTATGAGTCATTGTTCTTCTCCTGTCTCCTGGTGACTCCCTCCGCAAGCTCATTATTAGTATTCTGGAACCCGGTTCGACCGGGAGAGAGGGGAGCGGGCCAAGTCATCAGGTTGACACAACCATTCAATAGTCATAGAACTAATCTAGATGGCACCTGAATCAAGAAAAAGCACCACTGATTTAGCATTTCCTGGACACTAGCAACCCCTGGTCGTCTCACGCCCTCGAGCACGACGACCGTTCAATCGACTGCCGGTCACCATCTGCAGTTTCAGGTACCCAACAGACAATAATCCATCACATGCTCCGATGCTATCATCTCTCTATCTCACTTTCGGACTGACTGTCCATCGACTCGGCGAAGTCTTGTTTCCTGCTGAGTTCCAACCTCTTCCTGTCATCCCACGTTCGGTGACTGTGAGACAAGGATGTTGCCTCTTTCATGCCTGAGGTCTCAGGCCCCGTCGCATTGGACCGTTTTTAACTCTCCGCTGGCTTCATTTCGAGTTGATGGGAGACCCGCTTGCTTAGTCGACGACCAGCCAGCAATGCAAGCTACTATTGGAGTGGGGGAGGAGTGAATGCAGGCAAAATTCAGTTGAAAAAAAAAAAAAGAGAAGAAAAAAAAAACAATAGCAGAGACTAGAATGAAACAGGAAAAGAAAAAAGATGCGGTGAACACCTGTCCGCCAATGGCCATGCATGCTTTAGTGGCTCCTAACCAATGACAAGCTGAACAACTGCGACCAGCCGGTCAATACCCCACCGTGACTGGAAAATTTGGTCCGCCTCAGCCTGTCCGAGGCTGTTCTGGTTCTGTAATCCGCTACTTACCGTATCACCCCGTACCGCCGCCTCGGCGGATTGAAGAGCATCAGAGTTGAAATCGAGTCCCCCCAGTGAATGCGGACTCGACGGGGTACTACTATCTACTAGTAATAGTGTATGCCGTTGCCTGTACTGCCCGTAAGCCCGGCCGCTCTTTTCCCTCTCCTCCCCTACACCCCCCCCTCCCCCTTCACCAAACATCCCCCCCCCAATTAGTACTTCCACCCCTCATCCTGCTTCTTCTTCTTCTTCTTCTTCCCTTCTTTCCTCCCTCTGCCCATCTGCAGATTCTTTCCACTTCTACCAGCCCACCACCACCCCACCAAACCCCTCCATTTTAACCCTTTCTTCTTTACTATACTATCCAGATATCGTCAAGTGTACCGCGCCAGGATGGCCTTCGTTGAGCTGTAAATTTCTCCGCTGGGAAGCACGGCTGCCTCTTCCATGCTTCCCAGTCCTAGCAGCTCCGACTATCTCTCATCGAACTTGACGACTATCTGTTCCTCTTTCGACGCACCATTCCAATTCCCAGCGTCGGAATTGCCTATCACTACACTCATACGAGAAGCACTTTTGACGTTCCCCTTCTGGACGCTGAGGTGCTTTGGCGAATTCGAAAAGTCTTTGCTGTTATCGTTGCTTATCCTCCTCCCTTCCGTTCCCCGGATCCCTACCATCTCTTTTTCACCTTTGCTCGGACGAAGTAACGACTATCACCTTCTTCCTATCGTACGCCTGCACCACTTGACGGTCGAGACCCGCCTCATCCATCACGACAATCCCGGCCCTGATTCCGCCTTCGAAGAGTCTGACGCAATTGATTCATTCCCCGCGGATAGCAAACTTTGACGATCCATCAGCCTACCAAGGTCAACACTCGCTCGTGCCAAGTTCAAAACAGGGCGTGATACATCCTCAACCTACCAACTCACTGTCATATCCTTTCCGGACCACACCACCTCAATGCCTCCCTCCACCCATTCGCCCAAGCGGCCTTCCCAGACTGCCGCAAAGGCTGTCCAGCGCAATCCCAGCCGTCGTCCCTCCACTCACTCCCTCGAACACACCCTGACGGGTCGCTCCCCTCGCACCTCGAACAAAGGCGTCGCTCTTGGTTCTTTGGGCATGGATCGGAAACGCAGGGCATCCATCATGTCAGTGTCCAGTGTCTCGTCTGTGTCGTCCATCGGGGAGCTCACCGACGAAGAGGAGGAGGATGATTCGGATGATGATGATGCCGACGACGAAGAAGAACAGCCGGCTGTTCGCGGCCCGTCTTATAATCGTCGCGATCGGTCTCATAAGACGGGCATGAAGTCTGCCAAGCGGACCAAGAAGATGAAATTCGAAGATGACGACGGCTATGATGCCCAGCGAAGCAGTGATGAGGAGGAATACGATGACGATGACGATGACGATGACGATGACGATTCGGACGAGGAGAACTCGGACGACATCTATGCTGCTGTTGACTATATCAGTGACGGAGAAGACGAGGAGGACAAAGACGTTGAAAAACTCGAAGAATTGTTGATCGTAGAATCCGAGGATGAGCATGCCGTTGAGTCCATCTTGACCACCACCTCCGCGACAGACGCCAGTGACTGGGCCGGCCCCAATGTCTTTGACGATCACATGCTCCTCTCGGCTGCCTCCTTCTTCGACGAGGAACAGCTCTATAGCGCCATGGAGACATTTGGCGATGAAATGGCCAGCGAGACTGCCGTCGAAACACCCATGCCCCGCCGGGTGCACTTCGAAGAAGATTCTGATTCGTCCACCGACAGTGATTCTCACACTGAAGACGAGATCCCGAGTGATTTCCTCCAGCAGGACAGCCTTGATCCCCAGCTGCGTCGCATGATCGAGAGCGACACAGAGAATTATCCGCGCCAGCGCCGCCAGTCGGAAGAGATGTTCGCAGACTCTGACTATGGACATTCAAATATCTATCACGTGGAGTCCGATGCTGTTTCCGAGGTGTCGGAGTCGAGCGGCTACGAGAGTATGCAGAATGCTTGGGATCTTCCAAAACGACGTTTGCTGACACTTCTGAAGCCGATGATGGCGAAACCACAGATGAAGACCTTCCCCCTCCCGCAACTATCACCCACCCCAGATCTATACTCCGTCGCGATTCATCCGCTTCTGTTGCACCCCCGGCTGAAGAAAAGCCCGAGCCTGTGAGTCGGCGCCGCGGGCCCATTATGGGTACCTTCGTCGCGGACCCTCATAAACCGGTGGCGCTTGTTGATTGCACCGGCAAGCACCTGGTCATCATCCCCGCCTATGCCTCGTCGCGGCATGACTGGCTGGAATCTGCTACCAATAGCGTTTGTGGTACGGCTCATAACAGTCCCCGTGCCACCACCATGCACCTCATTGATGAAAGCGACACCGATGCCCTGGCATCTCCCGGTCACCTCGATATGAGCCCGATGCTAGCATCCAGTGCCAACCTGATGATGACGGCGCTTGGCAATGACATCGCTCCAGGTGGCCAGGTGATGGGACCTCCCGAGGCTTTTTACCCGTCTCGTGACTTTGCCATCGACAGTTCCTTTGAAGACGACGATGAGGACGACCCAGAGTCAGCTCTGAACGTTGAGGACTTTATCGACTTTGGCCACGGGTCATCTGAGGACGAGATGGACAAGGTGTTTGAGGAAGAAACACTCATGTCCCCCATGGCAATTCAGTCCAAGCATGCTGGCAGCGGCACGCCCACCCCGAGCCGGGCCGGTGAGACCCACCAGGCCAGCAGCGCAGAGCGGTTCTTGAATCACCTGGATCGAGGCATTGTAACGGCATTCCGCCGCAATCACAACCGGTATCAAGCCCTGCTGCGCCTACCCCAGCATCGTGAGTTCATGCCGGCCAATTCACCGTCTCGCCCTGCCAGTGTGTTTAGACATGCACGTAATGCAGACCAGCGAGCCTCGACGCGTAAACGCAAACCCAATGGGTATAACGGCGGGGAGGCCGTCCGACGAAAATTGATGGATGCCCACCGCCGCAGTCAGCTTCCCTTTTAAGGACTGTGACTGTGGAAAACCTTCTATGACCTTTGTTGTACAGATCTTAGGTCGGCCGCTTTAAAGTGGTAGCCCTTGCTGAACTGAAAACCACTAAACGATACGAATAATTGTACATGGATACAAAAAGTGTTGATATTTACAAGAGAGACTCATTTGACAAAAGCTTTCTTTGACAAAAGCCTAGAAAGGTACGCGAAGTGCATATTCTGCCCGAAACAGTCGATCCCCTCCCATGGTCTAGAACGGGTGCTTACCCCATGACCCCAAGCTCGCCTTGATGATGACTTTTCACGGAGTTCTGAAACGGATATACCTTGTTGCGGCGAATTAAGTGAAATCTCATATTATCTTCTGCTATGCGTTTCAATTTCTCTTTATGATGTGTGATGTTCCGGCGTTTTTCCATATCCCAGCCAACTATCCAATGAAATTTATCAGGATCACTTATTGATTCTCTCTATTGGCAAGAACGGAGTATTACTCATTACCACACTATGCTGTTACGCTCGATGGGGTCGACTTCTCGATTGCTCCGACGGTGCCTACCCGACTGCGTGTCTCGGACTGTTTAGCAGCGGGGAATACAGAGGGATACTACCCTCTGCAAGCCGCAACTAGGTTGGTCGGAGGTATTGCAGCTGGATCGAGTAGCAGGCCCCGATCATCGTGCGACGTATCCGGCGCATGTTGTGGAATGCTTGAGTCTGGTAGGTTGTAGGGTATATATATTGGAGACAAGCCCGGCAGAGACATGACGAATCCGCTTCCCAATTTCCCCGCACATCCAACAAGGGAGGCTGTATCCTCCGACAAAGCGCAGCAATGACCGCATCCACTAGGACTCTCGGTGGATGCGCTCCTCGACAAGGTGTAGGACGGCTGGCTGTCGGGCCGCGATGGGTTGTTTTGTTTTTTGTGTTTCTGAGTACAGTGTGTCTCACATGTTTATTAGAGAGTTGGATGGCGAGGTAGTACGTCCCTAGTATCTGAGACAGTGTCATCAGCATTGTCTTCTCCTAGACTTGATCATCTGTTTTCATTGTCAGTTGTTGTAAGCTAGCTTCTTCATCTATTCAAATGAAGGCGCTAAGCCGCAGCGATCGGCATGTGTTCGTTCGGCGGTTATGTCTCGACACTGAGATTCGATTTCCACCAATGAGCAGGTATGTGGGGGAGGGTATATAAGTCTCAAATAGTGGTGAAAGCCGTATACTGTTTCTGATTGGAGTTGGGGGGGTGAAGAGAATAGGCGCCCAGGTGCAGGGGCACGTTTGCAGCGAAGCGCCCGTTTGCTGCAGGGTGAGCTTATAGCGGGGTGGTTCTGCAGGATGGTGGTTTGGTTACAGATGAGCAAATTGGGCTTTTTCTTTCTCTTGCTGAATTGTGGGTGGTTGGAAGCTGAGGTTTGTTGATGTGGTGGTGTGGTGTGACGTTGGTTGCAGTACGGAGTAGTTACGCTGTCGACCTGTCGACCGCCCCTCGACGACTTCCATCCTCCATTGCCTCTGCTTCCTTCTCTCTCTCAATGCTTGACATTTCGCATTCGCGAATATTTGGCAGGAACATGATGCTCCAGGAATGCAGTGAAACCCATGGGCATTGTCTTCTCAAACATGACTAATATGAAGAGGGCAGCAGTCGTTGCCTACTGCAAGACTGCTCTCCGCCATCCTCCTCTTTGATTGTTCAAGACAATGACCTCACCCTCCACCAGGACCTGCGCCTTCGCTGGAGATCAGCTTCGGTAACGGCCTCTGCTCGACCGTGATTGGCGATGCCGGTGACTGACTTCGCGCCTCCCCTCGCACTATTCCAATCCTCGTCAGGGTCCTTCAGTATGTTCCTGCGCTAGCGGAACAGTCGGCGCCTCCACATCGGATTGGCTCTTTGTGTCACCAACTGCCTGACTCTGTACAGACACAGAATAAAAATATTAGCCAACCACGCTTGTTTGCAAGACTTCCCGGACAGTGAATGAATGGGCTTTTTGTTGGGTGGGGGGTGGGGGAAGGTCTTGTCCAGGCACCTTTTGTTGCTTTTTATGGGTTTACCCCCCTGTTGCAGCATCCTGGTGTTATAGATTTAAGTGATTTAAGTGATCCAACGCCCTCTTTGAGGGGGTGGGTCGCTGCTTTCTTTCTATTTTCTTCGCCCTCTATAATAGTGTTGCTATTTAGTCCCTCCCATTGTTGTGGGTGTTCATTGCTCGTGGCTGGACATCGAGACATTCGTTACAACTGACTCCTACTAACACTCGTTCAACCTCGTTCATTGCTCTCGCGAGTCACTCTCTGTCGCCTCGACATCATCTTCTTTCTTGTCCTTACTGTCCCCGTCATATGACACCTTGAAAAGTCAAGTCCATAATCAGTTCTCGCTGTTCCTACGTCGCAGCATAATACTCTACATTCGCTAAATCGCTTCCCGCATCTCATTACCATGAGGGTCAAAGCCTCTGTCTCTCTGCTGTCTCTCGTCGCATTGTCACGGGCCTCAAGCCTGGTAAGTCTCTCTGCTTCGGTTTCCTCCAATATCGGCTGATATTCGTAGTGGTGGGACACCGATGAGAGCTTCAGTAGCCCCGACAACACCGAGACCACCTGTTTTACGAAGCAGCAAGCAGGGTTCGACTGGTCCGACCTGGCTGTCGGTACCTCTCCGACCTATGAAGGGTTCGAGTTCTCCGGCTTCTCCGTGAGCAACAACTTCAGCACTGCTTCCAGCGTAAGCACATCTTCGACGAGTATGAGAACTGCTGGCTAACTGGGTCAGGCCAAATCCATCGTTGGCAAGCTCACCAAGGACACCTCTTCGGCTCCCAAGATCTCTGCATCAAAGGACAAAGACTTCTCCGTCAGTGACCTTCAACTGGCCTCTTCTCGCGACACGGGCATCCGCATCGTTTATGGCATGGCCGACGGCACTAAGTGCAACGATTTTGTTTCTGCCTCTGTCAATGGAACCCTTGTCACTAATGACCAGTGTGGCGGTGCCATCTCGATCAGCTTTCAATTGGCCGAGGATGCCCAAGTTGACGCCAGCTTGTTGAGCGTGTACAAAATTGGATTCGACTGCTCTTCTGGTAAGACGTCAACCAATGCTCCCGGAGCTGCGTCGTCGCTGCAGGCAAGAGCCCACTCCGTGCAGCTCATTCGTAAGGACCACCGGACTACTCCTGCAGCTGCTGTGACCCCTGCCCCGGAGGCGCCTGACAACAAGCTAACGACCTCGACATTCTATATCACGAGTGAAATTGTGATCACTAGCTGTGGCCCATCGGTGACTGATTGTCCGGCAGACTCCACCACAGTGGTCACATCAACGATTCCTGTCTCGACTGCTGTTCATTCTGTCACTGAGACCTCTGCAGCTGAGTCTTCGACGGAGAGCGTCCCTGACGTTCCAGATCTCACCTCCACCAGCAGCGTGGACTCTAGCGTCGTTGTCCCTACCGATACGTCTTCCAGTGAGACTGTCCCGACCGATACATCTTCCGGCAAGACTACGCCAGGTGCCACATCGTCTAGCAGCGCGGTCCGCAGCTTCACATCCTCTGACGAGATCGTCCCAAGTGCCACGTCTAGCAGCACAACTAGTCTCACATCTTCTATCAGCGTGCCGTCGGGAAGCTCCCCTGTGGAATTGCCTTCTTCTCACTTGATCCATACGCACAGTACCACCAGCGGACCTCTACCTGTCATCACGCCGGGGCCTAGCCCCTCTGCTCCAGCTGTGGACAGGGTCACCGTTATTACCTGGGTCACTGTGACAAGCTGCCCGGTCACCTCCACGGGAACGGTGAGCGGCCAGTTAACTACTTCGGTGGGCACTACGCTTTCCACTGTGACCATGACCTCAACGTCGACTATCTGTACTAGATGCATTACTCCAACCAGTGTACCCTCAGGCGTGGCACCTATTTCTTCAGGCCCTGTCTCGTCAGCTCCTGTCAACACGCCTGGACCTAGTGCTCCTGCTTCAAGCGTTGATGAGACCACAGTGATTACCTGGGTGACAGTGACAAGCTGCCCGGTCACTTCCACCGGAACCGTAAGCGGCAAGCTGACCACTTCAGTGGGCACTACGCTGTCTACCGTGACCATGACCTCAACCTCTACCATCTGCACCAAATGCATTGCTCCAACCAGTGTCCCCTCAGGCGTGGCACCCATTTCTTCAGGCCCTGTCTCGTCAGCTCCTGTCAACACGCCTGGACCTAGTGCTCCTGCTTCAAGTGTTGATGAGACCACAGTGATTACCTGGGTGACAGTGACAAGCTGCCCGGTCACTTCTACCGGAACCGTAAGCGGCAAGCTGACCACTTCAGTGGGCACTACGCTGTCTACCGTGACTATGACCTCAACCTCTACCATCTGCACCAAATGCATCGCCCCAAGTACCACTGTCCCATCAGGTGTGGCACCCATTTCCTCGGGTGCTATCTCATCCGCTCCTGCCAACACCCCAGGTCCAAGCGCGCCCATTTCGAGTGTGGATAAAACAACAGTGGTGACCTATGTTACGCTAACTACGTGCCCAGTGACAGCCACAGTTTCCGAGGGTGGCTCTGTGAGCACTTCGGTGGGCACCACGGTTTCGACCGTCACGCTGACGTCTACTTCGACGATTTGTACGAGGTGTATTGCTCCCACCTCGGTCTCGTCGTCGACTCCTACCGTGACGCCGACTTCGCTTCTCACTTCGGTTGCCACGTCGCTCACGCTGCCTCTTCCATCTTCCGTGGCTCCGGTCTCATCGGGGCCTGCATCGTCTGGTCCCTCGCCGTCTGGTCCTATCTCATCCGCACCCGTTCCAACAGGACCCGCTCCAACAGGTTCTGTTCCTATTACCAGCGTGGATAAGACTACTGTTGTCACATACACCACAGTGACTACTTGTCCGGTGACATCGACCGTTTCTGAAGGGGGTTCCGTGTCAACTTCAGTAGGAACCACTGTTTCTACTGTCACGCTCACTTCAACCTCGACTATCTGTACCAGATGTGTCGCGACAACCCTTCCCTCGGGTGTTGCGCCTGTCACTTCAGGACCGATCTCAACGGGTTCCGCTCCATCAGGGCCCGTTCCATCAGGCTCTGTCCCTGTTACTAGCGTGGACAAGACTACTGTGGTCACTTACGTCACTGTCACCACCTGTCCTGTGACTTCAACAGTCTCAGAAGGTGGATCCGTAAGCACATCTGTAGGCACTACCGTCTCGACGGTCACGCTCACCTCAGTCTCAACCATCTGTACCAGATGTGTTGCGACCACACTTCCTTCCTCTGTGGCTCCTGTCACATCCGGTCCAGTTGAAGCGACCACTTCAAGTGTGGACAAGACTACGCTTGTCACAGTCACGTCAGTGTCCATTAGCCCGGTGACTACGACAATCTCCGCTGGCGGAACTGTCTCTACCTCAGTGGGATCCACGGAGTCGACTGTCACTATCACATCGGTGTCAACTATCTGTACTAAGTGTATCGCACCTACCACAGCTCCCTCCGGTGTGGCCCCTGTCACCTCGGGCCCCGTTTCGTCGGCTCTCTCAAGTGCTGATAGCACTACAGTCGTTACAATTACCTCAGTTTCTACTAGCCCTGTGACGACTACTATCTCAGCAGGCGGGAGTGTGTCCACGTCAGTGGGCTCTAGTGAGTCGACCGTGTATATCACGTCCACCTCAACAATTTGCACCCGATGCATTGCCCCCACGCCAGTACCGTCGGATGTTTCGCCTATTTCCTCTGAGGTGCGGAGCACGACAACGGTGGTCACTTGGGAGACTTTGACTACTTGCCCGGTCACGACGGTAATCACGTCAAGTGGAGTTCCTGTCACATCGGTCACAAGTACTATCTCAACGGTGACTCTGACCTCGGTTTCAACCATCGTAACATCTGTTGCAGTTAGTGTGCCCTCTGTCCCGACCACTGTCATTCCAGGCGGCCCTTCGGCATCAACAATCGTTGTTTCTGGTGTTTTCTCGACTCAGACAACTGTCGTCCCTGGTACCCCCTCGGTGCCAACAGCCGGTGTTCCTACTGTGATTGTGACTACATCGCCTGGTGCTCCTTCCGGTCCTACAGGTCCCTCAGGCGTCTTGCCTGTTTCTTCTCAATCCGACAGCACAACAGCAGCTGCTCCCACCGTGACAACGGTCATAGCGTCTGGTGGTTCCGCTGGTCCCACTGGAGTCTCTCCGGTATCCTCCGAGCTCGAGAGCACGACTACACTCGTTACATGGGAAACCTTGACCACATGTCCAGTAACCACGGTCGTCACCTCAGGCGGTGTCCCTGTTACTTCAGTTACCAGCACAATTTCGACTGTTGTTCTGACCTCTGTCTCGACGATTTGTCCCAGATGCTCGGCCGCTCCAACCGCTGTCGCTCCTGTAACATCTGTTGAGAGCGTCACCACCGTTGTGACATGGCAGACTGTGACGACATGCCCCGTAACGACGGTAGTCACCTCCGCGGGACAGCCAATTACCTCGATCTCCAGCACTGTGTCCACAATCACGATGGTTGCAACATCAACCATCGCAAAGACGATTGTTATCCCAACAGGCGTTGCTCCTGTCACTGGCGTATCCTCGCCGGTGCCATCTGCCGCTTGTCCTAGCGTGGTCCCTAAGTGTATCAACACCTGGTTCGAGCTGGTGCCGAAGTGCACCTCCAACACGGATACAAGCTGCTACTGCCCCGCGGCGAAATTCACCAAGAAGGTGATCGAGTGCGTCCAAGCATGGGGTTCGTCCGCATCAGAAGTTCAAGCTGGTCTCTCATGCTTCACCGGCATCTGTGCGGCCTATGTCCCCCAAAATCCTGGCATCGTCACCAATATTCCGTCCAGCATCACCCTAGGCCCAACCCCTGTCCCCAGTGCCGTTGCTCCTATCAGTGGCCAAGCCTCTCACTCAGGCAACACTGCTAAGCTGACCAGCGGACCCGCTGTTGCGCCGTCTGTTCCCTGCACCACAATCACCTACTCTACCTGGACGGTGACCGTGCCGCAGGTCGTCTTTACGACTGCGACAGCCAGCTCGCAGACAAGTATCGGCCTGGTCCCAGGGGTAAGCTCGACTCGGCTGCCGAACCCCTGGCTCCTGTCCTCATCAGCCTGGGCGTCGCGCTCGGGCAGCCCGACACCAACTCCGACCCCATCGCCGAGCTACACGCCCTTGTGGTCGAACACCGGCGTGACGCTGGGTGTATCCTGGACGTGGTGGCTAGCAGTTGCTGTTGCTACAGTCTTAGGATTGTGGTGAGATAGTTCGGTGGTCTTGTTTTTTCAGAATTTCTCTTAGTTTGAGGTGCGCAGCGTTTGCCGGAATTCTCTTGTCTGTTCGCTTCAATGGTCTTTCGTCAAGTGCCCTTTTCGGTTTGAAAGGGAGACAGGTCTTCAAGAACGATTGAATGTAATTTAGTTCTCTTTTAGGTTCCATCATAATACATAGGTCGATATGACTTCTTCTCCAAGGGGCCATGAAAAGAATTAATGCGAATTAATGCAGACGGCATATCTATAGCAATCATTTCTAACCGGATACCCATGAGTAGATAAGTAAGATATCCCCTTTTCCTACTTCCTCACGAGCCACAGTCATAGACGTGACTGCACTCCCAACTCAGATGCAATACTACATACACCCTTATACAGCTGAAAACCAAATCTCGGCGAAAGGTCGGCACAAGTCCGGATACCAAGAGAGATCTACGGGGGACGATAGCGACCAGTCTGGAGGTGCATGGACCAGTCGGCCCGTCATAACTCCGTCGACTCGGAATTAACAGCTCCATCGCCGACTTCAAGAAGTCATGAATGATCCGGCGGTGGCGGTGCAGGCTGATTGTTCATCTCTTGGTATGGACCCCAATGGATCGTCTAGCACGCCAGGGCTGCCGTCGCCTGGCGAGGTGATCGCGCAGCAACGCAAAGATGCGATGCAGGCGGCGGGCCAGTCCTCAAGCGATGCCGGGCTTCTCTCGCAGCTTACCAGCAATCCTTTCTTCACAGCGGTGAGCATCGAATGCGATCCTGCTACTTTCTACTTTAAAATGAGAACGGTTAAAAATCTAACACTGCACCGGGCAAACACTAGGGCTTCGGTCTCGCCGGTCTAGGAGCCGCTGCAAGTCTAGCGCAAAAGGGACTCCGCCATGGCGCCGCGCTTCTCCGCCGGCGCATGCTCGTTGACGTCGAAATCAGCGTCAAGGACGAGTCGTACCCGTGGTTTCTGCACTGGATGACCCTATACCAAAGTGCCCAGATCACCCCGACTCGCGCCGCGGCGGCCAGCAGGTCTGGCTTCATGGAATCGCTCCTCCGGAAACTGACCCCGGGCACGCGCCACCTCTCCATCCAAACGCAGAAAGTCGAACACACCAACGGCGCCATTCACGCTCAATTCGCGCTGGTCCCTGGTATGGGGCACCACGTGCTGAGATATCACAATGCGTTCATCTTTGTCAATCGGATGCGCGAGTCCAAGTCGGTGGACTTGAAGACTGGGCAGCCGTGGGAGACGATCACCCTGACAACGCTCTACGCCCACCGCCACGTTTTTGAGGAGATCTTCCGGGAGGCGCACGCGTATGCGGTCCAGGCGCACGAGGGCAAGACAACCATCTACAACAGCTGGGGCACGGAGTGGAAACCATTCGGGAAGCCGCGGACCAAGCGACCGTTAGAGTCCGTGATCCTCGACGAGGGGGTCAAGGAACGGATCGTGGCGGATGTCAAGGACTTCACCGCGAGCTCGAAGTGGTACCAGGACCGTGGCATCCCTTACCGACGGGGATATCTGCTTTACGGGCCTCCTGGTACGGGCAAAAGCTCCTTCATCCAGGCGTTGGCTGGGGAGCTGGACTATGACATTGCCATTTTGAATCTGAGCGAACGTGGTTTGACCGATGATCGGCTGAACCATCTGCTGACTATTCTTCCCAACCGCACGCTCGTCTTGCTGGAGGATGTGGACGCGGCCTTCTCCAACCGTCGGACGCAGACCGATGAGGACGGGTATCGCGGGGCCAATGTGACGTTTTCGGGGTTGCTCAATGCATTGGATGGAGTGGCAAGTGCCGAGGAACGCATCATTTTTTTGACTACCAACCACGTCGAACGGCTGGATGAGGCCCTGGTGAGACCGGGCCGCGTGGACATGACTGTCCGTCTGGGTGAGGTCACTCGCTATCAGGTCGGTCGTTTGTGGGATCGGTTCTATGGGGAGCTGGAACACAGCGGCCGCTACCGCCAGGCATTCCTCGACCGGCTGCAAGAGCTGGGGCTTATTGAGGACGAGCATGGAGAGAAAGCAGATCTGTCGCGGAGCACCAGTGCTGCCGCTTTGCAGGGCTTGTTCCTCTACAACAAGGGCAACATGGAAGGCGCCATTGCTATGGCCGAAGGACTTATGTTTCGGGTCCATGCTGAAGCTATGGATCCAAGCAGCTGAAGATGTTGAAGGTGGATTATAGACTGTGTCGTATGTAAATTAGAACTGAGCACGGATTCATGTATAAGTCATAGTAATCAATTGGCAGCAATTGATCTTGTCCCATCGAACCGCTGATGTCACGCTGCATTTAGTCTTTCTTTTCTCCCCCGCCAGCTTCATCCTCCTCTTGGATCTCTACTATTCGACTACTTCCTTCCACGAGAGTCTCTCCCTCACTTATCTTCGTATACCTCTTGACTCGGAATACTAACAATTAGCTCCTCGGAATTCCATCCAATCACCACCGCAGAATACGGCCGGCAAGTGACGGTCCCCTGCCCATGCAGACATCTGTATCCATGCACCTTTTCTTCACAGACCACGCGACGTCAAATCATGCTCCACGGCTGATCAATACCACTTTGGCAATATCGCGCAGTCAAATCAGAATGTCCGTCACCCTGCTGTCACTTGCGACGCGCCGTGCTGAGCAAGAGTCACGCCGGGGCCAGAGCGGGCGGCCTATCACCGCCACCGCACGCTGGCCAGTCTAAGCGCCGGCCACGGCGTTCAGGGATTCACTTGGTTCTTCACCCGACTGGCAGCCTGTCAGATCTCAGACCCTTGCCGCCCTCTCTGGAGGCTTAAGGGAAGGTTTGCAGGCCAAGCCTGGGGGGGAGTGGAGGGGGGAGGGGGTAATATTCTGCACCGCTTGTTGACACGAGGTTGCGATACCGTTGCCAGGCGGGAGAATATATCTAGACGAGTCATCGCCAATTGCTTCTCCGGAAGAGGTTTGAGGGGCCCTTTTCGATACTTTGCTACGAAGGAATCGTTACTACTTGGATTTGCCAGCATCATCGGTGGTTATCAGGGTGCACCGTCTATTCGAGTGGATCGGAGGTCTACTAATCTCCGAATCATCACCATGAGCTCTTTTCAGCTCTTCCCCGCGTCTCCAGAGAACGGGACCTCAAACAACCCTTTCCTCAAAGGGAAGAGAAGGCAAGCGGGACAGCGACCAAGAGAAGATCTCATCCCTCTGAAGACATTCGACAAGGGCCCCGTGGCCCAAGGGGTGCTCTTTCGTGTGGATCAGAACGCTGACAGCGTTCAATCACCCCCACCAGCGCACATTGCTCTCCCAGCGCGCTCCTCACCGGCCAGGACATCCCAAGAGCACGATGTTCGCACTGCTGCCCAGGTCAAGGCTATTCCACCAACAAACAAGAGCGCAGAATGGGCTGGATCTTCTCCGGCTGGCTCAAAACGCAGCAAGGAAGGGTCCACGCCCACCTCCGAAGCGACTCCGTCAAAGTCCGCTTCGCCCGCGCCCATGAGATCCATGTTTCCGCGGTATGATCCGCAACTGCCACTGAACCAGCAAGCATACTATCCACAACTGTCCGCTCATACGCCTCGGAACTACTCACGGCCCAGCCACATCCACCTGTCCCCGGCCCCGGAGATCGACCAGGCACTCGGACCGAAGACCGTGCCGGCTAGTGTGTTGAACTTTCCTTTGGGGGTGCTGGATGCCCCGGAGATGCGCTACTCTTCTGCGGAGGATTTGGTAAGTCTATGGGAGGCGGCGAACGGCCAGAGACCGCAGAACATGCCGGAGACATTCTATCTACGTCTACAACGGTGAGCAGTGCTGTCGACCCACCGGGGTCGTATCACCGTGCTGACACGAGACAGGAGCGGACCATCGACATTCTCACTCGGAGACTCGATCGCACCGTTCTACGCAATGCAGATCGAGCCCAATGACGGGATCTCTCTGACTCGGAACAACCCGACCAAACCCCGTAACAGGGTTCCCATCATGACGTTCAAAGTGGAGGACCGGTCCCGACGCGAACTGCGCGGGGACAATCTGGTATCTCTTCTCCTACCGCGACTGGCCGCAGTGCTCGCCCTCGATCAGGTGGCCGAGATGGCCAAGGAGCACCAACTGGCCCACCAGGACGCCATCGAACTCGAGGCGGATGCCCTCAAGCGGGTCGCCGACCTGGAATCCTGCAAGCTGTTCTGGGACTCCGCCAAGCGCAACTACGAGCTTCACCACCCGGCGCTCTGCAAGCAGCCCCCCGCGCTGGTCGGCACGGCAGGCATCCCGCTGTCGCCGGTGCGGTCCAAGTACTCGGGGAGTCTCTACCTCACCGTGTCCAGCGCCTCCGCCGACTCACGCTCCAGCCAACCGCCCATCATCCTGGTGACCACGCCCGTGTCGGCCAACGCGATCGAGTCGGCCACGGCGGCGGCCACACCGCGGACGTCCACGCTGCCACTAACAGACTCGGACGAGCCGCTGGCGGCGCTGGATCTGGGGACAATGACGCTGTCACTTTCCGCCACCGCGATCATCAACACGGTGCCCTCGCTGTATGCGATCGATTCCGTGGTCGCGGCGATGCTGGCCGTCGCCGTGTCGGATGAGTCGACGGGGCCGATCCTGGAGGCGTTGGTGTTGTACGGCACAGAGAGGTCGGTCACGCCGTGGGGGATGACGCAGCTTGGTCCTGGCGGTGTCCGCGCGGCGGCGGAGCGGGAAGCGGCACAGCAGGGCACGCAGCTGTGGTCGAGCGTGCAGTCCGTGCAGCAGCAGCAGTCCCCCAGGGCAAAACGATGGTACCGGTTCTGGGGAGGGGGCAAAACGCCCAAACCCAAAAACCGCAAGATCGTGGTGGAGGAATTCGACATGGAGAGGTACGGGCGCTACGGGCGGGGCTCCTCGCGCGAGGGCCAGAAGCTGCCGGGGATCACGCGGGGGGTTTTGAGGGTGGTGTTTTTCGGATTGGATGTGATTGTGCAGGTGTTGACGATGATGGTGAAGGTGTTTGCGTGGGTTTTGGTGAATGCGACGCGATGTGTGACTAGTGAGAAGTTTTGATTTCCCCCCCGTGGATGATCCCGGTTGGATGTTTGAGACGGCTTGATTATGATTCCCCGGTTGATGTTTAACTTAATGTCCGATTGACCAATTTCCAAATGACTAACAAGCATATCATTCCCTTGCTTCTCTTTGCCCTTGAATTGGAGATTAATTCGCCAGTCAGTCCCAACATGCAGATAACGGGTGATTGATGGGTGATAGTGATACATTCGCCGCGCACATACCTTACTCGACTGAGCAAGAAGACATTCCACTGCATTCCTCGGCCGGAGGGTTGGCGCCACTTTTGCGCCGTACCCTCAGCATGTCGCGATGAAACCCATAGACGGGGCGGGCTGGCTGGAATCTAGGGTGACAGGAGTGAGTAGTGTAGCATTGAGTGTAATTACCCGTGTAGTAGAATCCCTCTCGAGTACTAGATTATGGAGATGTAGGGTTATGCATGAGAGTATGAGGAGGTACTACATATAGGAACGAACTACACACCATATCCCGGGCTGCCCTTCAAATCACCACCAACCTTGCTGAAGCCGAAAAAAAAAGAAAATTCGACACGATGGACAAAATGCGCACCCTCCTCCTCCTCTCCACCATTCCCCTTGCAACAGCTACAGCCAGCACAGACCAAGAACTAGGCTACCTTCAATGCGCGGTACCACCTCCCCTCCCCTTTCCTGTCTTATCCTTCTCTTTATTATGTGAAGTACTACTAACGGTACTTTGTATAGTCGGCAATCGCACAAACCTACCACAGCCCCCAATGCACCTCCCCCTCGGCATTAGACTGCTTCTGTAACGCCCCGTTCGACCCTGCCGCTTTGGATCAGGGGGTGTTGGAGGATTGTCAGGGTGAGGGTGTTGGTATGTGTTTCTTTGCTCTTCCGTGCAGTGGCTAGCCTTGCAGTAGACTAGTAGCCTGTTTTCACTTTTCCACTGTTTCTGTGAAGTGGCTGACTCCAGACAGACATCGGCGATATCCCACGATATATCTGCGATGACGCGAGTGTGCCCGTCTCCCCGCGCAAGGGGAGTGTACCGATGGTGCGGCTTGCGGATGTTGATGCTGGTGCGGGTGCGGGGGCGCAGCAGCAGCAGCAGCAGCAGCATCGGGGTAGTTTACCCATGGTGCGAGTGAATGTCCCAAGTAGTGCGAGTGCGAGTGCGAGTGCGAATGCTGTGTCAAGTAGTGCAGCGGTCACTCCGAGCAGCAGCCGAGCAGTGAATACTCCCAGCAGTGCCGTTCCCAGCAGTGCCGTCCCTACCAGCAGCATCGCCAGCAGTCCTCGAAGAGCAAGCCAACCGCTCATGCGCGTGGACGACACCACCAACCAAGCCCATACCCAACGCAAAGAGGCAAGAGCCTACAGTCCAAATCTCCATCCTAACGCTCTCCCTCTGGCAGAGGATGCCTTGCCCGATTCCTCTCTCTACAGTACCACTTCGACTGGAACAGGCACAGGCACAGGCACAGACACACAGACTGGTACTGGAACAGGCGCATACACAGATGCACAACCAGGCGCATACACAGATGCACAACCCGGCGCATACACAGATGCACAAACAGGCGCATACGCACCTGCAACCGAATCCTCCGCCGCCGCCTCCAGCCCCTACACCGACCCCTCCACTACAACCCAAACGAACCAGAATACCCCCGAAGAGGCAGCAGCAGGAGCAGGCGCGTGGACCGGGACCGGAGCCGCGGAACTCGCCCCCAGCTCACCCCCCCTCGCCGCGGGCGGTCTCGCCATCCCGACTCCCACCGCCGCCGTCGCCGCCGTCGCCGCCGCCGCCGGAGCTGATGCCGCCGAAGCGACAGCCGCAGCGATGCTACCCACCTCCGCAGCGGCGATTCCCTCCTCTTACCCCATGACGATCAGGACAAGCAACGCCGTCGCAGCGAAAGCGACACCGTCGACGTCGACGTTTTCGTCGGTGAAGCTTGTGACTATCGTGCCGTCTGGGGTGCCGGTTGTGACCGGGGTGGCAGGATCTGGGGTTGCTGCTGGAGCTGGGTCTGGGTCTGGGTCTGGGGCGTTGTTCCAGGGAAGTGCTGCGGGGCGACTACGGATTCATCCGGTGGTGATGGGGTTGGTTGGGGTTATTGGGTTCTGGGTTGTGGGTTGAGGAGTACTAGGTTCTGAATGGGGATGAGAGGGGTGGGTTCGGGTTCAGACTGACTGTTTTGTCGACTGTCTCTTGTGGGTACTGAGCGGGGATGTTCAAAAGAGCTGTGAGTGGGTGGGTGAAGGACGCTGTATCGCTGTATCTCATGTTGTTGTTTGAAGATTGGGTTATGGGAGATTGATAGCTTATGAGTGATGAACAATTCATTATCTGGTTTGATTCAAGGTGCTATCTGCTGGACAAGAAACTAAACATTAGATTGCTGATGTGAACCCTAAAGAAGTCACTCTCGACAGTACTATCTATGAGACTAGCTACATAACCACCCCCCCCTTTTGCCTGCTGCCCTACGCATGAATCGCCTGCTGCACGCGCGGATACAACTGCACCAACCGCTGATACAAATCCGGATGCTGCTCGATCATCACCTGGGGATCCCACGCCATCGCCGCGAAGATCGTCTCAATCCCACTACTCATCGGCGTCATAAAGATCTGACAAATCTGCAAGCCAATCACAAAGGCAAACGCCATAACCACCGCGGTGAAGTCGCCGCCCTGGTTGTACGCGGGATGGGTGTAGCGCAGATACAGATAGGCGAGGAGGGCGCACACGTACGAGACAAACACCGAGCCCATCGTGATCACCGGGCCGACCAGACAATCCGCCGCCAGCGCGTCGACGCCGCGGTCCTTCATCATCGTCCAGGTGTCCCGGGCGGCGGGGAGGTAGGCTTTCCCATACAAGGCGATGTGGCAGAAGGCGTAGCGGTTGAAGAAGGTGACCAGCCAGTCGAGCAGGGAGATCACACACCCGAGCACCCAGAAGGCGATGCTCCCCACCAGACTCCCCTGCGCCGCCTCCTGCCGCTGCGCCACCGAGCACGCCTGCCGCAGCAGGTTGATGAGCGCGATGATCAGACTGCCGAAACTGATGCTGCCGAACGAGTAGGTCGTGGCACGTCGCAGCGCCCCGCGCGTCGCCCCCGCCGGCATCCCGCGCGCCGTCCCACTGAAGAAGTACCACGAGCCGTACACCCCCGCGATCGTCGTGTGCACCGTGTTCTTCAGCCACTCGCTGAACCAGTACATCGCGAAGGTGACATACACCACCAGCCCGATCACCCGCGCCGTACTGCACCCCCCGCCGCCGTCGCCGCACGCCGGATTCGTGCCGCCGCCGTTGCCGTCCGGCTCGTACGCGACGTAGATGGAGACCAGAGTGACGGAGAACCAGGCCCCGAATGCGACGGCCAGCAGCCCGCCGACCGTGCTCACGACGAACATGTGGCCGTAGCGCCGCGACACGTCGATCGAGGTCTGCATCATGAACGCGGTGAACGGGATGCGCGGGATCCAGCTGATGAAGCAGATGATGGCGAACACCCCGAAGATCAAAAAGACAATCCCGCCCCCCCACTGGTGCTGCGTCAGGTAGTAGATCGCCGTCGCCAGCGCAAACACGATATTCAGGATCCCCGTCGCCCAGATGAAGAGTTTCGGGAAGTACCGCGCCCCCAGCCAGTAGGCGTACGACAGAACCAGCGCGACGCAGAGCACGAAGATCAGCAGGATCAGGGTGTTGGTGTTGAGCGAGAAGTCGTTGGCCGAGTCGTAGATGCCGCCCCCGTTGAACCCTTTGTACTTGCTATAGCGGTAGATCACCACCCCGGAGACAGCGACGTAGCCGAGAAACACCGCGATGAGCTGGGGCCCGAGTTAACACCAGACCTAACGGGGAGGGGGGAAACTTGACCTACCAATAAACCGGCCCAGAGGTCATTCCATTTGGGCTTCTCGACCTTGAAGGCCTCGTCAAACCCATAAACAGCCTGGTTGTATGTGGGTGGCGGTTCCTGGGGCGGCTTGGGCTCAGGGCCGCGCGCGTAGCCTCCATTGGAATGATTCGGCTGCGACGGTGCTCCCTGAGGAGCTTCAGGATTGTAGTAAGGTTGTTGTTGTTGTTGCTGCTGCTGCTGAGGCGGAGGCCCGCCAAAGCTTTGATTGGTATTGTAATAACTGGCAGCTTGACCGCTCATAGCTGCAGCACCATATAAGAGGAGGACTATAACGGGTGGAGACAAAACGGCAGAGAGTATAAGGTGTCACTTATAACTTATTGATAGTCAAATAAGACGACAGCAACTAAAGACACGAGGGGCCGAAGGTGACGAAGGAGATCCGCATGCAGTGACAACTCCTTGGAGGTCCAAGACATAAGGTTACACTCCCCTTCCTTTCCCCCGTGCATGAGCGCGTCATAGTGAGAAAATTTGATCGTCTCCCGCCCGTCCTTCCAAAACTCAATCTACATCTACCTTCATCCACAATGCGTCATCAAAACAAAAAAGAATTCATTCTTCATTGCCACTCACTCCCGTCTTCCCTTCGATGTACAGAATCATGTCTTCTCCCCTCGGTCATTATTAGGTATTAGCCATCAGGATAGATGAAAACAGCAAGACCGACCGAATCAGAAGACGACTCGCACATGAGAAGCTGAATGATGGTGGCAAACACGAATCAAGCGGATTGGGTATCAATAAATACATAGCAGGTCCTCTTGGCCAACCTCAACGCCCTCCCCCCCCACTCTCCTCTCTCTCTCTCTCTCTCTCTCTCTCTCTCATCGAAATCCATGGTGCCGCTGCTTCATGTGTCGCCAGGAGTCCGCGATGCTGCGCTCGAGTCCATGAGCTGGCGACCGGGATCGTCCATGCGCCCAGTCATCCGTCGCCGCCTGGAGCTGACCCATGTTCATCGCGCGCGAGCGGCGCATGTTCTCCTGTCGCACTGCCGCCCGTCGCGCCGCGCGTAACTCCTCAATCCGCCCCTGTCCGACCCGATGGCGCCGGACAAAGCAATCGTCGATCAGAGAGTTCGCATCCAGAAGCCGCTTCGGGACCGCCTGGACCACCTGGAACACCTCCATCGGGTCCGAGACCGCCATGATCTCGTGCTCGCACGATTTGAAGATCGCCAACGCGACCCGGAAGAAGGTCTTGGACCCTTCGTAAAAGAAAATATCCCAGACGCGGAGGGTGGTCTCCAGCGGCAAGGTGCCGATAAAGACGGACATGAGCCAGTTGGTCAGCCCCAAGGTGATATCCGGCAGGCGGGAGCTGACGGTCAGGGCCGGCACCTTCGCACTCCCCGCCCCGGGTCCGCTCCCCGCAATTTTATTATAGATGTTGGGCGCGGATTCTTTGAGCAGCACCATCAAGATCCAGAGATCAATATTCGCGCCCTCGAGGCTGATTTCATGCGTGCTGGGGAGGTAAACGGAACTGATGATGTGTAACATCCAGAAGGTCTTCTCTTCGGAGAGAAAGAGAAGCAGCATGCCCGTGATAAAGTTCAACGACTGGGTGTATCCAATCTGCGGGTTGTGAATCGCGAACGCATACAGAACGCGACGGAGGGACTGAATCATCTCCGTTTCCACGGTGACCGAGCCGTGTCGCGGGTTGCTGCTACCAGAGCTAGCGGCCGAGTCGACGTTCTCAGGTTTGAAGTGGATATTGTCCGGAAAGGTGCGATGCAAATCACGCTCGATGTGTTCCTTGTCGTCGTTGCTAGGGGACTCCATAGATTGCCGAACCAGCTGGTCATAGAGACCGGGATTACGGTTCAGATGCTCGTAGCCGCCAGCATAGAAAAACCAGGCTGCACCCCGGTACTCCGAGGGAATGCCCTTGCGCACGAATCTTTTGACCTTGTTCGATTTCGGAGGGAAAGTCGTCGGCTCAGTGACCCGCAGTCGATTCTCCTTGAGAAGCTCCACCCACTTGCTTCTTCGGTGAGCAGCGTGACCCGCGTAATTGCGGTGCCACGCTTCATACTGTTCGAGCGTAACGTGGTGGGTTGCCTTGCGGAACCCATAGCAGTCGCGGGCGCCAGTGCCGGGGAGTAACGGCGGCGGCACCATGCCCGGGATAATCACGGTGGTGTCCGACTCCGGTGCAGCAGGCGGATCGAGGAATTTGCGTTCGGAGGGAGGGTGTGGACGCGGGTCGTGGGAAGCTGCGTCACCCAAGAACTCTGCATCCGGGGGACTTTGCCCGTGAGCCTCCAGCGCTGGAAACGGGGGAACAGGCGGAACATCTTCTGTGGGTTCCAGTTCAGGGGAATGCTCATCGGAGCTATGGCAATCATCGAGGGTCATCTCTGTAGGCGGGCGGGGACTCAACGGTCTCGCCTTGCTCTCATCATAGAATCCCGCCGAGTCATAGACTCCGGGTGATCCTGGCTCCTCGGTGACATCGCTGAAGCCATCCAGATACATGGAGATGGCATCTTCCACACTCATGCCCCCCTCCTTGTCATAAGAACCATCTGGTGTGTCAGGCGACAGGTCGGTGATGGAGCTGCTTTTGGTGAGGACGCTGCTGCGCTCGGTGCCGCTGGCATGTTCGATGCTCGACCGCGATGTCATGGCCGAGTTGACGCTGGATCGAAGAGCATCTTGCCCGCGCATCTCTGCGTATGTCCCCGGGGGAATGATTCGGGGTAGTCTCAGTCCGGTGGATTCATCTGGAAGGCGCTCTCGATTCCGCGGCGGCTGGGGACGCATACTATGTAGTTTCGAGGTGGAATTGGACGTGCGCAACCCAGCGGGTGCAGGCGGGGATTTGCGGTAATGTGGTCGATCGACCTCCCTTTCTCGGGGGGCAACCCTGGAGCGGGCAGGCGGTTGCAGAGGAAAGGTGGGGGAGCGGTAAGCCTTTTGGCGAATGACAAGCTCCTCCTCCTGCATGGGCAAGGGGGACACCGAACGCCATGAGGGATCGGACGGAGGGGGGATTGGCGGACGGACTCTCGGGGAACGAGGCATAGGAGGAGGCGGGTGGTGAGGGGACAAGGGCCGCCGAGGACCGTCCGCAGTCGCAGGCCGGGGGAAGGGAGGGTTTAGTCTGAGAGGGTCCAGGCGGGGTGGGTTTGGGATTCTGCGCCGGCTAGGGATATCATCATGCGCGCCAGCAGGGGGCGGCGGATAGCGAAAGTCTCCATTTCCTGTGACCATGGCCACGAGCTGTTGAACCCCAGTTCCTGCTGGACATTTGTCGACAACACTGAGTGGTGATCGAGGGCGAACGCAGGCGAATCGACTGTTGCTTTCAATGACCGATTCAGAAGGCGTTGACGATGAGACCAGGAGACAGGGGTGGGAATGACAGGAAACGAAGGAAGATGAAGTCAAACCGGGGGGCGCTTATAAAGAGCCAAAGGGGGGGGGGGGGGGGGGGGAGGGAGCGAAAAGTGATAGCGATAAATGAGTGAGTTGAAGAATCGTCGAGTGGTCAGGCGCGTAGATGAAACGAACGGAGGGGAGCGTGGGTACTAGGTTTAAGTCATGCCTCGTTCAACCCAGAAAGCAATGGTCCATCGGCGGTAAGTCTCACGATCCTACCAGAGGGTCAATTCCGAGACTCCATCCCATGACAGATCAGGTGGAAAAAAGAAGAAAGGGAAGAGAGGAAAGGGAAGACGACGATAGAGAAGGGGGGGGTGGGGAAGAAGAAGGGGATAAAAGAGGATTGTGAGAGGTACTCCGTAGAGGTGCTGGACTCAACGAAACAAACGAACCGAAAAGGAAAAGGGGAAAAAAAAACGACGGCGGATCTGGATCGGGGCTAGCGTGGGTCTCAAAAGACCCTGTCTGGTTTAGCCTGGTATGGTATTTTACCCGATAGTTTCTAGCTTCACTGACGCCAGAATGAGATCAGTCATCGTTGAGCGCAGTTTGATATTGATTAAACTTACAACGTACATACAACGTACAAAGAATGTACGAGCTCAATTACAACAAAGATACAAACTGCCTCCATCCATCCATCTATCTATCTATCATATCCTGATAGGTCCATCCCTCACATTTCACTTGCATCCCGCTGCAGGCTGCATGGTTTTAGTCTGCACAGCCGCCGCTCCGGAGAAAGTTAGGAAGCATCCGACCCGGTTACAGATCCGATGCTATCAGCGAAAAAACAAGAGAGATCTGATGATGCCACCCCAAAAGAGAAACCGGTTTTGATTTTCAGGTTTCCTTCTTTTTCACTTTCTGGCAACTCACTAACTAGTTGCTGCTGACAATTGCAGAAAAGTTACCGAGATTACTGTTGGTGGAGACGGGCTGGGTTTCAGGCTCCCTCCCCAAATCCACATCCACTTGCGATAGCTTTAATTCGACCGGAGGAACTAACGGGTCACTCCCGCCGTGTGGCTTTGACTCTGTTGAGGAGTGAAGTATCATCTCAGCTTTCTCTCGAGACTCTTCCCTTGTCTCCTTCATGAATCTTGGTGTACTGAACTCCGTAACTGGCACAGCACTGGGCTATGGTGTCTACTTACTGTGTGACTGCTCCGTACTTTGTAACTACTCCGATGTGTTTTATTGTTCCTGAGTCAGGTGGGGGCCCGGTGATTTGCATCTCCACTTGCTGGGCGGTACCTGAGAATCTTCAAGACTTCAGGGCAGGGATTTCTACCTACGGAGTCAGTAAGCGCCAAGTCCGAACAAACCAAGAACACACGATGAACTCATCAAGAACAAAAGCCCTTCAATGGGTTCCCCGCTTTTCCCACCTGGACGTTATCAACGGCCTGTTTTCTTCCTTAACGGCGCAACTCTGACAGAGAGACTTCAATCTCCACTTGCGCCCGGGTAATGATCGTTCCATGGCTCGCTTGACTGGCTTCCCGTTTGTTTATTTTCTAGAAGTGAACCCCCCGAGATGCTTTGGTCTGGGCCCTTTGCCTGGCCCAAAAAAAACAAAAAAATAAAAAAATAGAAAAAAATAAAAATAAAAAAGAAAATTCTACTTCGTCTTCACAGCACCACCCGGGAGTCAGATCAGTCAGCCTCACCATGGTCTGCTACAGGCCCTGACACATTCTTCGCCATCACCACCATGCCTACCGCTTCACGCGGTCATCATGGCAATAGTGTCAAGCCCTGGCGCAATCTTAATCCGGATAATGCGGTCATGCGGTGGGTCCTGGCGATGACGAACGTGTCGCTTGTCCATTTAAATATAGTCGAGCCCGATCCTCGTCTCGTTGGCGCCGAAACTGGGCGCTTAGTCCGATATTTTTGATTGATTGACATTACGATAATCCTCTCGCCCGGGTTAATTAACATAATCGCCCTATCCTCTGATCATATTGGCAACTTTTCCATTAACTTCCGCCACGTTTCTGGACTGTCGGGTCCAGCACTGCGTCATTCCTGTGTCCCTGGCGCCCTGATGCCCGGAGGTTGGCGCAGGGCAACTGATTTCGCTACCGCTTCTCGCGGTCTGAACCGACCTGTTGCTAGTAGTCGCAGCCGGGGACATAGCTCATCTCGGGAACTGCTTTTGTTGGGACGGCGCATTGGCCACCCTCATTATTGATGAGCCTTCAGCGGAGGCGTCGGGTGCTGCGGTCTGCGAAGCCTGCAGGCTGGGATACAACAGCGCTTCAGGTTCATGAGAGTTATGGAAATCATCAGACCAGGCTGTGCAGTGTCACTACCGCATCTCGCCTTCCTAGTAAACCCGCAGCAGGCTTCCCCCGCTTCATTACCCCCGATCATCTGGCGCCTCGCTCGGCATTGAGTTTCGGACTTGGTGTCATCTTTTAGACCAACGTTTGCAGTGGTTGATCTTCAGCGTCATCGGGAAGCTGGTGCACGAAGAGGACAATCTAGGCTTCATGCTTCAAAATACCCTGGAAAAGGGGTTTGGATTAAGCCGAACGACGGCCGGTAATTAACCGAGTCGATCGCGGGGACGGTCCGCGCTACGCCCCCCTGGGAATAGCACCTCTAGCGACCACGATCACGATTGAGATAGCATTCTTCTTGATTTGGGAGAAGTCCTCGTGTCAGCCATGCCTATGCACTAACCACACTTCCTGCCCCTGATAGACCACCTACCAACCAAGGGGGGGGCGTCTGACTGTGTCCACAAGAGTAGCCTGTCAAGCGGTCTAAAGACCTCTCTGTTAGATTTAGTTACGGTACATTCCCAAACAGCCCTACGCTGGCCAACTCAACGAGCTCAATGGCCGTGTAGGGTCCGATGTATCCTACTATTCTCAACAAGTACATGAGTGTCTTAAAGAATCGAAGCTGGGAAGTCCCTGCGGATGCGAGAGCCGGTGCTGGCTGTGCCGAGCCTCCGTATGTATCTTCACAGCGCCGCACTGCAGCGAGAAAACATCTCGAGGCGACGATCAAACACCCGTGCGCAGTCATCGAGACCTCCAGACACAGAAATCCGGCTCCTCGATAAGGAACGAGCCACCCCGGCGGCGCTATGAGAACTCTACTGGTGCTACGTAGGTGAATTCCCCGTCTTCGTTGAGCAGGAGATTGGCTGGGCGGAAATCATCCCACCAGAGTCTCAATGGGCCGCCATGTTCGTAATAGGAAGGTCATGACTGAATGTATGTACTTTCTCAGTGTCTCAATGTAGATTCAATTCGAGGAGCCAGGCGATGTTCGCTCTAACGACCGTTGAAACTATCAAAATAGACCTTCTCGACTGCTTGAGAATGTTCTTGGGCTTCGGAGTCTTACAGTACTACTGCCCAAGCTTCAAAGTACAGCCCTACAGCGCCATCTCTAGGATTTTTTGCCTATATATTGATCTACCGTGTCGAATTTCTATGGAGCTGGAGCGGTCTTGCGCCTGAAGGAGACAGTCGCTGTCGTCTCCAATGCGCCAGGCAATACCTTCGGACTCAGCGGACGGAGGGGAACTTTGGCGTTACTGGCTCCCCCGCTGTGGGCGGAGTGGATTGCCAGCTGCAAGGGACTCGATATTCCGCAGAGCATGATGTTTGCCATCTTCGTGGGGTCCATCAACATCAATCTTGTTTCAATCATGGGTCTGTGTCTGGATCTTCCTGTGGTACGACCAAGATCTGAGTGAAACCACATCGGCGAACTATATTGTACTAATATAATCAAAGCATCTATTGCGTAACAATGCAACCGAGGATATAAGACAAACAAAGCAGCGGTCCTTCCCATCCCCGCCCCCAGCCCTCCACCGATCCCGATCTTAAACCCAGCCAAGAAAAACAAACAGTATTTACCCTCCCATCAATACCCCATCACATCCATCGCTGCATCATGCTCCCATACCAGCCCGCCATGAATCCCAACGAACCCCCTCACTTACCCCCTTCCCGCACTAGCATACTTCCTCGTCCATTCGCGCGCAATCTCCTCATACCTCCCAAAATCACTCTTATACTGCTCCGCAATCCGACCCTCAACCGCATCATCGGGCATCGGCTCGGCCAGCAGCTGGCGGGCGAACTGCAAAACGGCCAGGATCCGCGAGCTGGGCTTCCACTCGTCCGCGCGCAGCATCCCCAGACACATGCTGCCCTTGTCGTCATTGGTGACGTTGGGGTGGTAGATCTTCGTGCGGAAGGAGACGGTCGGCGGTTTAAAGGGGTATTCCGTGGGGAGGGTGAGAGTCAGGTGAAAGGTTCCGTTCTGTTTGTGCGAAAGAGTGTTAATGTTAGAAAGGGGGGGTTTGAGGGGGCACACGGAAGTATATGCAGCACCGAGCAATGCAAGTCCATTTGGAAGTAACATGGCTGGTCCAAGTCCTTGAAGCGTACGAGCGAAGATGAAAAGAACATGGTTTGAGTAGACGCTGAGCCCTGCAACCATTGACCAGATTGCGAACCATAAGAAGCCCAAGATATAGACGATTCGGTACCCGAATACATCACCGCAGCGGCCGAAGAAGAGAATGAAAGTGCCGACTGTGAGAGAATAGCCGGCGATGAGCCAGCTTAGATCTCCGGGATTGGTGATAGAAAATGAATCGCCGATAATGTTTAAAGGGGAAAGACACGCTCCCAATCCAACCTGGGTCATAAATTGCGACATGCATATTACTGCCACAAACAGGACTTCTTGTGCAGACGAAAAGGAAGTCACAGTTTGGCGAATTGAATTGGTTCGAGTCAACTGTGCCTGAAGAGCAGAATGATTTTCTCCGTCGTCATCCATGTCCATGGCCGGCTGGATCTTGTTGAGAAGAAAATATCAATCTGATTGACGTGATGAGCTGTTCATTAGCAGAAAGCAGACTGTAGGGGGTCGAGATGGCAACGTCGATCGAGGCAAATTATCTCTCCCAGCCTCAAGAAAATTTCATCCGCGAGTGGTCAGAAAAATATGGTTACTAGACGTCCGGGGCTTCTTTCACTCCACTCTTTCCCGGCAAACACGGGTAGATCATGTCGAACGCCTTACATAAGCGAAGTACGCGCCCTCCAAGCCTCACTCATCGTAACGGCATTCGGTCACGTTTTGAGGCCGAAACATCACGGGGCCAGATTCAGAGCCGAATATCACGCGGACTGTGCCTATTGTACTGTCCTTGCTCGATCTAAACGACTACTGCCCGACTTTAACGCTAGCTGGTCCCGAATGCCGGTATAACTAATAATTGCACAATGTGACCATCTCAGAGTTTCACCTATACATGAACTGTATATTCCTTGTACCGAGATATCGGATGCTCAGATTACTTGTGACGTAACCGCTGAGTGCTCGCTCAATTGGTTGGGATATGCTGAAGCCCGTAGAGCCGAGCGAGCCGGAGCCGAGCTAGCCGTTTAGACTTTCTTCGAAAATGAGAACCTTCTTCTAGGCTTCCCGTACTGACAGGTATCCGGATTATCCGGTAATTAAAAATACATGACTATTACTTTCGAGACCTGCAGAAGACGATTTCCTCCCTCTGATAATTTGCCATAATGTATCTTCACTCCCAAATAGTGGCGAGCAAAGAAAGGATTGAAGACGGCTTTGTCAGTTCAGTGCGTTACAATACTCGTTTCGCTGACTTACCGCAGGGAATTGGTCCAGTCTCACGAGTCTTTATTACCTCAAATCTAGTCTTTGCTTCACGATTACATGATCTCAATTTTAGGTAAAGGATACATTGAAGGAAACTCGGAAATTCCGCATACACTTCTTGGTTAACAAGACCATTCCTAGAACCAAGGCTTACCGAGCTGATCATATACCACTTTTTATATCAGGATATAGAACACTCTGGAAGCTACAAACCTATCTGCAGAACTTTTGCCCTTATCAGTAGTCACTAAATTGAAGTGCACATAAAGTATGGTACGAGCACGCTGGCATTCTTACTTGTGAATACGCATATTTATCCTGATTCAGGTTCCAGACAAAGCACGCCTCCACATTATCATTGTCGGGGCAGGTCTTAGTGGCATTGCTGCCGCAATCTCCGCGGCTCTCTCCGGGCATTTTGTTGAAGTCATAGAACAAGCACCCGAACTCGCTGAAGTATAAGCCGGGCTTCAAGTCACTCCCAATGCCTCATGACTGCTACAGTATTGGGGTCTACCAGAGTTCGTCTGGGAAGCAGCAGCAGAGCCCAAGAAATTGACGGTACACCGTTATTCAGGACAGGTTTTGGCGCATGATGCCTCATTCGATATAAACATTCGGGCAAGTTATAATGCACCTTTTGTGAATATGCATCGAGGAGATCTTCAGAAGGCACTGTACATGCGAGCGCGAGACCTGGGAGTCGCTTTTCACCTTGGTAAGGTGAGAGGATCGAAAGCAATGACTTTGAGTCTACAACGGTGTGTTCTATGAAAGGACATAGTTTCTCAGGTGATCTTATAATCGCTGCCGATGGGTTATGGTCCAAATGCCGGGATGCTTTTGTCGGAAGGAAAGATGAGCCAGTCCCAACGGGAGATCTAGCATATCGAATTGTCTTGACCGCAGATCAAATTACAGACCCCAAGCTGAGATCGCTGGTCCAGAATCCTGAAGTTCATTTCTGAAGAGGGCCCGGGGCTCATGCTGTCGGTTATTCAATGCGAGGAGGGAAGATGTATAACATTGTTCTGCTTGTACCAGACAATCTGCCTGCAGGTGTCTCCAAGCAGGCAGGCTCTGTGGAGGAGATGCGAGAGCGTTTTGTTGGCTGGGATCCGATGTGAGCATGTGCAGAAAGTGACAAGGAGGCTGTTGATTGACTGATTGCTCTAGCCTGAATAAGCTTTTGAATTATGTGAACAACGTAGATAAATGGAAGTTGATGCACCGTGAGTCTTACCATTATCTATGGGCGGCGTATTAGCTAGACTCAAGAGGCAGAGCATGGTCAAAGACTGCGATGACCTACCTCGGACAGTCTTCCCTAACTCACGGCGCATGGCATGAATTGTGGCAGTAACGAAATAGCCAGCATTGGCAAGGCATTTTCTCAAACCTTCTTGATATCTTTCTTTTGTAAATGGGTCTTCGCTGACTCCAGTTGCCGAGATACCCCTCACAATACATCGATCCCTAGCCTCGTCATTCCACCGAAGAATTAGTTCGTCCTCCCCCTCTGGGATCCTCTGCTCAAAAACTTCTGCGGCGCTTGAAACCCGAAAAGAGCATTGTCGGCAAGAGCCATGCCTAGAAGATATAATGCCCCAGAATAAATCGGTTCATCACAGTCCCAAATAGCGGTACCAAATCTATTGGCATCAGTCTGTGCTCGTATCTCTGCAGAGGTGCTCGCGCGCGCTACTCACATGGTGTTCTCAGGGTCTTTGTTGTTCTTGACGAATTGTTGATCCAGACGCCACCCGATTCTCCAAGGGGCCTCTGTGTCGCGGAACAAAACAAGTTCAATATTCTGTCATCGTCAGCAGCTAATCAAACAATACTGTGCTCAGATTTACCTTATAACGAAGACCCCTGCCGGCTTTATTTTCGGATGCTGGAGTCAAAGAGGACACTCTGGACCCTACACACAGATTCTGTAGAGTTATAAAATGAAACTGGACACGGTATCTTCCAGTCATGAAAAATGGGTCATCAATGGTCCAGAAAGCGACCATAGCACGCTCAAAGCTTTTCAGCTTGAAATTATGCTTGGGTTTTTTATGTTCTTGATGTACTCCTCTGCGACTAAATCATGCTCAATCCACTTTAAAGAGTTAGTTATACAGCTCTCACATACTTCTTTCCAGTGTGAAATATACTTACGCTGTATAGGTCTTGTCTGTCATGGTAAGGAATCTCTCTCTTGGTCTCGAGATAAAATCCCAGAGCAAACTCTTGAGCCCAGACTAAGGTCGAGTTCATGGTCGGACGTCCGTCAGGGTCGAGTCTACCCACGGTTGAGTCGACATGCCAGCGGATAAATTCTTTGAGCTCTTCTAAACCCGGCACTCGATGTCCAACTCCAACCTTATAGTCTTCGGGTAAGCCCTTCTCTTCTTTCAAAAATCTATAAGAATGTGAGAAGACTCAATGTCCTAAAACTCAAGATTGATGACTTACTCTTCATAATGGCGTACCCTTTCCCTGTAGCCTTCTTTCATTTTTGGGGAAGCTCTACCTCCCGACCTTTGGGCATCCTTGACTCGATGAATATCCGCATCGTAGCTTCGCTTTTGGCGGAGTTCACGACGAGCCTTCCTTTTTTCCTCATCTTGGTTTGCTCTAGAAGCAGAGGTGTGAACGGCCATTATCAGTAAGCACGAACGAGATCGAAAGACCAAATAAAGAGTGAGGTATAGAGAGATGTGATAGAAAATGTATGAGAGAATAGATTGATGATTGACAAACTCGGGTGAGATGGGCTCTATTTATGTCCAAAATGAAAGAGAAATACCTTAGGTCATATATCATCATTCGTCCATCATTAATCTATCTATTTGCAATGAAAAGATGATCGGTGTTGAAAATATCTTGGGTCGGGAAAACCAAGAAAAGTTGACGGCCCTTGTTTTGGTGATGCCCTCAAATTTCGTAGGTTCGTATCAGTACCTCAGATTTCGACAAGCGTTAGTCGCGCACGGTTTAAAGAGCCTGTTCTAGTCACGTGGGTTGCTGCAGTGAGCAAGCGGGGAGCTGCTCAGAATCGCTGACTGAGTGAGCCAGAGCAATCCGGGAGCGACCGGAGTTCCCAGGTGCGTGCTCCGTGAGCAATCCGTGAGTATCCCAGAGCGCACACAGATCGTTCACGTGCTGCCCTCATAAAAGCGGCGGCACCCCAATTGGGTAAGCAAACGGGAGTTGCAGCAAAACAGTTCACTTATACACTAATAGAAGTGACTAGGAATAAATACTAACATCTTGCTATTACTGTCGACTGATTAGTTGAACAGGTCTGAATTATATCTATACTTGATTAACTATATTAGCTAGTACCAGTAGGGCTTGCTTGATATTATATCATGGTCTATCTTCAGCTTGAGTATTAGGGAGCAGTTTATTTTTTTTATCTAGTATAAGAATCTTTGGGCCATAATAGCTTCCAGCAGCTTTCTCAGTATATTGAGTAGGGAGATCGGGCGGTATACTCCTAGTACTGAGTAATCCGGCTTGCCAGACTTGTAAAGGATAATAATTTATATCTGTTTCTATTCTTTCAGGTAGTATTCTAGATCTACTGATCTTGTAAAGATAGTGGTTATTATACTCTTTAGGAATATCTATAGATTCTTTTAGACTAGTATAGAGATTCTATCTCTACTCAGGGCTGTAGTTCTCTTTACTATTCGGAGAGACTAGTAGATCTCTTTCTTAGTAATTATCTCCTATAGTAGTTCTTTAGCCCGATTATTATTTTTGATTTCCGATTCAGCTATTCTTAGAAAGAAGATTTCAAGAAATACCCCTGTCTTGTATTAGTTATTAGTTATCTTCTTGGCTTCTGCTTGGATAGCTGGAATACTTATATAGGCGTCCCGGGGGTGTATATAGGTGGCTATTTTTTATAGCTGGTCTTCTCTTACTTTGTTAAGAAAATCTTTCTAGTAGCTTGTCTTTGCTTACTCTACTGCTTATATCTACTATTTTCTTTTCTCACGTATTATATTGAATATAGTCTTTGTAACTAGGTAGTCAGCTCCTAATATAGTATATCTGCTTTACTACTTTCTTTGGGCTTGGTTGGCTGATACTTATTATGTCTTAAGTTTGGGAGTAAACCAGTGCTTTAAATACGGACACGGTGCCTGTACTGGTATGTATTAGTTTAGAGCTGCTGTTGTGGTTTGGATCAGCTTTTCTACTGTGCTGTCTAAGTCTTTGTTAGTCTAGATTTCAGGCACTGGTCTATCTCTGTTAGTATATTTTGCCCTACTTGTGACCAGTCTGCATGGTTGTATTCTTATTTTGGTTTAGGCTTCTTCGCCTACTCTGGACGAAGGCTCCATTCAGAGTATGTTGCTCGGTGGTCTGATCCGTGATTAATATTTGACCAGGCGTGTAATGTCGTTAGTAAGTGTAAGATCGAGTACTGAGGTTGTGCCTGGTTTACTGAGGGACCACTATGTTGTCTCCCCAGGACCCAGGCACTACTTTAGCTCCAGATGGTGGAAGAAATTGATCAGTTCATCTGCGTGTGCTGCAAAGCGATGGTGTACTTCACAGTGACTCCATGCTGGGTGGTGGTGATTGAAGTCTCCCGCCAGGATTAGTTTAGTAGTGCGATCGGCTGATTCTGTATTCTGTTGAATAGCTGTTGGATTGTTGTCAAGACTTAAGAGGCGCTGCTAGCTTCGAGAGCCTCGTGCATCTCGATGGGTGGGCCATAGATTAAGAACACAAAGTACTATAATTCAGGAGTCCATATTTTGATCGCCACCACGTCTGGGTGGCCGCAGTGGACCTGGCGGTGTGATGATGAGAAGATTCTTCGGATGATATAGAGAAGGCTGCGAAACCGACTGGTCTCGTCGGGCAGGTGGGTCGATAGAGTCGCCATGCGCTGTGGTCAACGTGGGTGTGGTATGCTGTCTTTGGCAGTTCCTGAATAGTCGATTAGTACGTGTACCACCGTTTCCGTAGCTCCACACTCGCACCGCTCATCTTCCCGAACCCACGTTGTTTGGCATGCGTTGCCAGCCACGAATGGCCTGTGCGAAGTTGCATAAGCAGGTATGCTCGATTCCGTGGGAGCGAGCCATACAATCGGCGAGACCTGCTGGATGGCAGGCCTTGTCTCAGTTATACGCTCCATGGAACAAACCCGAGGCTTCGTCTGCCGATGAAAAGCTGGATACGAGTAATTCTGCAATACAAAAACTGTTGAATGTTTGGGGGAACTAGGTCGAGGTATGCAACAGGGGTCTGGGTTGCACGAGGAACATTAACGTCAAATTAGCCACGAAGTTCAGAGAGAGCAGCAGAGTTGTCGACCTCCCAGGCTTCCTGCAGCACTTCACCATGTCCATGACGACGTTCGTTACCTCATAACCCATGGCACTTTGCCTGAAAGCAGTTCCACTGCAGTTCGACCAGCATTTGAGATCTTTCGGCAAACTTCGGCGGGCCAGTTTGACTTTCCGACTTCACTAGCCCCTCGTCTCTTCGCGACAGAGGACTTTACTTGCACTGTAAAGCAAAGAAAACAAGCTTGTACCGATGATTTTCTTAAGCCCGCTCACTGGGTTCTCGCGAATGCGTACAACCAGGAACTGCTCCTTCTGAGTCAGTACGAAGTCAACGAGCTCTTCCACCTCATCCGGTCCTCGCAGAAGACAAGACTGCTCATTTACACTCCAAAAACGACAAAAATCATGCGGTCGTTCGACTCTCTGGATTTCCTACAATTAGGCCTCGGTCTTACAATGCCCCGTCAGCCTCAAGATACCGCTCAGGATTTGGGTCTGTTTGCTGGCACTCTTTACTTCGAATCGTTCTCTATCTACGAAAGCTTCCGCCAATTCCTCGGGTTGGTGACTGATAGTTATCGAGAGATCCCAGAAGACCAAGTGACCAACGAAGGTTTTGTCGACTCAGATACACGAATGGCCCATGATTGGCCTGTAAATTCTCCCTTTCGTTCATGTCCATTGCAGTTTTTGGGTGCTGTTCTAGATATACGTAGCAAGAGTCACGGATACTTACAGACTCATGCTGGCACGATCGTGGAAACAGTGCCACTTAGTGCAACCTACTTCTAAGGGATTGGCTGCAATTGGTTACTGCAGCGAATTATCCAGCCCACACAAACTTGTTGCAATGTTTGATATACAGTGATTATCTTAATTTCGAGCACCACTCATGCCTGAGCTGTACCATTTATGAATGAGCATGAGGTATTCTTCCCTGCAATCGAGCGTCTAGCGGATAAGTTGCAGAAGAGAGTCCGAGCACTTCGGCTACTTCAAAAAGTGGTCTGGATCTACAGACTCCAGCTACAACGAACATGATCCCTTTTGCTTGACTACACCCATGTAATGCAGTGAGTGAGCAGTAAAAAGTATGTTTCAGCATCCGCAAGCTCGGAAATACTTACATGATGTCCTGTTCATTATCACCCTTCTGAGACATTTCAAGATAAAGTTCTATTGTTTTGTACTGATTAGTACGGATAGATTTATTTAAGTCCCCTCCGAGTCAATTGAAGAAGATCAAGATAGACAAAGGTTATCAGGAGAACACTATAGCTTGTTTAATATCAACAGTCACACCATACATGAACAGAGGTCGAATTTTATAATAATTGCTTCTTAGACTGTCTTTTTATAACCTCAAGGTGCCCTGTTCTGATTGAGGACCAACTTTACAAACTGTTCCAGTTTGATCAACACGAGCAGCACGACTAGGCGATTGCTTTTTGACAATAGGCTCTTTCTTCATATCATCCTGAAGTATCCACTTGCGTTTTCTGCTAACACAGTTGCGGCGAGGTTCTTCAATCGAGTGAACATTATAAAAATGGCGTCGAAGCTCCAAAGTAGAAGAATGTGCTCTGTCTTCACAAGAAGGATGAGGGCAAACGATAGGCTTTTCCTTGTTTATCTTTGATAAGTGTTCATTGTCGATATGATTGATCAGAGTAGCTTTTTCGCGCCATTGCTTGAATCTGCACTCGGGCTGCATGCTCTGATTACCCAGGCAGAAAGGGCAGAGCCCTGGTGAAACTAATGTATAACGGAATCGCAACAAACCACAACGCGGCTGTAGATCCTTTAGATGAAAGCAACAATGGTCCTGCCATTCAGACTTGGTGTGGAACCACTTGGCACACAAAAAGCACCATTCCAAAAACGCTCGGTCAGTATGACGATGAGCTCTCTTCCCATTTTTGTAAAACTGTTGATATGGTGCTGCATTCAGTGATTTCCTTTTGCATTGAAGTATATGCTTGGAGCGACCTTGGATCTCAAGACTGCAGGAATCAGCATTGAAATACATGTATAAGAAACCTGAAACAAACCTTGACATATTTTTCAAACAAACCGGACATCTTCCGTCGATTGGTAATTCACCGGGATAGTATGCTACTCTCTCTTCAGATGTGCAGATAGCCACCATATCTAGCATACACTGTCTTCCAATCTCGCTGTCAATCGTCACTTCGCTGAATAAGTTATCTCGCAGCCTGTCTCTCTCTGGCATGTATTTTCGGTAGATTGAAAACAGACATGTTGAATCGCGTTCAGTGAATTCCTTTCCCGCAATATATTCATTATAGGAGAACTTCCACCAGTTCTGAATAAAGTCCTTAGTCTTGCTGCGCCGTTTCTTCGCCACTTTGTTGTATAACTTTCCTCGTTCGCTTGCAAGGTCCTGCTGCTCATTTGGCTTGCCATTAATTTTCTTTGTCAGAATCTCAATCTCTGCATATAGACCTTTAATCTCCTCATCATTCTCAAACTCAGCAACAGCAGCGGCATCAAGCTTCTGGGGAGCATTTGGGTCACGGTGATGTGCCATGCTTTCCTCTATATCGAGACATTCATAGTCAGGCTCTAGATTCCAAAAATGCGCTTGGATATCAGTGCGTTTGAATTTCGATTGGTACTTGAGGTAAGTATCCGGATTTGCATGATCTAATGCTTGACTGCGTATAGCTTGAGATGCCTTTGCTATAATAATATAATCAGTAAGGTATACTATAGCATGCAAGAGTATTACATACAGTCAATCGTAGTTGCCACTCGGCCTCTGATTCCATGGATTCGTAGCGGGTCTCGGAAATGTTCTCGTCGGGCGAGAGAACTCAGATCATTCCGAATTGAGGAGAATGTCAGGGCTCGACTAGGATGCGGCCCTTTCGGGGTAACCATGCGGAGAACTGGTAAAGATTGTGCATGATCCTCCCATTCAAGTGTCCAAGATTCCCTGCCCTTAGGTGGAACTTTTGACAGCAACTCATCAACACTGCGAATACCCTTGAAAGCTCGGTCGGCTATGCCTGCAACCATAACATAGAATACAAAGTTTCTGCCAAGCACCTTTTGCTCTGTGATCCAGTTCTTCGGGCTAGAACCATTAGCCTGAATAACAGTGATGCCTGGAGCAGGAACTCACATGACTGCCTCATCATTATACCGGCGGCCTTTCACGAATTCTGGATCTATAGTAACCCATCTTTTGATTTTATTATCTTTGTACTGGATATTGAAGGTAAGATGCTTTTGATGTGAAGAGTTAGGTTCTCTGACAGGGTCCTTGTACGTGGGAATCCGATATACCTTGTAGTAAAGACACTCATTAGTGTTTCTATATGAACTTGACTCGACAATAGCCCCGGCTCTAGCTCCGGAACCCGAAAAGAGTGACAAGGCAAAGGCATCTTGGAATCGAGCTCTTTCATGAATATAGTCATGATCGTCATCTTGAAATAATCGTTTGAGAAGAAGATCAAGATCTGTTGCTGTAACATGAAACTTCTCCCGATGTTTTGTTTCAAGTCCATACTTTGGTGTCAATTCGTTATGAATATACTTTAAATATGGTTAGTAAGCGTTGTAATTCAGGAAAGGGGTGAAAGACCCAGAACATACATTGTAGACATCATCTTTGACACTCTTTGGAATAACTCTTGAGGTTTTTCTCTCCCACTCGGCGATAAAGCAGGATAAGTTATAATCCACACTGTGTTGAGAGGGTAGGCCTCCTTCACGTAGACAGATGTAACTCTCAGAAAAGAGTTTTAAAATCTGGCTGGGAGGATCTGGCTCCACCTTAGAGAAATACCTGTCTTCAGGTTCACCTTGGGTCATCATCCATCTGGTCTGGAGTCAGTGATATCTGTATACATAGTAGAAGAGTATTTTCATTACTTACAAATTCCAATTCTCAACAGCTTTGTTGTACCTTTCATCAGTAGCCGGAGCTCTCTTCTTGTAACATATCTCGTTCTCTTTCCGTTTTGTAATTTGTTGGTACTCTGTAGTAAAACCTCGTAATTCACCGATTTTTCGGAGCTCCTCAACCTTTCTCCGCCTCCGCTCCTCCTCGGAGAGGCCTGATTTGTTATCACGTGACATGCTGAGTTTCGATATGGTATCACTTTTCAAGTTGTTTACTGAGTATGAGTTCATCGAACAGAAAAAAAAGAATAGACAACCAGGTCAAACGCCCTATTTAACTTCAAAAATTTTCTCGGTTGCCTGGCTGGCCCGCTTGGTCACTCAATCGCTCACCTATTTGCTCACCCTGCTCACCCCGCTCACCCACGCTCATGACAACATCACCCAAATCACCCGCACTCACTCTTCGTCTTAGCGTTGCTCACCCATAAAGCAGCGACTGAGAAAGGGCTCATATCCCACTCGGCCGCGTTCAATACGTGGCTTGAGTACGGCTGAGCGGACGGGAAGCCCTATTTTCCACACCCTGTGGTCGTATGTGCTAGATCTTCAACGTTACAAAAACATGATGCCGCGTTTTGCTGAACCTTGAAATGGGTCTTCTTGTTCGGCTTTGCCTGCGTCTCGGACAATGGGCTACCGTGCTCCTCCCCCATAGGAGCACTGTCCAAGCTGCTATGATGAGGAGTGTATGCCCAGATGGCTGCATGTTCCAGGCCGGTGATATTGTACTCGACGACTCGCAATGTCGGGAAATAGTTGGGTACCACGCTGGGAGAAACCAACGAGACGCTGTATCGTTCCGCGAAAGGGCCACCAATCTTTCTTCAAGAAGCGCTTCTTTTTCTTGGACGTTTGGACTGAAGTCTCGTCCTCATCGAAGCAATCGTCCATCGAGAAGCTTCTGAAGAGAGTGTTTACCCTATACTGCTAGTCTGAAGGATAGTATCATTGAGGCTGTGCCAGTTCGAGCTGGATGAAATGTGAGGTGAGGGTGAGGGTTTGCTAATGTGCTTTGGTCAATGGCTTCTTATTTGATTGTGATCTATGAATAGAGGTGCGGTGGCTTTCATTACAGGTACGTTGTCAGTGATCACTACGCTTTTCTTGCTATATAAACCCCTTCCTCTTCCTCCCCCTCCCACCCCCATCTTACCATCGCCAATGTTGTGATGAAGACACCTCCTATTGTCTCGAGATAGCTTTGTGATCTTGAGTTCCTGGCTGGCAAACGATCCTACCACTATTGTTAGGGAAACCCCAGGATGGATCATGCAATGCGACAGTGACAAACAGCAGTCCATGACCTTTCGCAAAGACGGTGCCTAAGGTGAGACCCCACCACCTGATACCACATGGTTATAGCGAAAAGACACAAGTCCCAGATATGTAATAACGCAGCTAATATCATATACGCCTAGCGCCCGGCTGCAATTGCGCCATCGCCCTATACCGCGTCGCCGTCCACACCCGCATCCTCTTCCCGTACATAATCATGGGAATCAGACTTAGAAGCGTACCCGTCGCGATACAAGCCACAGCGATAAACATGTTGACCAACCCAGTAGCTTCGATCCAGGGCGTAAGCGCAAAGACAAAGACAGTGGAGAGCCCGTTACGCACGAATGCAACGCCGACGAGGGCGTCGCCGACGATCTATTCCAGTTAGCTCTATCTTTACCCCTGCCTTCTCAGACTGGCCCATTTAATACGTACATCCTGATAGCAATCCGAAAGATACGCCAGGGAGCATGCGCCGATAGAGGTGAAGGCGCAACCGAAAATCCCACTGCCCAGGGCGAGGGACCACCAGGGCCAGCCCTATTGATTGGTGTTAGTCAGTCAGAACTGATTGAGATGGGATGTTCTCAGTGTCTCGAGAGCTCACCCATGCTAGTCCAAGGCCGAAAAGAAGTATACCCAGCGGCGTGGCCAGGATAGCGGGGATTCCCAGATGCAAGCGTGTCTCGGGCTCGAAGATCCCGTTGTTTCGCTTCGCTCGCCACAGGATGTACCAGTCATTGACGGGCCCGCCGAGAGCCGCGCCGAACACCCCCCCGATAAACGGTGGAAGACTGAACAGGCCGATCTGGGAGGCGTTGTACGCGTAGGGTGGGTAAGCGAGGTATGTCGATTGGGTCGTGGCGAGGATGGAGAACCACGACAGAAAGCAGCCCCAGACGAGAGCTGTGAAGGTGACGGCGGGGAAGCCGATCAGGACCACCAAGGGTCGCTTGATATGCTCAAGGAGGGAGTTGTCTGTCTTCGTGATGAATGCCATTCGCTCCCGGTAGGATTTTGTGGTGTAGCTTGCGCTGGGTGCTACGCTTGTGGGCAAGGATCCTTCTTCAATGCTCGTTTGTTTCGGGAACTTGGTCGTCTCCATTGCCGCTGCCGCTGCCGCTGTTCTGGTCTGAACGTCTTCGTCGGGTCGAGAAAGCAAGACGGGAATGTACTTGCTTTCTTCGAAGAAAAAAATGAAGAGGATGAGGTTGAGTCCCAGCATGATGGCGGTCCACCACCAGATCCAACGCCACCCTTGCGCAGTGGCACAGTATCCGGCAGCCACGGGGGCAAGATATGCGCCCGTGTTGACCATGAGGTTGTACATTCCGTTGGCAGAGGCACGCTGGTGAACAAAGAAAATGTCCACAATGGTCATCTGCACGAGGGCTTCGCTGACGGCGCCAGCAAGCCCACTCAGAACGTTGACCGCGAGCAATTCCCCGGTGGAGTTGAGGCTGGCGTTCCAGATGGCTGTAGCAAATTGCACGGCCGTGCTGAGAATGTAAACGGAGCGACGGCCATACTTGATTGCGAACGGAACCAAGAGGATACACCCGACCGCCAGACCGGCCAGGTTCGCAGCGAAGGAGTTGTTGAGGTTCGCCCAGGAGATACCGAGTTCGGCGTTCTGGTCGACCCAGATGACGGTTCCGATGTCAAGGAGCACGAACGACGCTAGGGTATAGAAGCTGGCGATCACAAAGTTGACTGTTTTACGGGACTTGGGCCAATTCTATTGACTCGAGGTGAGTTCACGGTCTTTGTAAAGGATTTAGACAGGTTACCAGGGGATCATTAGGGTCGTCTGTTGGGGTAGGCTCCAGAACGACGACGGTAGCAGACTGGCTTGGTCCGACTATCGATGGTCAGAGATACCTCACTCATCTACATTGTGTCAAAGCATACCATCTTCAATGGTGACGGTGCCCGGTGGCTCGTTCATCACTATGGTATCAAGCAGTTGGTGTGTGGTATAAGTTTTCTGGAACCCTTTGAAGGAGGGAAGCAAGTGATGGGGAGAGAACGAGACGAGGCGAACTCGGTCTTTTTGGATATCTTAACCACTGCTATCAAAAAACGGGGCCTGGCCTTGAGGCAATGCTCATTGGAAGGTGCGTCGCCTATTGATAGGGATGTGCTTTGCAGGCGACTCAAATTTCGCGCCATCGATTGAGCAGACGGCAGCACACCGATAAACCTCGGACCAATGAAGACGGAGCGCCACCATGCTTTGCTCTCGCCATACACAAGCTTGAGGATGCGTGCATCCCTTACATGCAAAGATAGCATTCTAGACAATCCAGACTAAATCAAGGAAGTCCTCCCGAGAGATAGGGCAACGGCCTCCCAGCCCCGCTCTTCCCCGCATTCACTTATCGCTCCCATCTTCACCACGCGATTTTTCAACTCCTCCTTTCAACAGACAGCAGAAATATGCGGCGACGGATGCCATCCAGTTGCAATGAGCGTTGATGGCGTCGCTTCAAAGTTCGACCTGATATGGGGCTTGTTCGGCTGCGCGGCGATCCACCTTCCGAGCTTGTGTGCAGCTCAATTAATCAGATGCACGCCAGTTTCCAGCCTGGTCACGGATCGGACATCAGTGTCGGGGTCGATATGCATTCGACCGGTCAACTGAGGATAAGAGTCCAGGACACGGCTGATGGCTCGGCTCTGCCGGTCTATCGGAATGAGGTCACCTGAGGAGTCGGACTCGTAGAACTTGGCCGCATTTATCGGGATGCAATGATGTTGCAATTGATCGAATGGTACCAGCACAAACGGATCTGGTAGGCAGATCTGGTGTTCACGGTGGACAAGATGGGTTGCAGTACGTGTGAATGTGGCGGTCAATCCAGCCATAGTGCGAATCAGACAGAGACAGAGTAATGGTACCAGGAATCATCTTCAACTGGCTCGTCGGATGTATTGTTGAAAAGCAATTGAGTCTTGGTGGCGCAGATATTCCATCGACGATCTTGGCTGGTTGTATACTTGTATACTTACTTCAGCCTGCGGGCACCCAATCTGGTTAAGCCCGTGCATCAGGGACAAACAGCGACCCACTCACGTGATCTCCGCGGACTTTCCTCCCCACCACCGCAAAACTTTCCTATATCAAATCTCTCTCTACTCCGTACAACCACCCTGTTCGTGTGAACAACTACAACAACCTTCGCACGCCGAACGAGGAGGCAAGACTCCCGCAGCTCAAATCAGCCCTACACAAACTTTCGAACCGAACCCACTCACCCCCATAACCCTTATAACATCCGAACACAAAAGCCGTAACACAAAACCCAACCACCAAAATGTCGCAAAAACTCGACCTGACACTCACCACCACTCTGACCCTCCTCGACCAATTCCAAACCGCCATCACCAGCGCCAGCGCCAGCTTACCCCCCGCCTCTACCTCCACTTCCAATTCCACCACAACAGAAACAACCATCCCCACAAAAGACGCCCTCCCCCTCCTCTCCGCCTCCGCCCTAACCCTAAAATCCCAAATCACCAAACTCTCCCTCGTGACGATCACCGCCCCGTTCACGGCCACAGCCGCAACGCCCATCCTGACCGCACTCAACGATTCCGTCCTCCCGTCGCTCGTAACCGCCGCCCTCCTGATCACGCCCACGGACCACACGCAGGCGTTCCAAACGGAAGCGCACGCGCTGACGCGGTTGGCGCTGACGGAGCTGGGGGTTCTGTTGGGTGCTGTGCAGGGTATCGCTACCTCTGCCAGCAGCAACCAACCAGAAGCTAAAAGTGAGAAGCAAAGCACCAGGAAGGGAGGGGCGGAGCTGGCGCAGTCGCGCAAGGAAGAGGTGACGCTTGCGGCGGCGCGGGCGTGGGAGGCCTGCGACGCGGTGATTGATCTCGCGGCGAAGGGGGTGGTGGGGTTCGTGGTGCGGCGGGTGGAGCAGTGGCGGGACCTCGTGCGGGATGCGGTTGGGGAGATTGAGGAGTGGGATCCTGAGGAGGAGGGGGATGAGTTTTTCGACGAGTTGTTGAGCGACGATGAGAAACAGGGTGCGGATGACGACGATGATGACGATAATAAGGAGGAGGGTGGTGATGATGATGATGAAGAAGAGACGGCGGCCTTGCATGCACAGAAAAAGATCACGCTGAAGATGTTGAAGCCCATTGCGCAGGTGTATCCGGCTATCGTGACGCACCGGCTGAAGAAGACGCCGGATACAGTCGTCGAGATGGCCAAGCTGGAGACTCTGATGAAGAATCTGCAGATGATTCCGGAGCTGGTCGATGAGATTGCAGGCGCCTTGTATGAGGCAGACCCTCAAAAGTCCGGGCGGTTCTTAACCCAGGCGAAGGAGAGGGCTGTCCTGGCTCTGCAGTTGGTTACGTTGCCTTGGCAGGGGACGGGTCAGGATAAGTTCACTACTTGGGCAAATACGTGGTTGAAGGTGATGGAGGAGCTTAGCAAGTCGATCTTTGTGTCTGCATGATACTCCTGGTTCGAGGGGCTGTTGTAATGAGCGAGTTGGCTGGTAGGCACATGTTGTGCTTTACTGAAAATTTTTGCGCGATATTACCTGAATATCCAGATAAGTGAAAAATGAAATTGTCAGGAAAAAGCATTAGGACCAAATAGAGGGAGTCACCAGACATCACCAAAACTGAGCGCGTACATCTCGCATCAGTGCAGTGGCCGAGACTCGAAATAAGCATCATAGGCAAAGGTATCGAGTAGCAACCAGTAATGTAAGCATTATGACCATGCAAACAAAGGGACAATACAGCATCCAGTACATACGCATTACATCTCGCATTAACTGACACAGAACAAACACTCAATCCAAATCCACTACACTGCCAACAAATCTACTTGTCAGGCAAGCAACCAGCAACACAAACAACCACAAATCACAGCCTATCTCTTTCTTGGCCTCTGAGGCGGGTTCTCCCTCGAGGGCTCCTGTGGCGGCATATGCTTGAGACGATATGTGCCTGGTCGAGCCTGCTCGGGAGCAGACGCCGAGGTCGATTCTTCAGTTGGGAAATGACTCTTGTAGTTGAATTCTAAGTCCTCTGCGTCAAACCCACTCTCACCGTTGTCAGGCAGGTCCCAGAATAAGCTGTTGTCTGGGCTCTGCGTGGGGTGACCCAGTTGAGAGTCGATGAGGAAGTCACCAGGCTCGCTGCGGCCGTTGTACCCAAAGCCATAAGCCGGCTGTCCTGGTGCCAGTGGTGGCTGCTGCATGATATACTGAGTCGGGTTGACAAAGCCCATAGGAGGGGGCATCATATAGCCAGGAGCCGCTGCAAACTGTTGCCCGGCTGGCAGCGGAGGAAAGTAGGGTCCGTTGCCGCCATAGGCGTTGGCGTAGTTGGGACTAAAAGGGGCCACCGGGGGAGTACGGTGCCCTCTCACGGGAGGGCTCGGGTAACTCTGGTGCTTGCGTTGGATGTCCGGATCGTTCTGCACGTATTTCTCAAACGCGCTCTCGATTTTCGCCCGCTGGCTGGGCCCTAGTCTCTTCTCCAGATCCGCGACGTTCTGTCCATACCGGTTCAGACTTCCTGGGCTTCTTATTGAATCATCACTGCGCTGTCGACCTTTGAGGGAGGGAGACACAGCATGGCCGCCACCGTCCTTGGCTGTATGTTCTGCATTGGGTCTCACGGCCCTCCTCGAGGAGCCCGTCCCATTGTGGCTGTGCAGTTCGGGGTATCCGGTTCGGCTGGTGTATTTCAGGTCGCTCTCTAAGCTGCTGCTGGAGCTGGTGTTCCTGTTGCTGATCCGTGGTTGGAGAGGTGGACTACGAGAATGCACGCTCGGATTACTGCCCGGATAGTATGCCAATCCAAACGGATTCCTAGGCTGTGACACCAGACACGCCGTGGATTAGCCTTGAACCAGGTCACCTGGTAGAGAGGTAAAGTACTCACCACGACGTGTCCAAGTTGCTTGAGTCGATGACGTAACCTTCTATTTTCCTCCTTCAGGAATTCTATCAATCTATCCTTCTCGGCCGAAGCGCCGCGTTTCTCTGATTTCAAGGTGATCGGGTCGGTGTGCATGCATGCCTGGTTGGCAGCCTTGCATTGAGAGCAGCCGTCTTCATGGCTCGTGCACTCTTTTCTCAGGTTCTATATCTCACACAAAATGGCACAACGGTCAGCCTTAGTAAGGTCCACTCGATCGCTTAAGCTCGGGGCGGTCGTTGATAGCCAGTCACGTAAACATACCTTGCAGCGATCACAGGCTATGGGGGTGCGCGTCTTGCGCATCTCTCTGTACTTGTTGCGGATGGCCTCCGAATGATCAGCCTCTGCTTCGTACTTCTTGCGTCTTTTGATCTTTCTTCTCTCGGGATGCGGTTCGGCGTCTCCTTCTACTGCACCCGGATACTCTTGGTTCAAGTCCTTTGCTTCTCCGATCTCGTGGTGTTCATCTGCCTCAACTGGTGGCATGTGGTCCTGATTCTCGTCAACCACGCGTACCGGCGAGGCTTCCCGTTCATCGTCCGCGTCGACCGCCGATTCGCGGTCATTCTCCGCGCCCGGCCTTCCGTCAGCGATGCCCGCATCGTCGACGGCAGGGGGCGGCAGGTCGAGTACCTTCTGGCCGTTGCCGCTGATCTCTCTCAGAGACTCGGCTTGTCGGGACTCGACCCCTGCGTTGGTGGGGTCTTCGTCGCCGCTGTCGTGGTCAGTGCTAGCCTGGTCGTCGCTGTCGTTGTGAATGCTGAAATCGGTCTCATTGCAGTCCTCATTGAAGAGCCCCGCTTGGCTCGAGGTTCGCTTTTTACTTTCGGGGGACATTTGGATGAGGTTCTTGAGGCGCGTGGATGATCCTGCGTTGTTACCTTCCTCGGGATGCTGGTGTCTGTTGGAACCTTTCTCTCAATGCGGTACTTTGAGGGACATTTTCGCATCTTATAGATCCAGACGCACTATGTTTGCCGGGTGTCTCAACAGTCAGGAGCAATAATGAGTGGATAATGTCCTTGTGTGCGAGAATGGATAAAGAACACAAAGAGCGCTGATCCCGGGGCACTGGGACCTGTCGAAGAACTCGATTGTTGCAAACAATGCTTCTTAGAGCGATCATGCTGAATGCCTCTTGAGTGAAAGAAGGACGGTCAAAGGCCTTTCCTCCCAGTTTCCTTTTCAACGACATAGCTATTGTTATGAATACTAGTGAGTCTCCTGAAAGTTTTAGCGCTGTTGGTGGACTCTTCGTTGTTGTGCCTGAACTAGTGTGATATACAACAGGAGTCGTCGTTTCTAGATGTCATGATTAAAGTTTGATTGGCCCGGAAGACAAAGCACACTAAGGATGTCGAGGAGCTTCAACATTAATGGTGTTTGAGTGGAAACGATGCAGTCGTGTTCGATATGGATGAGGTGGAGAATCGGGAACCCAGTGGGCAACAGCACGAGGAGCTGTTGGTCCGGGAGCAACAAGGAACAAACAGAAAGGTGGCACGTAGACGGCCAGATCCGGAGATTTCTCGATAAAAGGCGGTACACCAATCTACTTTGCACGTGCACATCATTGCGTACGAGTCACAAAGGAGACAGACCTACTATGGCATTGTATGTACAAACGTGAGAAAATGTCATTCTTCATATCACTCACACCAGCCAATTGCACGAAGGCGTCTTGGTATACAATATACTTTGTCAGGCTTTATCTCAGACCCAGCAACAAAGCCCCAATATCTCTGCAGCCAATTGCTTCATTTGCACTAGAATCAAACTTTGTTGTGCTGGGCGGGATCTACCATGCCTCCATATTGCGGAAATATTTACAAGTTCTTGTCGGATACAGGGGTCAGGAAACAATGCTGCACTAGTCGAAATGTCTACAACTTAGCACGGAACCCATTCCGTACACTATCTAAGCCCGAGGGGCCATCGTATATTTGTTGCTCGACAAGTCGGGTATTGATCTGTTGTCCAGTGTCAGAAGGATTATGGCCGAGGTGGAAGCAGCAAACTTACATGTTGAGGGCCTAGATCCTCGACTCTTTCTACACCGAGCAAGCGCATGCAAGTCTTCGTCTCGTCGGATAGAACTAGATCTGCATGTTAGTCTTGCTATAGCGAGCATAAACCGAAAAATCTTACTCTGCAGGGTACGCTTGACACCCTCAACGCCACCGGCGCCAAGGCCCCAGAGCGCCGGACGGCCGACTCCGACTCCTCTGGCACCCAGACAGAGGGCCTTGACAACGTCTGTTCCACGACGAATGCCGCCGTCCACCCAGACTTCCAGCTTGTTGAAGACTTCTGGGCAGTACTTCCGGATTTCCAGTAATGTGTGCACTGCTGGAGGCGCAGTATCCAACGCACGGCCGCCGTGGTTCGACAAGATGATACCCTTCACTTGAGGGGCATGAAGAGAGGCGATGTAAGCATCTTCGTGCGTCTGAAGACCCTTGAGGATGATGGGCAAATCTGTATGCTTCGCCAACCACGGCAAAGTCTCCTTCCATGTCAACGAAGGATCCGTCCCGGCGAAGAGCTGCCGGCCCACGCCGCCTAACTGAGCTGACTCCTCAGAGCCCGAGGCTTCCTTATCAGCCGCCATGGCTGCGCTGGCTACCGGCGCCGACGCACCGACCGTATTCCCGCGTTCATCGTCTTCGCGCTTCCCAGGCACCGGCGCGTCCAGAGTGAGAACGATGAACTTGAAGGCCTTCAGCTTCTTGATGCGTGCGAGCATCTTTTCGCTCTTCTTCCGATCGACCTGTACGTACAACTGCCATCCGAATACCTGGTCGGGCGCTGCGTCTTGCACAATCTGCTCCGGGGTCATGGAGGCATTGTTGGAGATGATCTGCATGGCTCCAAAGCTGCGGCACGCTTCCGCGATACCTGCTTCACCAGCGGGGTGGCCCAAGCGAGCCATAGCGGCGGGGGATACATAGATTGGCATTCCTAGATTGTGACCCAGCAGGGTGGTATCCAGGTCACACTTGGTGCAGTCAACGAATACCCGCGGTCGGAGGAGGATTGACCGGTAGACTTCTGTGTTGAAGTGTTTCGTGATCTTGTCGTCCGAGGCGGAGTAGTAGTAGGCCCAGGCCTTTCTGCTGATGTTTTTGGTAGCGACCTGTTCAAAGTCGTCCATGTTCAGGAGGGACTCCATCGGCGGTGGCCCTTCTGTCTGCGCGGACTCTGGTGCTGGCTCTGCTTGCACCTTGGGGAGTGTGTCTGCATTCACCGTCCCGAGGAAGTTCTCGGGCTTCAGGTTCTCTTCTAGAAGACCTGGAGGGTGAATGGGGTCGTATTCTTCGGTGGCATCTTTACCTGCGAGCTTGAGAATAATTTTGGCACCGCCAGGGTGCTCGGATAAGAAGTCGGTTACCTGTGGGATAGCGGAGGTTAATGGTTTGGTCGGTAAGCCACGGCTAGGTCAATTGGCATCGCGCATACATCGTACACCTTTCCATAGAGAATTACCCAACAACTTTCGGATGTGTTGTGCTTTGCGACTGGAAAATGTGAGCATTTCAAATCTAAGAACAATTGGGTGTGGAACAATGGATCACTGGGTAGTCAACATACCTTCCGCCGCATCGAATACCTTGCTCATCTTGACGGATCGCAGAGCTCAAGTGTCGGGGGGGAAGAATGAAAGACAGTGGTGAGTAGAAATGCGGGGAAAGAAGAGAAGGCGAGTAGAAGAAGATAAGTGAGAAGAAGAAGTAGAGCAGCCAGGAAGAGAGAGTCAGATCGGCATGCAGTCGCAGGCCAAGGAAAACTGAGCGCAACTCACCGCATTCCAGTTGCATGTCCAGACCAGACCCCCATTTTAGTAACCGATAAGCGTCTCCCAGTCAAAAGATGGGGAAGCCCGGGGGCGGTCGGTCTCCGCCCGTATTGGGCAATCTCGATAGCCGACGGGTATTGGCAGTGTGGATGACAGACGGAAGAATCTTCATTGGTGGAGAAACGCAGCGGGCTGATATCATCGATCTCCGTCACTGTTCACTTTCTCTCCTCCCTTCTCCATCTATCTCTTTTATCTTTCCCCTTACTGACTCGCAGCTCCGATCCATGAACTCTCACATACTGACGTGATTTATCACAGCTCTTTGACCAGTTTGATCTTGGTGTTGACAACTGAGTAGCGTCGCTACGCGATCGTAGTCCAACGCAGCGACGTGATGCTAAAGATGGTCTGATGCAATATCGCGTCTCCAAACTAAGCCACATCCAGCTGCAGCTGGTCCACGTGAGCGGCAACAAAGAACAAAAGAGAAACTTGGCGGTCGCCCAGCTGACAATCAATGCTAATTGGAAGACGATGTGTTAGAAATTCTCTTGAGAAAATCGGTCTGCCCTCAACAAAAGTCGACTTCGTGGGCTGGCGAGCTGTTGCTGGCACCGTCTGCGGCCTAGCCTTGTTCAATCGCCACAAAGCTTCTAAAAGGTGTATGACGCGTTAAGATGTTTGAGGTACGTCAAAAGCTATGACATGGTCTTTCAAGTTCTCTCCTTGCTGTTCTTGCCGTATCGAATCGGCCGAATACCAGCTCCCAGTTTCTAACAGAATCCCAGCGTCGCGCAGCAGATCGCTACCGGCTTCGAATGCACCGTGCCCGCACGGTTGCGCTCACCTCCGACGAGATTGTCGAGGTTCGAGCCGCACAACGCACCTTCGAAGGCGCCTACGTCCGCACAGCACTCTCGCAGTTCTCCTTCGCCCTGGTCGTACTGAAGATCTTTACTAGCGAATTCTACAGCACAGGGGCTTTGTTTGCGATTTACGGCACCGGAGTTCTTATGATCGGTCTCTTCCGACGCCAGCAGGGCAATCGGCAGTTCTTTTCCGAGTTGGGCGAAGATGGCATCAACCGTCACAAATTCAGAACCAGTGGGAATGCGGTGGTGATACTCACAGCCTTGAGTATCGGGGCCTATGCTACACTAATCGGTCTTACTTTGAGACTGGATTACTAGGCACACCTGGCTTTCTCTACGCGAATGTCTGCTGGTACAGCGTTACCCAGGGCGGTGTTACTAGCGGTGAACCACAAAGACGTCTACACCAGATATGAGCGGATTTGCGAACAGCTATTCCTAGGTTTGGATGACTCCGGAGTTTCGAGTTGGTGAATAGCGTCTCGGGCCTAGCGCACCAAGCCGCTGACGGCAGCGACAATCAGGCGTAAGCACTTTGAACATGAAATGTAACAAGGTATAGGGGGTAGATCACGTGTAGAACTATGCTTGACTATCCCGACTGGCATTAGAAAGTGAGCACGGGACAGCTCTCTCAAAGGGTGTCAGACGAGTCACGGTTGGGATTGCTCACGGCGACGCGTTTCACACTGTGCATGATGACGCCGCAAAGTCAACTTAAAAACAAAGAGGTACATGTTCACGCAACTACCAAGTGCTGGTGGTTTTCCAGTGTCGACAGTAGCACAAGTTCGCAAGGCTGCAACATGGATACTATGACAGGCCAGTCTATTCATCTTGTAACGACCTGGCTGAGCTGAAGTGTATTAACAACATCCTGGTCTTGGCTTCTTCACATATCCACATACTTTCCATGCATCGTAACACCATAACGCTCAATCATCATTTTTCGTGCCCCACATCTCCTGGGTATTGATATAATGTGCAACAAATGAAACGCAAGAAATCATGAATCGACCACTCAGCTCTCAATAACAACTTTAACAACAGGCTTCCCTTCTTCATCAATACCCTTACCCGCCAACGAGAAGGCTCGATCCCCATCTGCTAATTTGACCCGGTGCGTGACTACTTGCTGCTCCACTCGATCGAACTTCCCACTACCCATCAGCGCGATAGCCGCGGGATACGCATAGCCGTCGTACCGGAACACTCCGATGATATCAACCTCGCGCAGCGCGGCCGCGCCTACCGGCAGGGTCTGGATGGGGTTTCCCATGCCGATCTGCACCAGAACCGCGCCCGGGGCGGCGGCATAGATTCCTGCCTGAACGCACGCCGGCACGCCGGTGCAATCATACACGCGGGCGAACCCCGAAGTAGCGCCATCTGCCTCCTTCAGCGTCGCAGCGACTCTCTGGGCATTCTGCAGCGCATACGTTGTCTGCTCTGCATGCGGCGCATCCTTGGGCGGGGGCGGGTTCGCGGGGTCCGCCTTGGGAATCAGTGCGGTCTTGAGACCCAGGCCCAGCGAGTCGGCGATCGCCAGCCGCGAGGCATCAATGTCCGCCACCAGGATCGAGGAAAAGTTCTCCGAGACGGCCAGCGCAGCTGCCAGCAGGAGACCTATGGCGCCCGCGCCGAAGATCAATGCCGAAGTCTTCTCGCCGACAGACTGCGCGAGCGTCACCTCGTCCTGCGTCGGTGGGTGCGACCGCCGGATCGCATGCAGACACACGGCGAGGGGCTCGACCAGCGCGCCGCCGGCGAAGGAAACGCTATCAGGGAGCTTGTGGCACATGTCTGCTGGGTGATTCGTGAGCTCCATCAGCGTGCCGTCTAAGTGTGGGAAGACTTTGGCGCTGCTGCGGAACTGCATGTTGAGACAGATGTTGTAGCGGCCCTGGCGGCACAGGGCACATTGCCGGCAGGGAAGTCCGACCTCCATTGCGACGCGGTCGCCGACGCTGTGGCTGGTCACCTCGGGCCCGATCGCGGTCACGACCCCAGAGGATTCGTGGCCCAGGCACATGGGCGCCCGCACGACGAAGTCGCCATTGCGTCCGTGTGTATAGTAGTGGAGATCGGAGCCGCAGAGACCGGTGGCGCGCACGGCGACTTGGACTTCTTTGCCTTGCGGGGGAGAGAGTGGTCGGGATTCCTATGACGGGTGGTGATTAGTTTTGCGGTTCAGTCGGCAGTCGGTCGTAGGAATGCGGGGTCGGATATAGTAAACACGTACTAGGCGGAGATCTTTGGCTCCGTGGAGGACGAGCGCTGTGGTGGTGCTAGGGGTGGCCATGTTGAGCTCAATCTGAGACTGCTCAAGAATTGCAAAAGTCTCTAGACTCAAAGAGGAGGAGAGGAGGAGGAGTCATGCTTTAATTGGATTCCAATGCGGCCGATGAGGGGATTGCCAGTTGGAGCCGTGGCGGGCGTGGGGTCATGCCGGACTTTTCTCCGCGTCGGGATTTGAACCCGACTGTTCAATAGCCGACGTATTATCCGCAAGTGATGACATGTATGTATGTTTTCTGGGGAGAGATCAATGCAAGAATTGCAGTTTGAGAAGTGGTATACCAAGTTTCATCAGTAGGATGTATATTATACTTGCATGAAATAAGAGCTAAACATCAAATAATATAATCACTGTTTGTTCTGATGTGCAACAGTAAGTTACTGCCACACCCACAATACCTTGTAAGTATGATACGGTACAGTATACCCCTCGGTAAACCCGCAACCCCCACGCGATCGCTGCCGCAAGAGGACCAAAACAGCCAAATCGGACTAATCCAACAAGCTGCGATGGGGTCATTGCGAGATAGTTGTATGAATAATCACATGTAGTGAGTTAACTGAGGTAGTTAAGTAAACTTCCTATTCTTCCACCTCACCTACCATTCTTCTCTTCCCTCTTTCCCTCCCAATTCTCATGCTCCATCGCCTTCGCGCACATTTCCACCACCTGCAGAGTACCCCGCGCCCCTCCAACTCTGACATCATGCCTGCCGCACTATTGATCGGTGCGATCACTCACACCCGCAAGGAATGGGAGGACCTGTCGTCGATTCTGACTCTGAAGGTAAGTCCCTCTCAGATTCACAAATTGAGCGCATCCAAGCCCAACAAACGAGACTAATGGCCGGTTTTGTCTTGGGGTGTGACAGGAATTCCCGGAGGGATCCCGAGACGACTTCATCCGCAATTGCAAGGAAGGCCAATACGACGACGTCGTCGCCATCTATCGCTCCAACACCTCCACCAAGGTAAGCACCACACCAAAGCCCCCCCCCAATGGCAAATATGTGGTAATCTAATCGCTGGCGCAGTTCACCGGCCCCTTCAACACGGAATTACTTTCCGTCCTCCCCAAGTCTCTGAAATATATCTGCCACAATGGGGCAGGGTACGATAACATCGACGTGAAAGGGTGCACGGAGAAAGGTAAGCAGTGGATATAAGCTATTGTGCGAATGCGATGCTCACAAAGGCACTAGGAATCGCCGTCTCGAGCACACCCGTCGCGGTCAACAATGCGACCGCAGACGTGGGAATCTTCTTGATGATCGGTGCGCTGCGCCAGGCTTATATTCCGATTGCGTCACTGCGCGAAGGTAGGTTCTTTCTGTGTGTTGGGTTTTCGGGCAATACTGACTGGATGTCGAATGATAGGTAAATTCCTCGGACAGACGGGACTAGGCCACGATCCCCAGGGCAAGGTGCTTGGGATTTTGGGGATGGGAGGAATTGGTCGCGTGAGTGCTAGCCTCGCCTGGTCGATGAGCTTATTTCGGTTGGAGTCGAGGTTTGCTAATTTCTGAGCGCAGGAAATGGCCAACCGTGCAAGAGCCTTCGGGATGAAGATCCAGTATCACAACCGCTCGCGTCTGTCGCCAGAGCTCGAGGGCGACGCAACGTATGTGTCCTTCGATGAGCTGCTGGCTACCTCCGACGTGCTGAGTCTGAACCTCGCGCTGAATGCGTCGACCCGCCACATCATCGGCGAGAAGGAGTTCCAGAAGATGAAGGACGGGATTGTGATTGTGAACACAGCCCGGGGGGCGTTGATTGATGAGAAGGCCCTCGTTGCGGCATTGGAGTCTGGCAAGGTGAGTGGATCGCTACCCCCTAATGAATTTGAGGTTTATGCTGATGCGCTTGCGAAAGGTTCTGTCTGCTGGTCTGGATGTCTACGAGAATGAGCCCGAGATTGAACAGGGGTTGGTCAGTAACCCCAGAGTAATGCTGCTGCCGCATATTGGCACCATGACGTACGAGACGCAGAGGGAGATGGAGCTGTTGGTATTGAACAACCTGCGGTCGGCTGTAGAGAAGGGCGAGATGATCACGCTGGTGCCGGAGCAGAAGGAGGCTTTTGGCAAATAGGATGCATGCAGTGGCTGTTTTACTTGAGCTACAAGGGTTCCAGAGTGTCAATCGGTATCCTGAAGAATACAGGTGTATATAGATCGAAAGAGTGCTTCCACAATTTAACTCGAGTGCCCCAAGTACCCTCAAATACTTTTCAGACCATGGTCAATATGCTCAGTCATCATGGTAGCTGAAATCGACTCTTGAGGAATCAATCTCCGAAATGCTCACTTAACACAAACCTCCACAAAACATCTACTTACTCCAACTTCCGAGCCCGATCCTTAGCAATGGCACACATAGCCTACCACCCACTTAGCATTCCCTCAGAACAACGATTGTGCACAGAAAACATACCTGAATAATCTCCTCAACCTCCCGCTCCTGATTCCCCCTCTCAATCCTCTGTTGCATCTCCTCCATAATAACATCCCTCCCTCTCCCATTAACAAACGTCCTAAGCCCCAGTTAGCTCGCACGCACACACCCTGGCCCAGCCCTTCCCCCCGCAAAACAAAACAAGAAAAAGAGAAGGGATCATACACAAACCGCAACCCCGGAAACCGCTCCTCGTACTCCGCATTCAACCTCTGCAACTTCTCGGCCTGTTCCTCGGCGCCCGTATTCAACTGCGCTTGCTCCTGTTTGCTGTGCTCGCTCAGAAGCTCCACCGGGCTGTCCGTCTTGGGCCGCCCGAGCCGGGGATGCGAGCCGAGGATTCCATGCAGAATCGCCCGGTCTTGGGAGGAGTTGGCGGCGGACAGCGCGGACATACGGCCGCCGACGGCGTCGATGAGGCGGGCGTAGCTGTCGAACGTTTGGTGGGCGAGGACGGGAGCCATGAGGGTGTGGAGTTCAGGGGAGGGCTCGAAGAGGGTGTCAAGGACGTGGAATTGGAGGTCTTGGGGGAGGGTGGGGAGAGTCGATAGGGGGGGAAGGGTGGGCATTTTGCGTGGTAGAAGTGAGGAGTGTAGATGAGTGTGAGTGCGAGAGAGAGTGTGTGTGTGCGTTCGAGATGAGGTCAAAGTTTGTTCTGGAGGTTGGTAGGTTGTTAGGGAGAGTGTTCATAGTAGTAGATGCTTGATGATATATACTGTCGCGTGGCGCTGGGTTGGCGCCCCACGTCGGCCGTCTCCGAGCGGGTCTAGCCGAGATGTTTTGAGGTCGGAGATTGTGTAATGGTTGCACGATTGGAAAATGGTTTTAGAGCCTCCAAAAATATGCTTTCTCTGTTTATTATCGAGCATGATTTATATCTTGCATCCTTGGTTTTGTTTAAGAGACATCATGACATCCCGTTCATCGAAGGAGTCTCCACGCTTCACAAAGGCAGAGACATGGGAGGCGTTCGGGCCATTCCGACTTGTTTCGCAGAGATTTCTAGCCCTCCGGACAGCTTTGGAAGTGATCTATGCATCCATCACACGAGTATACCTTGTCTCTTTAAAAAGGTATCGAATTGACTCTTGAAAACCTCAAAGCCTTTTCCAAAGGGATGTGACAGCTGCTGCAGGAGATCCCTGTTTCAATGGCTCTGCAATCAATGTCAAGATATGGCAGGGATGGGCTGGTCATGTAACGCAGTAGGGCTTTGTTCTTTGAACGTTTCACTCGCTTTGCTGGGTCCCACCACCTAGGTCGAGCATGTTTCTAGACTCTCCCAGTCTGACTGGAGTTCTCCTTTCCCGCACAAGCTCGTCCATGGAGTATATCCCAGGCAGAGTCTTCACTATAGGTGTCAAGCGGCGCAGGCTACTCAGGCTTGTTTTGACATATTTTGGAACATGAGAGAGAGATATTCTTGAAAGAAGGGTACCTTCTCGTATGCAGGAGAAGCAGTATGTCATAAACAAAGGGAGAAAGATGAAGCCGCCAAATTCACCACAGAGATGGCAGTCACTTGTACAGAGTACGTTGACCGGGTCGAGAAGGTTGAACCAAGACGCAATATTGGTTCTTGGGATGATACAGAGTGCCTCAACAGCCTACTTGATGACAGTTTTTGAACAGTGAGTTGCACTTATGATCTGTCGGGCCCGACAACTGACTTGGCGAAAACGAAACATGGACCGAATTTCAAGATGAAGGCATATCTCTTGAACAATCTCGAGTGGTAGAACTTCTAGGATTCCCGAAATTCAAAGTAGTCTGGATGTTCGGGAGCAGCAAGCTGCGGATCTGAACGTGGTCTTCGGGATTTGTCCTGAGTACAGCTAAGTCAAATCGCCTCGATGGTATGACGCGATGCGATTGGTGATTTGGGGATACGCAACGAAGTTGATTCGTTGTTTGATCTGCTTCCATCTTAACGATGATAGACTTGACCCTGGACAGGCACGTGATACTATCAGGACAGGGACGCTGTAGCGACATCGCACGTGATCAGCCGGGCAGCGCGGGGGTCGCCGTCCGGGGAAAGATGCGCCAGACGGAGCTGTCCTTGCCATGGCTCACCACCGTCACTCCTGCATCCTCGATGGACCTCTACGCCTCCCCTCCCAAAACCTCCACAAACCCCTTCTCCCCCTCTGCCACCGCCGCCACCACTCCAGGAACCCGTGAACCCAAACTCCAGCTCCCCTCGACGACCGACCCGCCGGGCCCCCAGAACCCCCCACGACCGCTCGTATGGCTCATCTTCGGCGCGACGGGCCACATGGGCCGCTCGCTCGTCAAAACGGCTCTCAGCCGCGATGATCTCGTCGCCGCCGTGGGCCGCACCTTTGAGAATAGTCCTGAATGCATGAGCGAGCTCGAAGCCGAACACGAAAACTGTTTGGGTCTGCTGTGCGACGTGCGCGCCCGCGAGACCGTCAAGCAGGTGATCCAGCGCACCATTGCGCGCTTCGGCCGTATCGACATCATCGCCAATTGCTCCGGCTACGGTGTGATTGGGGCATGCGAGGACCAGGACGAGTATGACATCCGCGACCAGTTCGAGACGAATTTCACCGGCACCCTCAATATTATCCAGCTTTCGCTGCCGCATTTCCGCGAGCGGCGGTCCGGCCGATACCTTATCTTCAGCTCGACGTCGGGTGCGCTGGGCGTGCCCGGGCTGGGGCCCTATTGCGCGTCCAAGTATGCTGTCGAAGGGTTGATGGAGAGTATGCTGTACGAGGTGGATCATTTCAATATCAAGACTACGCTGGTCGAGCCGGGGCATATGCGGCGGGATGATACAGGGGATTTGGTCTCAGACCATTTGCATAGGGGGTTCTTCGGGGGTGCTGGCGGCAGTGGCAACGAGCATAATTTGACGTCCCCGCTGCCGCTGTATGGGCATTTCCTGGTGAAGCCGCCCAGTGAGCCGTATAATGTCGCGACTTCGCCCGCGGCTCACGCGAAGAGGATGCTAATGTGGCTGGGGGATAAGCAGCCGGCTAGTGCGGTTAAGGCGGCGCATCTAGTGTGGCAGCTCGGGCATTGCTCGTATCCGCCTCTGAGATTGATTCTGGGGACGTACGCCGTGGAGAGTATCAGAGATCGCTTGAAGTGTATCATTGAGGAGATCGAGGATTGGAAGTATCTCAGTTTTCCTTCGGCTTCTGCTTCAGCAGGGGAGCAGCAACAAGGGCAGCCGGGTGCAGTGACAACAGGAGCCAAGGATGGGGGCGCCAGAAGTGGGGATGGCAGTGGCAATGGACCAGAGAATGAGGACGCAGATATGAGGTGATGAGGATTCTACTACCATACTTTCTCTCAACGAAGGCTCCCCCGCTCTCACTACGTCTGATTGAGCTTCCATCAAAGCCAAACCTGCTAAAGGACCTATCGTCACCCAGTCGATGCATGCAAGTTGCTTGGACAAGCAACTCCTTCAGCATCCAGGATACCTTCCAAGGTGCTTCCAGGTCTTGCGGGCTCGGGCTACAGGCTCACTCCAGACCTAGCATTACGACTGCCGGATAACATGGGCTACATCCAACATCCTCATTCGGCCAAGGACGACCGCCGGTTGCCCTGCGATATGCTTCATCTACCCTCGTTCGAAGAGCATATCACCAGCTTGTTTGTTAAGATAACGTCCCCAACGGGCATCGATAGTGCGTTCATGAAAGGCCGTCACTAAATAGCGCTATATAGAGGTTCAATACTACAACATGTCAAAGATTTTGCATCAATCCTCTCAGCATCTACCTTTTCTGGAAGAGGTAATCGCCATAATAGACCGGGACAAAGTGAAAGTCGCCCTCCACGAACGTGGGCAAGCGTGAATCAAGCTTCTCAACGCATCTGTCCTCTGACCAATGTTTCCGTTCGCCTTCTACCATTCCCCTATATCTTCTCCTCTCCGTTACCATACACTCGTCCCTCCAAACTGATCGTTCGATGAGTGGATGTCGGATGAGAACGAGACATCTCTCTTGGAACTCAGTCGCCGCCTCCACATCCTGGTCTCTGTCACCACTCTGCTAGTGGACAGCGGAAGTATTGTGGCGACACGCTCTACATCCAGGTGGAATACAAACCCATCTTGGCTTGCCGCCAAGCCGACAGAAAGCTCGGTTGCTATGCGGCAAGATCTTCACCAGGGCACGAGACCGCTCTTCAGCGGCTTCGGTGTCGAATACATAGATCCCGGAGAAGCACGCAGAACACTTCGGATTCATCGTTCATGTATTTTGCATGGCACTGACGGATGGCTTCGAGGGTCACGCTCACTGAACATGCGACCCTGAAATCGTTCGATCCTCCAACCCAATCCGCGTGGAGCAGATAGGTCAGCGTCTGTCGCCATTTGCGGGCGTTCATTATATTCACTACCACACCAACTGTTAGCATCGGATTCCAACAACCTCTAATGCGCTCAGAAGGCCTATGCACTCACCTTTCAACAGCGTCTGATACAGCTTGTTGAGCCCCGCCCCAACGACGACGTTGACAACCCATCGAAGGTATCATACCCCGGCCTGACAGCAGGGAACGTATCTGAAATTTCAGCAGTCCTTCCAGAAACCGCACGTAGCTTTCGGTACTAAGATTCTGCTTTATCGAGGGCAGGTCTCCATAGCGACAGAAACCCCGCAGATGTTGAACGACAGCTCTCCTCCTGGTCGGTGGTATCCGCGTCACCTCATCGGGATTCAAGGCATATCGGCGCCAAAACTCGTGGATCGGAGTGTAGAGCTTGGTGAGGGTGCGCTTGCAGGAGCGTGTCGGTGATGGTGAATGCTGCGTCTTGCGCGCTGTAGACGAGCGGGATGCTCCATACAAGGCTTTGGTCTGTCATTTCTAAGATGTCGCGGAAGAGGTATGCCTATACCGCCGTTGATGGCACACCAGACCACGTAAGGGGTGCTACTGGGAGGGATCTGTGTTGGGCTCTTCCTGGGTAAAGGGGCGAGTCTGAGCCTTGGGTGCGGTGGGATTTTCGCTGTTCCTGGTGTGGTTAGCAGCGGCCGTGTTGATGTGGTCTCGACAAGTACCTTTGCGGTGGGTGGTTTTGCTCTTTGCTTGCTTTGGCTGGTTTTTTGGGTCATGCTGGTGTTATGTCTGGCAATGCTCAATGACTCCAGTAATACGCATAGGAGAGTTGCGTATGGTATCAGTCATGATGACAGGCTCCGAGCATCCACCGAGGATGTTAACAGCCCGAGTTCATTGACAACGGCTGGAACAATGCCTTACGGGATCTGATTCTAAGAACCATGAAGTTGCCATAGTGTCTTTGTTTGCTGTTTTCTAGTTGTGGCAGACCTATCACTTCTATACACGTCTTCGATTAACACAACTTTCAGAGACATGTGGCTAACAAAGAGCATACCGGCTTGTTCCTTCAGAAACATTGTACATCATTGTGCAACTTGCATACAAGATCAATTGGCACGTCTTCAGTCGTAGATACACAGTACATGATGTCCTTTTGATCACGCTTGCACCGCAACCTCTCGCATCTTGCCAAATATATAAAAACGATCATCCAGTTTGGGAGTGCGCAGCACGTTTTGAAAGAATAAGAAGGAAAAACAAGACCACATAGAATCCCATCCATCATGAATAGCACACATTACCTCTGATCTATGATCTCGGGGCATTACCTGGTTTTACTCAGGGGACCGGGAGAGGTCTCATGATGTCTGTTTCCCGGTTGCCATCGACCCTGGGGCTGTATGTATCAGTGTAGATCAAGCTTTGGCTGTGCGGCTTTGTCGAAGCAGCTTCCTACCTGTAGACTATATATGACTACATGGGCTCTTAATACGAGTTAAGTAAAGTCTACTTATCTAACTATATATCATCTTATATGAGTCTTATCTTTGATTTCTGACGCTGCTACCCACCCACGCCAAGCCTTCCCAGCGCCGATATAGGACGATGAGTCAGCGCTGCCCCGCAGCGGCCTTGAAGATGAGCTCCGCCTGCCATCTCTTCTTCCCCTCTTCCTGCTGCTGCTTCAGAGATTCAATCCAAACAGACCAATTGATCGTTCATCATGCCTGCTCCTATCTATCTCGGTGTTATCGGTAAGTAGTCATAGTCTTGAGAGCACACATCGCTCTGCACCACCACAATTGGCACTCTGCATTCTCCCTTCCCCACCAATAAACCCCTCCCCTCACCAACCACCACACACCACACACCACCAACCACCCACTAACCCACGCATCCAGGCGTCGGCGGCGTAGGAACCTCCTTCCTCGCCCAACTCGCCCGCCTCCCTAACGCGCCGCAATTGATCCTCCTCGCGCGGTCCACGCAAACCCTCCTCTCCCCCACCCCCTCCTACACCCCCTCCATCCCCGCGGCGGACTGGACCACTGCCGCCGCCACCCCGCAACTCACCAAATCCGGCGCGCTCTCGCCCGACGAAATCGCCGCATACCTCTCCTCCGCGCCGGGCCGCTCCATCCTCGTCGACAACACGAGCGACCCCGCCTTGGCGTCGTCCTACCCGACCTTCCTCCGCCAGGGCATCTCGATCGTGACCCCGAACAAGAAGGGCTTCTCGTCGGACCTGGGGCTGTGGAAAAACATCTTCGCCGCCGCCGCGGAGGGCAACGCGCTCGTCTACCACGAGAGCACGGTGGGCGCCGGACTGCCCGTGATCTCGACCCTGCGGGACCTGGTGGCGACGGGTGACGAGGTGACGCGTATCGAGGGTGTGTTTTCGGGCACCTTGTCGTTCCTGTTCAACACGTTTGCGCCGGCGGCGGGCAGTGCCGCGGGGGCCAAGTGGAGTGAGGTGGTGGCGCAGGCGAAGGAGCTGGGGTACACGGAGCCCGACCCGCGGGATGATCTGAACGGGATGGATGTTGCGCGTAAACTGACGATCCTGGCGCGGATTGCCGGGCTGGAGGTGCAGGGGCCGGATGCGTTCCCGGTGGAGTCGCTGATCCCGGAAGAGTTGGCGGGCGTGCCGTCGACTGCGGAGGGGATTGTCGAGTTCATGAAGCGGTTGCCGGAGTTTGATGGGCAGATGACGGCTGTGAAGGAGCAGGCGGAGAAGGAGGGGAAGGTGGTCCGGTATGTCGGCAGTGTGGATGTGGGCAAGAAGGAGGTGCGCGTCGGCTTGCAGAAGTTCGATAAGGATAGCGCGATTGCGGGCTTGAAGGGCAGTGATAACATTATTAGCTTCTACACTAAGCGGTATGGTGCCAATCCGTTGATTGTGCAGGGTGCTGGTGCCGGTGGCGATGTGACTGCTATGGGTGTTTCGGCGGATTTGATTAAGGTGGTGCAGCGGTTGCAGTAGTGGTTTGTTGAGTAGCTAAAAGTTTGTATCTTGGATGATGAGGTGTGAGTGGCAGCAACGAGTTGGTGGATGATGATCTGACTTCTGTGAAGTGGAGAGGTGTGATAGTCTAGCAGTAGTATTGCATGCTGATGTTTGTAGCCAAGAGCCAAAAAAACAGCACTTCAACCCCACTATAATCTGTCAACTCCGCTACCTTTACCTAGACTACCCTACCCTACCCTCCCTCCCCTCCCCTATAACAACCCCCAGATGGATCAACAACTGATCCCGCTCGGCAAATTCTCGCACGAGGAGCTTGTCTTCCCACCGGTCACATCCACGTCCGTCCAGGTCCAATCCGTACAGCTGTCCGAGCCACAAACGATATAGATATCCGTCCCAGTGCTCTCGACCGTGCCCACCACGCTGTCGAGGACAAAGTCCTCGATGGTGACGCCGTTTGTTGGCGACTCCGAGGTATCATCGTAGTTCTGCTCTACCACGATGCCGTACTCGGTGATCTCGGAGAGGGTAATTTCCTTGTAAGTGACCTCGGAGACGGAGCCGGTGTCGCCGTAGATGGTTTTGATGCGGACGCCTGGGTTTGTTTAGTATGCGGAGGCTGACTCGGGTTTGACCGGGGAGGGCGGGGAGGAAAACACAGTAAAGGGGAAAAGCTCACCATTCTGCGAGTTCTTGATTTCCGAATCGTAAAAGGTCACGTTCTTGACGGTGTTGTCGCTGCGGCCGCCGACAGAGCCAATCGAGAGCCCGTGACCACCGGAGCAGACGCCGCCGGAGAAGTAGATGTTCTGGTTTGGGGTTATGTCATTAGTCAAGCTGCTGGGGTTGTTTAAGTTTGTTCAAGGCCATGGACGGCATACCTCGCCAGAATTGACAGCCACGCAGTCATCCTGGTTATACACATTCGCGCCTGTGATGGTAATATAAGTACTATCGCCAATGTCGAACCCGTCCGTGTTAGCCGCGCCTTCATCGTCACCATCGCTGTTGTCAATGGTAATGTCCTCCAGCGTCAGGTAGTTGGAGTTGTCGATGCTGAACACCTGCACCGGGGAGTTCTGGATGTAGATGCTGCTGATCACCGAGTCGGTCAGGTCGTGTGCGTAGAAGAACTTGGGCTTGGTCTTGCCGCCGTTCGACCCCTCGTCGTCCCACCAGCGGCTGCCGTCGCCGTTGAGATACGCGCCACTGGCGCCGGTGACGGTTATGTCGGTGCCGGAGACGGAGACGAGGGGGCCGTCCCATTCTTCGTAGCCGAAGGTGGTTTCGCCTTCGAAGATGACCTGTATGTCCTTTTAGTTTGTGCAGGATGGAAATGGGGGGCGGAGGTATGCATACGTGGGTTCCATCGTTCAGGTCGGTCAAATCCAGAGTCGTTCCAGAAGGGACGGCCACGCTGGACAGAATGATGGTCGAGCAGGAGGTCTTGGACTTGCTCGCGGAGGAAGCGCCATTCGAGCCCGAGAAGGTGCAGGTGGTGGCGCGCTTCTCGAGATCGCCGACCTTGGGGCCCGCGGTGATGGCCGGGGGTTCAGGGGCCGGGTTGGCGCTGACGGTGATGGCCCCCAGGGCCAGAGACAAGAAAGCCAGGGACTTGACGAGCATTGTTGCTAGGGGTCTTGGTAAACACAGAACTGATGAGTGGGAACGAACAAGCTTCCTTGCCAGGTCTTGGTCGACTTGGCTTTTCTTGGAGAAAGGCTTGGGTCGCAAGTCGGCCTCTTATACTTTCGTGAGCTCCAAATAAAGATCTCCTTCGCCTGAATTTCCGTGGTGGGATTATTGTCTTGACCAAACTTCATGGTCTGGGAGATACAACATGAATATGCCGGCGCTAGGAAATGCCGTCTGCAGTTCGAATGCGTCGCTATGATTTGACAATCTACTTCGTCAATGGTGGAAAATCCTGCTTGCCGTCGGGGTTACGGCCAGGGCTCGTGTCGAGGATTGACAGTGTTGTTGAAGATACCTAGTATACCTCTGCAGCAGTTCAGCTGCGATTGGCTCCTGCAGCACTCAAGCGTTCGGAGACGGCAGGGAGTGATGACGACTCCACCATACGGGTTAATCTAATCCAGGGGCGGTGGCTTATGTGCCGCTGAGCAAACCGGCATAGGTCAGGGTCCGGCGTTTGAGGGGAAATGCTAGTATGACAGCTCGGAGCTAGCTTGGATTAATTCGTCACGGCACAGTGATGGCTCAGGCCATAACCAGGCCACCTATGGCGAGGCGGAATAGCAATTGGTGGAATGAAGTTAGTATCTTGAACTCGGGGTCGCCAGTGGTGGCTGCTCCGTGTTATTTGGGCAGCATGTCCTCGCTGAATGATCGTGGTTTGTTCAGCCATCGTATCTATCCCTCGCCATGAGCAGATGGATTGTGACCTGGTGATACTGAATCGAAAATAGCAGCGAAGGAGTGACTCCGCAGCGGAGTAAACAGTCTAGGTGCGGGCGAAGCCAGACGCACAGACACCAAGCTAAGTGAGTGATAAGCATCGTCACGCGGATGCAGTGAGTACCTCAGGCAGCATCCCCAGGTTTCCACCAGATTTGGGCGTTTTCTCGTGAATAATGTTCTGCTTGAAGTGGTTAGCCGTGGGGGAGTTATAGGCCAGTCAAGGTTATGATTCTGCAATGAACCGGTTCGGTGGGGTGGCGTTGCTGTGGCGCAACCGACCAGCGTTCGAACCGGGGAAGGGGAGACGACGTGACGCACGGCATATTCCCAATTCCAGTACACTCCCCGGGATGATGAACAGGTAGAAAATCCCGAGGATAAGACGAGAGGGGTTTTCATAGCACTGCGGAATGGTGGTTCAGTAGAATCAACTGTAAAAAGACTAAAACCTGGCAGTGTGAACTTTTTTTGTTGTATGCAGTTAGATGTTAAACCGTCCCACTTTTGGCGTCCTTTTGACCAATTATTGGCGAAGACTTGGCAAAGATGATACTGTACAGACTGCATGTCCTGTATAGCTGATGAAGCGAGGGAGTGGTGCTGAAACTGCTCAGGTATAAGAATCTCGACGGATCATGACCCGAACCCAAAAGTCGACATGCGACCGGTGATTGGGTTGCTGGCATCTCGGCGCATCATGGACTCGTCCCTGGATGCGACCTCAACCAGAATGTCATCCCGTCATGGCTCCGTCAAGTCCCGGTCGCCCAGAGCTGATTCAACAGGTCAAAACTCTTCGGTCGCGCGCTCGCTCTGATGAGGATTATTGGCTTCAGTCCCTGCATGGGAGCCTCCAAGACGCAGAGCTGGACGCCTCCTCTCCTGGGTCATTCTACTTCGAATCAACCCCGTTATGACCCTGCTACACGTCCGCGCCATAGTGCCTTTCGAGGCTGGCGCCAATGCAACAGACGTGCTCATCAACGAAGTCCACTTCAACCGCACGGCTCTTGATCTCTACCACTACAAGCTCTACAGCAACGGCACGCTCTCCAACGGCACGGATTGTTATCTTGCGTTCAACCAGTTCAAACCACATATGCAGACGGAAAACGGGACAATTGTAAAAGGAGTCTCCTGCTATGCGCCGATTCGCAATATGGGCCCTCATGCATCAGCGGGCCTGGCCTTCGCTTTGATGTTCTCCATATCCATCTTCTTCACCTTGATCAATTTGCGCAAACACGGTCGACGATACTTGCCGAAGAATCGACGGTGGTCGCTTCTCGGTCGCCGGGCCAAGTGGATTTGGATGCTGGTCCTTGCTGCTTGTGGGGCGATCAGCTGTTTCATGAGCATCGACGTCGATCGGGATTACGTGGTGAACAGTCCCTTGATCCTGCAGAGTGTCTTTTATACCATTCTCACTCCCGTGATGATGGCTGTCGTGTGGGAGGCTGTTCGACACTGGTAAGTGCAGGCCTTACCGATCCACGACTCGACATGATTGCTGACTTGGATAATGTCAAGGGGCTCTTGGCAAGAGAGACAGATTCTGGATCGAGATCCGTACGCCTTTAGAAAATCCAGTACCCGCAAAGGCCAAGAATTTGTGCTGCCCATTCTGTTCTACGGCCTAGCCATAGCCAACTTCTTCTTGACCGTTCCACGCTCGTGGGGGGCGATTGAAATGCAACGAAGTTTGGAGCAACAGATGACGGATGCCAAACCCGCCGCGACAGATATTCGATGGCGCATCGCCAGCTTCCTGGCCATGGGTGGCGTTCTGGTCATCTGTTACAGCTTAGAGCACAGCATATATCGCTACCGTATCCGCCCAACAAGCACCTGGGGGCAGCTCATGTTCTACATCAACGCATCACCATCCCAGTTCCTTGTGGCTATCGTGTTGCTGGGCATCAAGATCGGATATGCTATCGCATCTGCCTTTGACTGGACAGTGTCGCCGCTGAAGTATGGGGTCAACTCCGGCTGGATCTTCGGTTTGGGGTACACGCCTCCGCTACTCCTCCTTGTACTCTTCAACATCTGTGGCCACTGTGAACTCAACGACGATCAGGCAATCATTTCTCAGCGTGGTGAGTTGGATAATGCCGTCGCGGATTCCATGGGGGTCGGCCAGAGGAAACCCAGCTGGTGGGCCAAGGGCCGTTCATTTGTGCGAGAACTCCGGCGGCAGTCAGCCCAAAAAGACACGGATGAAATGGACCGGTATGTTGAGATGGGCATCATCAAGCCGGAGGAGCAGCAGCAACAACTGCGAAACGACCAAGCTCCCGGGCCTAAACCAGAGGCTCAGATTACCACCCGTACGGCCAGTCAGGGCAGCGAAGGAACCAGTCTGACTGCAGTGGAAAGTGGCTCGGAAAGTGCCCCGCGCCATGTGGAATATGTGACGCATTCAGAGGGTCTCTCGCGGTGCTCGTCGGACGACCCGACCGCCGTGCATCCTGCTCCGCAAACAGCAAGGGACATGATTGACGGGTAATTGGGAATCAGGCAGTTGGAGATGGAAGGATGGGATGTAAAGTAGTCAAGCATGAAATCTGAATTTGTTGTGTGACTGTTCTGAAAGACCATAGTTCTTTGGCAACCACTGGGGCCTTTGAGGAACGACTTCAAGGACCATAACGTACAGCTAGCTTGTGTGATCCTAAACCTGCAGCATGGTGATGGGACTCGGCCTTAAAAGATGGATTGTTGTTCCGCGCTAGGCCAACAAAGTAAGAAGCCGGAGTGGGTCAATTCATATGCCGACTCCACTCAAGGGTCTTGGCAGCTGCAAACACAGCAAACTCAGGTGACTCACGCCAGCCAGACTGAGTGGCCTGCCTCTCCGATTCTCGGCTCCGATAGGCTGTCGGGCTGCGGTGCGGTGTTTCTTCTGCGGGCGTGCCCGTCGAGTCATTAATTCGCTCTCCCTACCTTGCAAGGTATAAAGTCCCCATTGTCAGAGGCAGACACGTTGTCAATTCCAGTTTCCCCTCGATAATGGCTCTCCTACACCTTGCCTCGCGGCGTCTGCCCGCTTCCAGGAAGCTGGTTCCTGAAATCAACTCGGTGCTCCGTCCTCGGTTCGCCGCAGTGCCCGTGCGGTCCCTGAGTGCGACAACTACCTCTCGAGCAAAGGTAAGTCTCTGCGACCGACTGAGTATGCCTTTGATATTAAACTAACCTTTTGGTTTTATTAGAATGAGAGCTCGTTGCCCAACCCTGATCCTGCAGCGGATTCCGCTTCCACGTCCTTCATCAATGGCCAGACCCCGTACATGGTCCCTACCTACGTTCGCCCACCTCCGGTGATGGTCAAGGGACAAGGAAGTTACCTTTGGGATATGGAGAACAGGAAGTACCTTGATCTGACGTCTGGTATTGCCGTCAATTCGCTTGGTCACTGCGATCCCGAGATCGCAAAGATTATTGCCGAACAGGTGTGTACCCAGACTCTCCGTCACATTGGTTCCTGCTTTGCTCATAAAATGGTCTTTGATAGTCCGAAATCCTCATCCACGCCTCCAATCTCTACTATAATGCTTGGACCGGTGCTTTGAGCAAGCTCCTGATTGAGGTTACCCGCGAATCCGGCGCTATGCGCGATGCGTCCCAGGTGTTCATCGCCAACTCCGGAACCGAGGCCAACGAGGCCGCTATCAAGTTCGCCCGTAAGGTTGGTCGCTCGCGCGACCCCTCGGGTGCTAAGCACGAACTAGTCTCCTTCCACAACTCCTTCCACGGCCGCACGATGGGTGCGTTGTCCGCGACCCCCAACCCCAAGTACCAGACCCCTTTCTCGCCCATGTTGCCCGGATTCAAGTACGGAAACTACAATGATGTCGAGCAGCTGCACAGCCTCATCACCGACAAGACCTGCGGTGTGATTGTCGAGCCCATCCAGGGCGAGGGCGGTGTCAATGTTGCCACCCCCGAGTTTCTGGTTGCTCTGCGCAAGCGTTGTGACGAAGTGGGCGCCGTCTTGATCTTCGATGAAATTCAATGTGGTCTGTCCCGGACCGGCAGCCTTTGGGCGCACGGCCACCCATCTCTGGCGCCTGCCTCTGGCGAGGCCGCCCACCCCGATATCCTGACGACTGCCAAGGCGCTGGGCAACGGCTTCCCCATCGGTGCTACCATCATCGCCGAGAAGACGGTCGCCTCGCACATCAAGCCCGGCGACCACGGAACCACTTTTGGCGGTAACCCCCTGGCGTGCCGGGTCGCCCACCACATTGTCAAGCGCTTGGCTTCTCCCGAGCTGCAGAAGCAGGTCGAGGTCAAGTCGGCCGTGCTGCAGGCCGGCTTCGATGCTTTGAAGAAGAAGCACCCCAATGTCATCTCGCAGGTCCGCGGTCGCGGTCTGATCCTGGGTGTGCAGCTCACCCCCGAGTTCAGCGCCAAGGCTGGTGACTTGGTGACGGCCGCCCGCGAGCGTGGCATGCTGATCATCACCGCTGGTGAGGGCTGCATCCGGTTTGTCCCTCCGTTGACCATCACCGAGGAGCAGCTCAAGACGGGCTTGAAGATCTTCGAGCAGGCCTTGGAGGCTGTTCTTGCATAGATTGATTGCTTGGTTCTGGATGGGAATGCTTAATGATGTCGTTGGACGCAAAAGTTATAGATGAATGAAAGACTGCTGGCTCGGGATTTGCTGCGGGTCTGACCTGCCCTTGCAACATTGCACATGTTGATGGAGATATACTATTGTGCTTTTCTCTGGTGACCACATATAGAAGGCGCGAACTAATAGATTGCATGATTCGATCTCGAATCTTAGACCTTTGTATAGTAATTCTATGCGGAGTTGAACACAGCTGAGGCTTTGATGTCGGAGAAAGATTTAAATTCCTGTGCATTAGATGCCCACAGCACAAGGCAGCACAATTCAACTGTCCGGAATATCGGACGAGACATACCCCGAGCTCCCAGTCTTCTGGCCTTTGGATAAGGTCTACTTGCTACTACTCGCAGCTCACTCTGCGCGCATTCATCCACACCCGTCCAGTCCTGGACCAAGCTAAACCCACCTTCAGCCCCAGAGAAAAAGCAATACACAATGGCGATCGTCCAGCGATTCCCATCTCGCCTAGTCCGCAAATCACACCCCGTGGCGAGTAACCTCGTATACAGCAGCCGACTGTATCACCCCGATTCCTGCTTCACCGCAGACACCGCACCGAACTAGTGGAACGGCATATGTAATGTGACAGCCATTGAGTAACGATGGAGATTACTGCTGAATGAGAAAGACAACCACTACTATGATGAACTCCTTTCATAAAACCTCTCACCATGGAATTCAAACAGTGCGCGGGGCGAAGAAGGCAGAACCAGCTCCATCATCACACCTATTTGTCACAATGGCACCGGGTCACGGGAGAGCATACAAGCCTTGCGGATATCGATGGCGATCCTCGGGATTCTATATCGTGGCGATAGTATCGGTGGCTCTGTTCTCAGGTTGGTAATATGCTGATAGAGATCCTCTGGTGAGTTGGATCTTGACAAAATGCGGTTTACAGATAACTTCCTCTTCACCTTTATCATCCCCATACTGCCGGAGATTCTCGGACAGCGTCTCCAGCAACCCGCATCGCGCATCCAGGCGCTCACATCCATCATTCTGTCCATGAATGCGCTAGTGTCGATTGTACTCGCACCCTTGACCGGATACCTAGCGGATAAACTGTCCTCACGCAACAGGTGTCTGGTTGTAGCGTGGGTGGTGAATATGCTTGGGACGGCTGTTACGGCTTCGGCTACGACATGTGAGTACAGTAGCTTGATTCTTGCGAAGTAAAGCTTCCTCGATGGAGATGGCTGACAAAAGCATCCTGCAGTGCCAGTTCTCATCGTCGGGCGCCTCATCCAGACTCTGGCAGGCTCTGTGATCTGGATAGTCGGCATGGCGATGCTCGCCAACGCCGCCGGGGCGAAACACCTAGGCCAAGCTTTTGGCGTGGCAGTCCTGCTGGTATCCGCAGGCCTTCTGACCGGCCCAGCGGTGTCGGCCGCGCTGTACAAATTCGTCTCGTACCCTGTCATGTGGTCGAGTGCGTTCATCGTGCTTCTGACCGGCTTGGCCCTACAATTGCTTGTCATCGAGCCGCAGCAGGACGAGGAGAACACAGCCTCCACGACCAAAATACAAAGCACGACGAACGATGAGGAACAAGAGATCCACGATGCCAACGATCCGCTCCTCCCAGGTAGCACACCAGGAGAGACCGACACTCGCACTTACTACTCCACCGCCGCCACCACCACCACCGAAACACGCTCCCCTCCAGCCACAGCAGACCGCAACAAGGAAGCCAATATCTACTGGCTCATCCTCCGCAGGAAACGCGTTGCCGCCGGCCTCCTCGGCGATACCCTCCTCGCCATTATCATCGCAAGCTTCGAGGCGACGATCCCGCTGCACATTCGGAAAGTGTTCGGTTGGGACAGCTTCCACGCGGGGATGCTGTTTCTTTTGCTGCAAGCTCCGACGTTGATACTTGTCGTGCCAGTCGGCTGGCTCAAGGATAGATTTGGCATGCGGTATCCGGTTTCGCTGGGGTTCGTTCTGCTGGCGCCGTCGCTTGTGCTGCTGGGTATGCCGGGCGAATGTGGGTTGAAAGGGGAGAGTGGTTCCGTAGTCTACCTTGTGACATTGATCGCAATTGGAGTGTGGAGGACGTTGATTCTGGGGTATGGTGGGGTTGAGGTTTTGAGTGAGTAGTTGGTTCCCATTTCTCAAGATATTGTCATGTTTGGGTATCCTATTGAGAGTGCAAATACTCGGACATGCTGATTTATAATCACAGACGGCGCCAATGAGCTCGCAGAGGAGAAACCAGGTATCTTTGGCTCAAACCGCGGATACTCGCGCACCTTCTCCATGTCCAACATCACCTGGAAGGGCGGCATGTTCATCGGTCCCTTGGTCTCGGGCGCTTTGACCGAGACAGTAGGGTATTTCTACATGAATTCAATTCTTGGTACGTCCCACTACTTGAGCTCCTCGCTCAGCGCATGAGTAGTTATGTTGGTGCAGCCTTGCTTATTTGGTCCTGATACAGCGGTGTGCTGCCTGATGATGGGAATTGGTACTTTTCTTGTGCTTGAGGATCATTGAGCTGGTATACTCTCGGTGTCTGTGTAATGGCTATTTCCCTGTTGCACGGTTGTCTTTCAGATGAGTACCTAGGTAGGTTAATTCTCAATCTGCAGAGTGAAGCCAGGGACTGGGGTTGGAAGCGATATCAGCTTGGCCCTGCTGGTTCGTCCGAGGATGAACACGACAGTGAGATTGCGTGCAATGGCCTGGATGCAAATGCAGGAGCTGTGTATCGTGAACAAGACGAGGTGTGGTTTGTGTTGTTGGAACTCATGGCTGCCTGCTGGATATTGCTTTTGGAGTAGTCAGCCCTTGTGTAACCCAATCCTCGTGTGGTGTTGCTTTTGTTCGGATGGTGGTGTAGCCGAATAGCATGTCAGCTGGCAGGCATTGTCTGGCTTGGTTCAGTTGGTAGATTGTTCTCAGCTTGGCTCGTTCATGCCAATAACGCTCTATGGGTTGCGAGGGAGTTGATGCATTCTTAACGAGGTCTCAACGAGCGACATCCGTGTAGTGACTGGCAAACTGACCACCATACCCAGAGTCACTGCATCTTCGGTGGCATCATACAAACTGTAGAGAACAGACGGTCGCAGCAGAATAATCCATTCTCTAAGATCAGGCTACACCCATGACAGCAGCTCGCCCTACGATGCAGGACTCGTCCACTCCAGAATAAAAATCCCTGCCATTTCTACCTACTCCACCAGGCCTAGTTTTTCCCAGCAATCACCAATCCCTCGGCCTCGCCTCCCCCAACAACTCCGGCCGCAGCGCATAGATCGGATCCAGCTGCTCCACGTACCCACACGCCGGGTCACTCAACGAATACCCGATCACCTCCTGGATGGGCCGGTCATACCTCCGGGCCACCTCCTTGGGAACAGCCAGGAACTGGTTCTCCTCTTGCCGCAGATAGCCACGCACCATGAAGGTGGCGTAGCACAGTCGCTTCTGGTCGGTGGTGGTGTTGCTGCCACCCCCGTGATAGGTGGAGGCGAACTGGATGAAGGCGTCGCCTTTTTCCATGCAGACGGAGATGGTGTCTTGGGCTTTCGGGGGTTGGGGGCGGTCGGTGCCCCTGAACGTGTTCATTAGCAGGGAAAGGGGGAGGGAGTTTGGGTAAGGTAGATGCAGAATGAAGGCAGGCTAAGTGGGTGCTACGCATGGGCTTAAGGGATCGGCTGCTCTGGTAACTCAACATATACTCACCACAAATGACTCCCTGGAATAAACGCCGTCCCCCCATTCTCCTTGGTGACTTTACACCCCGCAACCATCATCCCGATCTCCGACTCGCGATGCTTGTCGCGTTCATCGTCCCACGCCTCGATCTCCGGGAGCCAGGTATGGTTCACGAAGGAGTCTCGATGCAGAGGCTGGGCTTTGGCGCCGGGCCCAATCTCCATGGCCGTGCAGGACGATACGTAGGGCTTGGAGACGGATTCCTTGCGTTCTTCGCCCCACCAGAACCAGTGTCGCGTGGTCAGGAAGTGTGCACAGATCGCCTGGAAGGTCGGGTTCATGAGCTGGGTTTGGGTGTAGGTTGGGCTGACTGCTATCATGGAGTTGGCGCGTTTAGTTTCTTCTGTATGGGTTTAGCTGTGGGTTTGTGGGGAAGTGGAAATGGAGCTGGGGGTTTACTGGGGAAGAACACGCCGTCCCATTCTACGTCCTGGGCTAGTCGGTGCTTGACCTCCTCGTTGGTTTTGTCGATGTCTTCTTCGGCGATGAGGTTCTCGATGATCACCCCGCCATCACGTTTCATGTGGGCGAGAATCTCGACGAGGGGTGTGTCTTTTGACACACATTGCACACCTTGGGTAAGAGTACTTGGTTCTGTCATGGTGTTTGGGGGGAGTGATGTCTATGAAGCTGCGATATGGGCGGCAAAATCATGGCTCGAACGGACACGATGTCGGTGCAGCTGTTATATGGCAACGCTGTGCTCGATAAAGCCACCAGGAGGATCTTGGTTACGCGAACGCAACCAGGCTTATCCCTGCCGCAGCATAATCATTGCTGAACTATTTTTGTGCCACCCACCATCGCTGCGGTGGATGTAACGTGTGTCAGCGTTCGCAATGCGAACCGCGACTATCTCGGGATGCTGGATTTGTACAACAAGAGATCTTGGAAGTAGGAGCTTTTGTCGATCACAAACCTGAAACGGCCTCTCTTCGTCATTCACGAGACGAAAGTTCTGACTCAGCGCCACTGAGATCAACTTCTGGCCGCCGAGTCGATTGAGTCAGAGGTTGTCATACCACAGGTAGATCCAGGGTCGATCCAGTGGAAGACGAGCGGGCGCGAGGGGGTGCATTGCAAAAATATCAGTCACAGCCGCGGGCGACTTTATAAACAAACCTGCACACTCCGGACGACCAAGAAGCTCCCCATTCTGCATCTCTCTCGAACAATCACTATTCTTAATCAAGAGTGAAACAACCAGCCATGGCCCCCCAAGTCGTCGTCCTCGCAGGTGGAACCGGCGGTTTCGGACGCTACATCACCGAAGAAATCACCAAAACCCCCGACTACTCCGTTGTAATCTTAACCCGATCGGTATCTTCGCCTCTCACTGCATACACGAACCTAGCAGATATCCCAACTAACAGATCAATCAACAGCAACCCCCACCCTGGGCCACTCACTCCAGAGTCATAACCCACCAAACTGACTACACCGTCGACTCGCTCGTCGCCATCCTCAACACTTACCGCGCCACAGCCCTCCTCTCGCTCGTGCGCTGCCCCAACAACGACTACATCCCGCTGCACACCAACCTCCTCAACGCCTGTCTCACCTCCGACACCTGCAAGCGCTTCATCCCCTCGGAATGGGCCGGCAACATCGACGAGTTCCCCAACCTGCCGCGCTCCTACGGCCTCACCCGCGCCCCGTTCCGGGAGACGCTGCGCGAGGCTAGCAGTAAGAACAACCTACAATGGACGATCTTCAATTTCGGCTGGTTCGCGGACTACTTCCTTCCCATGGACAAGACGTACCTAGCGTACATCCCCGGAGAGTTTCCGATTGATCAGCCCACGTGGACGTATTCCGTCAAGGGGTCGGGGGATGAGCTGCAGTCGTGGACGTGGTCGAGGGATGTGGCGAGGGCGGTGGTGTTGTTGCTGGGGAAGGAGATCTGGGTGAGTTTTTTTCTTTGTTTCCGCCATTTGACTGTAGATGAAGAGTGATGGGCTCTTTATGTGGACACTGTGACATACGGACCACTCTTCAACGTCCCACGAAAAAAAACCCCTAACTTGCATGAAAACGCAGGAACCGGTCACATACGCATCCAGTGAGTGGGGCACATTCAACGAGGGCGCGAAAATGGTGGAAAAGCATTTCGGTATGTTTCGAACCCTCTCTGGATACGGAAGACTCAAATCCTGCCATGAACGGCCCGCACAATGCTGGTTTCTTCTTTCTATTGTGCTGACCCCGACGAACTAGACCGCCCCCTCAAGCGAGAGCACCGTTCCCGCGAGCAGATCCTAGCCGACGTGGAGCATCAGCTTACTGTTCCCGACGAGGAGAACGTCTCGCTCGCCGAGCTGGAGGAGAGCACCATTCTCGGGGCGATTTGTTGCCCCAGGGAGAAGACCCTGCGGCAGAGGGAGGAATACTTTGCAGGGATGAAGTTTGTAGAGCTCAAAGAGTTGTTGGCGATGGCTGAGGAGGAGGGATTTCATTAATGTCCGTGAGGCAGTGCTTGTGCTGAGAGGGTGTTCATGGTATATTGACACTTGAGAGGAGTTATTTGTAGCTCGTAATTAATGCTAACGGTGTCCGTGGATTCTTGGACTGGCTTTGGGTAGAATGAGTACTCAGGTAGAGCGCAATCCAGGAGTTACATTAGTACCTAATGCACAGATTCAAACTGGATACTAAGTTAGGGCTGCGGCGACGTTAGACCAGCCTACGTCATCACAGCGGGTCCCGATAAGCTCGCCGATCCTATCCTTATCGCTTATCATCACGTGAGGTGGCGACAGCCTCCCATCGCGACCGCGACGCCTGCAACATCTTCCAAGATTCTTCATCCCAGTACACCTGAAGACCCCAGCTCGCGCAGACAGACTGAAAATGGCAACCGACAGACCCTCGACCCCTCCTCCGCCAACAGGGGCTACCAAACCCGGCGACCTTCCCCGAGGCCCGCTCACCCCAGAACAGCTACGGCGCATCGTACGTCTCCACCCACACCCCAGCAAGCCCGAAATCTCAACTAACGAACACAAACGAGCAGGAAATCAACCGCATGAAAGCCAAAGCCATCCGCGAACAACGCGACGCCGAAGCTCTTGCTGCAGCCGCTGCCGCACAACAACAACAACCCTTTAAAGGTCTCAAAAGAACCCACACCACCATGACCACCACCACCATCGCCCGCCCCCCATCCACCGTCCGCGATGCCACAGCAGCAGCAGAAACAAGGCCGCTGGACACCATCCGCCCGGCCCGCAACTTCACTAAGTACGTCGACTACGACTTCTCGAAAATGACCGACACGAAAGGCGGGTTCCTGACCGCCGAGGACGACCCGTACAACCGGGCGCTGCACGTGCGCGACGACACCACCGAACAAAAGCCGGCGAACATGACGCAGCGCGAGTGGGAGCGACAGCAACTGTTGCGGACACTACAGAGAAACCGGACGGGGCCGTTCGAGCCTGGGTTGAGCGTGCTGGATGAGAAGGCGACGCAGAAGGCGTGTCGGGAGTGTGGCAGTTTGGAGATTGATTGGAAGTGGGAGGAGGAGCTGAAGTGTCGGATCTGTCATGCGTGTAAGGAGAAGTTCCCCGAGAGGTATAGTCTGTTAACGAAGACGGAGGCGAAGGAGGATTATCTGTTGACGGATCGTGAGTTTTTTTTTTTTTTTTCCTTCTTCGTTCTTCCTTTTTTTGTCCTGTTGGGTAGGGTTCCGGAATGTGCTGACAGGCGTACAGCTGAACTCCGAGATACCGAGCTGCTGCCGCATCTTGAACGGCCCAACCCCCACAAGTCGACGTGGAATAATATGATGCTTTATCTGCGGTATCAGGTCGAGGAATATGCGTTCTCGGATAAAAAGTGGGGATCGCCCGAGGCGCTGGATGCCGAGTTCGAGAAGCGCGAGAACGAGAAGAAGCGCCGGCGCGAGGCCAAGTTCAAGTCCAAGTTGCAAGACCTTAAAAAGCGCACGCGGGTGGATGCCTACCGCCGCAATCGCTTAGGGGCTGCCGGCGGCCAGTTTGGGGATGATTTGGGGACTGGGGGCCGGCATGTGCATCAGTGGGGCCGCTCGGTGGAGAATCCCGAGACGGGCATCGGGGTGAAGAAGTGTGTGGATTGTGGGATGGAGGTCGAGGAGTTGGAGTTTTAGCTTGTATCCTAGGGGTATATTCTTAGAGAGTAGGTTGATGCTATGAGATCATGATTCAAGACAAGCTTATGAGGCAGGGCCTCTATCAAGTTGCATTATCCGATTGCTCGCAGACAAACTATACAATAATTAACCACGTGACCCGTCGCGATTCACCAAACAACTAATGATGTATAACGCAACGACAATATGGGAAGAGGAGTTTGGTGTGGCTGGCGGCGTTGAAGCGAGTGTGGGATGCGTGCGAGCGGTTGAGTTTTTATCATCCTGTGCCGGTGGGGTATGGGGTTGAAGATCGGAGATAAAATCTCTTTTTGGAATGGATTACTAGGTGTGCAGGATGGTTTGTGTAGGTTTTGTTCATTGGGTATCTGATGAGCAAGGTATAGAACAAAAAAAAGCGAGTGCGGAGCAAGACTTGTCTGTGCTGCAGACCTTCATCACTTAAAAAAAAAAGAAAAAGTAATCACTTCCCATCATACACCTGGTCATCTGTGAGCGTGAACTTCCCCTTCTGCGCGTCCATTTCCTCCATGAACTCAGGCTTGATATACCGCGCCGTCAGCGCAAAACGAAGGTTCTTCTCTGGAATCACCGAATGCTATACCAGCAAACTCGTCAGTATGTACTTCCACTTTTCGCGTCCCCCCCAATACCTTGTTTCTTTTTGAACCACAGAAGGAAAAGTCAAGAACGTACCTCATAGAATCGCTGCAACTTCTCCCCATGCATCACCACGAGATCCCCATGGTTCAGCTCGATCTTGATGCACGGGGGGGCCTCCCCCCTCCGATTCCCGAGGCACTTCCCCCGCTGCGCCTTGTACTCCGCTCGGGTGATCTCGCCCGCTTCCAGCTTGGCTTTCAGGGCCTGGCGTTCAGCGAAGTGCCCGCACCCGTCGAGGACCGGGTCGTCGTCGAGAAGGCGCTTGGCCCGCGTGCAGCCGTGATAGTATTTGTACTTCATGCGAAGGAGCATGGTTGCGCGCGCGCCGAGGGAGAGGGTGGCGATTGTGGGCCCCAGGGAGGATTCGCCGTCGTCGTGGTACTATTGTCAAGCAGGTCAATTAGATATACATATTTCTAAGATTCGGGGTTTGGTTCATGTCGTCTTGATTAGGTAGAGGCTGCTGCATACTCCAATCTTCATGTCCTCCATGTATCCCAGCAGGAGGAGCTCGTTGGGCGGGAGGCACTCATCCCCCGCTGCGGTGACGGCTTGGTGGGTCGCCCAGGTGAGGCGACCGAGGGCCCGGAGAATCTCGTCGCTGGCTTCGTTGAAGCCTTTGGAGGAGACGGAGACGACATATTTGTATGGGCAGCCCTGGAGGGGTTAGTATAGGGTGTTGATGGGATCAGTATGGGGTTGGGTACATAGTTGACAGCGTAATGGGAGGTGAGAGTACCGCGGACTGCAGTAAATTAGCCTTGGGCTTGTCGAATGTCGCGGTACGGGACACACGAACCAACGCTCTGTTGCAGAGGATATCGCTGTAAGCCCAGTTCCACAGACTGAAGCCGTTTGAACAGGTCGTCCGGCCCGTTGGCGCGCGTGTTGATGGCCCGATTGGCCACGAGATGGGTCACAGACCCCACACCAGGAAGAGTATATACCAATCTTCTATACGGATGTAGGGATGTATCGTCGATGTCCGGCATTTGGAGCTTCGGGTCAAAGCATATCGCGCGTTTGCCGGGATGAATCTCGAATTCCTCGATGACGGATCGCACGGAAAGTGGCGAGACCTTGAGGTACCGTTCGAAGCTGCATCGTTGCTGGTTAGATGGCTTGTGGATGAGCTCGTCGGTGCATTTCCATCCGCGCCAGAAGCGGCGCGCAATGCACCGCGAGCACTGCGGACACACGATCCCTTTCCACGCGATGCGCTTGAAGATCAAGTCACCCCTGTCTTCGGACATGGTTGCCAACAGGTCCGGGACCAAGTCAAAGTGAGGCTGGATGTGCGGGTCGGGCGGCAGGCGAGCGTTGAGGAACGCCGCGGTGAAGGTGAGATGCTCCGGCGGCGCAGTGTTGCCGTTCATCTTCCAGAATCGAGCACAGGACGGCTCCAGACACATCCACCCCTCGTTGTACACTTGCTTGCTCTCCTGGTCACAGGTCGAGCAGCGTCTAGTAGCTGGTCGGAGAGTAAAGTCGCGTTGCTCCACTAGAACCGGTGATGTCCCGGGGCCTGCCCACCAGCTGGGCTTGCTGAGGTCCAGCTTCTCGAAGCGCACTTTGGCGCCTTTCTTGCTCCCTATCTTCTCGTACCAGACGTCCGTGATGCGGAAGTAGGCCATCACGTTGTATCGGTGAGGGAGCTTTCTGTTGAGCTGCGTATTCCGGTTGCCTGAGCAGTTTAGCTGTCAAGATGTGTACGTCAGGCTTGAGGTATACGCACCAATGATAATTCCCACTGGATTGTTCATCTTCCAGCTGTTAAGCACACTGCTAAGGACCGCGCTATCAGTATTCTGGTCCTTGAGCAGCACGAGTTTGCCATCAGCGTCTTTCATGCACCCACCGCCACTGTCGAACGTTAGTCTGGATCCTCTGCCTCGGTAGGTCATGACAAAGAGGTTATCTCTCTCGTGCCACCTACATTCGAGTAATGACAACCTCGTCATCAATATAGGCGCGGATCCCTGAGTCCGCATCCACTAGACAGCCGTAGCACAGGCTTCCTTTAGAGTAGTAGCCTCCTTGGGCGGAGCGAAACCAGGGGATGGCATCGCACAAATCAGGACGGCACTTCCATCAAGTTAGAATCAACTTCGGGATCTACAATGGGGGGGTATCGAACGAACCTCTGCCCAAGCGGGTGGTTTCCCCTGGACTGGTGGGAGGTCATTCTCCTGGTCGTTCTTGTCCGAAGTTGGATTCTCGTGGTGTCGAGCGTCTACTACGGTCAGTTTTCAACACTATTCCTAGAATCCACGAAGAAATTACCTGTAGTTACGAGAGGTACCTTGCGTGATCGAGTGATACGACCGTTCATTACAGTCGGTCGGTCAGGCTTACCAGCGGTTGAAAGCTTCCGAGGGGCCATTGTATATATATCCTACTACTTAGTTGTCTCAACTGCGCGCATCGAGTGATTGCCAAAAGGAAGGAACATGAAAAATCCACATCCATTGCAGAATGTTTTCTTGAGTCACAGGAACTTTGTACCGTCATTGTTGAGTCAGAGGTGTTGAAGAGTGGTTCATGAGGTATGGCAGACATCACACTTGTCTTTTACACGGCTATGTAGCTTTGAACCATGCTTCATGCTGGTGTCTCTAACGTGGCTACATTATATGGATTTGTATCTTGCGATTTGTTGATTGGACTTCTGGTGGCAGTAGCAGCATGTGGTCATGATCTTTTGATTTAATTTTGGTCGTTTTATACTCCGTACTGTCCATTAACTTGTCGACTGGAGCAGGTCACATGACCTTGACTGCCCGACCGGTGATGGAGGCCGGCAGAATACTGTGGTGGAATACTGTGAGTGTAGAATGAGAATGGCCCATGGGGCATGGGACGAGAAGATTAGGCGGGCCAGTGGTTTGACACGACCAGCCGTGCTAATTTCCGGGCGAAGGAAGCAACGTGGACCGAGCGAAGGTCGAGACCTGGACATGAGACACGAGGCAGGAATAAGATGAAGATCCTGTGTGTGGTTCGCTGCTTTTTTGGGTCCGTGTCAGGGGGAGGAGATCTTTGACTCTTGGAGACACTACTAGACTAGTTGTCGGGTCAGGTGTTCTGGTTTTGTTCATGCAGTGCATCGCATTGCTCTCTTGTCCACGGCATGGTCTCCGTCTAGACCGTGGAGAGGAGGGTCGAGAGAATTACTACACAGTACTCCGTACTTCCGTACTCTTCTGAAGAATACTTCTGGTGTCACCAGAAAGTTAAGGCGGAAAGTGGATGCAGAGAAAGAGAGAGAGAGCGAAAAAAGTGGGTGTCACTAATCTTGTCCTTCCGGCTCAGCCCCTCTCTGCAACACACGCTAAACCATTCTGGTTCGGCACTTACTGCTGTGTGCTGTGCTGTGCTGTGCTTACTCTCAATTCTCTCCCTCTCCTCCTCCTCCTCCCTCACTCACTCATTCACTCCCCCCCCCCATCTTCTTCTCACCCCATCTTGTCCCGTCGCTTTAATCTATTTCTTCATTCTTCTTCCCATTAAATATTGATTGATTGACTTGACTTTACTTATCTATCTAGATTCCCCTTCTCTTCCCTCTTTTCTTCCTCTTCCCCTCCCTTTTCTCTCGTTTCCACCTCCTCTCCCGCCCGCTTACCACCTGCATCCACGGTTCTCCCCTGATTGTTCCCCTGTCACCCACCGTGTGTCTGTCTCGTACCTGGCAGCCAGACAGACAGAACTTACGGTTGATCGCCCTGCTAAGCCATTGTCTACGCCTAGTACTGTGTACGGCCACGCACCACGCACGCAGTCACTTGCAGCAGACATTCCGACCGGGAGGGGATCCCAAAGCATCCTATCCTATCCACTCCCATTGCCCCAAGCCTGGGAGATCCACTTGATTTGCATTCTGCTATGCGCGTTGTTGCCTGCCAATCTCCGCCTCAATCTCTTCCCACTTCTTCATCTTCCTTCTTTGCTCTCTCGTATATGACCTAGCAACAAACTCTCACGACTTGACGTCTGTCGAGCATTACACTCTTTTGCGCAAAGCCATTTTCCACGTTCCTTACGCCGTTGATCGGCCTGCCACTCTTTTTTTTCCGCCTTTCACCCTTTACGTCTTTCTTTCTCCCTAGCCTCTTTGTTTTGAGGCCGCTCCCTTCTGCTACGACCCTACCGACCGACATCCTTCCATCAGCAATTCCAACCCAATTCTTCCAGCAACTCTCTTCTTCCCATTGTCATCATGTCTTTCCATCCTTCCGATTCCACCACCCCAAACGGTAGGTCCTTGACTCGAAATGGGTGCGGCGAGACGGTCGCTAATGTCACTCCCTAGTCTTCTACTCCCGCTCCCTCCATGCCTTTCGAAGCTGCGTACAATGCTCCTCCTCAGCACCGGCTTGCCCGACCTGCGACGATGGGTACACCTGTACGATGATCAGTCAGTCTTGCACCCAGTGTGCGACCACCAAATGTGTTAAGGCCGCTACCAGCGGGGACTCGGGGTCTTCGAGCAACAACTCGGGCGGTGGCGGTGGTACAGATGCCGGGGCCATCGCCGGGGGTGTGGTTGGCGGTGTTGCCTTTATTGCCATAGTCACCTTCTTGGTGTGGTGGTTCTTCATTCGGAAGAAGCGCAAGGAGCAGCAAGCATCCGAAGCCGAAAAGTCCAGCGTAGCTGCCGACACGACTCGACAATCCAGAAAGTCCACCAACTCGATCGCTTCGACCGTTCTTACTCGCGCTTCGAATGTGATTCAGATCGCCTACATCCCTGGGGTGACCAATCGTTCGCCGCGCGAGACGCCCGGCAGTCTGGTGCCTCCCGTTCCACCGCTCCCTGGTGCCCACCCCGATCAACACTTCTTCATGCCCGGTGATCTTCGTGATTCTACCTGGTCCGACATGTCGAACGAGCGTCGCAGTATTGCCCCCAGTCTACGCAGCAGTGTTGCCACCACCATTTACCGCAACAACGCCATTGTCAGCCCGATGCCCGCGCAGCAAGTGATGCGCACGCGTGCAGCCGTGGTCAACATCAATGGCACCAGCGCGGATGCACCAGCCGTGCCGGCGATCACGCAAGCCCAGCTGGCCAAAGCCAATCTCTCTGCAGCCGCCACCAACAGCTCCATCGTGGCTCGGACAGTGACTGCCAAGCCCGTCATGGTCCGCGGTTCGTCCAAGAAGAAGAAGGAAGCCACCACCACTCCATCCGGCGTCCCAACCATTGCGGAGAAGTCCGAATCGACCAGTTCCAACGTATCTCGGTCCGCGAGCACCAAGCAAACAGACACCACCCCTACTTCCGGGTTCGATGCCAGTTCGTCCGATGAGGAAGACACCAAGCGTTCTAGCCAAGCCCGTCGTGTCAGTGCTACCGAGGCCGCCAAAACCGACACGCAGTCGCGTCCAGCCACGGTGATCGAAGATTCACCCGCCGTCAGCCAGAGCCCGTTCCAAGATCAACCCGGGGCCGAAGCCGGTGCTCGGACCTCCTCACTGCTCGAGACCCCAGAAGGGATACGCTCGAATCGAAGCAGCCGACACATTCCGCCACGGGTAGAGAGTCCATTCTCGGATGCGAATGAGGTGAAATAACGGCATGGATTGCCTTGGATGAACGTTTATGGGACCAGACCACCTACCTTTTTCTTCTACTTAGCTGGCGACCTTGGCGCAATGGATACCACATCATCCGATGGCGTGACGCCACGGACTTCACTTCTTTGTATCTATGATTATATAGTTGTTCGTGGATATGTTCTTTGTGCTGCCCTTAGGTTAGACAGGAGTTTTGTGATTACCAGATTGAATAAAACGATATAGATGCTGAGGTGAGACCTGGATATATTTGTCTAGAGCCATGTGGGGCTGATCAAACGCGATTACATGTATCCATATCCGATGGCGCTCCCCTTCCAATATAAACAGAAATTATCTAGATAGACAGCATGACGATGATAAAAAGGAGCAAGGCAATGGGCCGATGCTCACGTGACAACGTATTACCCGTCACAGTACCGTACCCATACGGACGCCAGCCACCGGATCAGCCCCGAGCGGCAAGTTCAATAGCCGGGGCGCGGGGCATCGGTGTTTGAGCTGCTGGGGATCCTCGGCAATTGCATCATCCCGATTCGGAGGGCTCCGCTGCTGCCCCGCATGTATGGGTGGGGGGTCTTCTTTAAAGCGAGGTTTCCCAGGATGTGGGATGATAGTCGGGTCATTGAGAGAATCAATTTCTTACCTGTTTGGTGGGCATTGCTATACACCAACTGAACTGCATGAGTACAGCTGACAATCTCACGGATCACGTAACCAAAACCCAAAATGTCGCTCCCCTCTCTCTTCTCCCTCGAAGGCAGCACCGCCATTGTCACCGGTGGCACCAGAGGAATTGGCCAGACGATGGCCTACGCCCTGGCCGAAGCAGGTGCCGATATCATCTTGATTCAGGTGCGTCTTTGTGTCTGGGGTTTATAGGACCATCTAATCCCAGAACCAATCCTGCAAACAACGCAACGACAACCAAACCAGTCCACACCTCCCAACCAACCCATACTAATCTCAATGTGTTGTGAGTCCAGAGGGATGAGAGCAACACCACCACCCGTGACGAAATCACCGCCCGCATTGGCCGCAAAGCCCACATCCACGTAGCGGAGCTCTCCGACCGCGCCGCCCTCAAACAGATCCTGCCCGCCCTGACCAGCCAGGGCTTCAAGCCCGACATCCTGTTGAATTGCGCAGGCATTCAGCGGAGACATCCAAGCGAACGATTTCCAGATGAAGATTGGGATGAGGTATGCTCTGCCCACCCCCATCCAACCTTTGTCTTTTTTCTGTTAAAGCAGAGCAAAACTCCACCCCCCACCCCCAAACCCACCCTTACCACCAAACCATGCTAATAATATACCTGGCACTGAAAAGGTAATCAACGTCAACCTGACCTCCGTCTTCACCCTCTGCCGCGAATTCGGCGCCTACCTCCTCGCCCAACCAGAGGGGAACGGCGGCCGACGCGGCGCCATCATCAACGTCGCATCCCTCCTCACCTTCCAAGGCGGCATCACGGTCCCCGCGTACGCGGCATCCAAGGGTGGCGTCGCGCAGCTCACCAAGGCGCTGTCGAACGAGTGGGCGAGCAAAGGCATCAATGTGAATGCGATCGCGCCGGGTTATATCGCCACGGATATGAATACCGCGCTGATTAATGATGCGGATAGAAATGCGGGGATTATGGCGCGGATTCCCGCGGGCAGGTGGGGGAAACCGGAGGACTTCAAGGGGGTGGTGGTGTTTTTGGCGAGTCGGGCGAGCACGTATGTTTCAGGGGAGGTGGTTTGTGTTGATGGAGGGTGGATGGGACGGTAGTTCTTTTGTCCCTTGGAGTAGATTTATGATGGTCATGGTTGGATGTTTGTACATATTTATTGAATCCGAGGACATATTATCTGCCACTGCAGGTAGAGAAATGACTTTCACTTGAAGCTAGAATTGAACCTAGAAAGGCGTAGTTGGATTAAGCTGACTCAAGCACAGAATGCACACTGACACAGACTCAACAACTTATACGTGACAATCACTGTCACTCAGTTTGTCGAGTAAGTTCGATATCGCAGAGAGTCCGCCCGGGGTATATCCGATCCCCAATTCAATTATCTCCGGCCGGATCCGATCTATCTCCGGATGAGTATAACATCCGGGACGCATATATAGAGTCGAAGAACACCAGTTTATAATCAATGGCTACGAGCCCAGACCTATCCAAAACCAACTACACACGCTACACTTGACAACATGCACGTACTGATCATCGGCGGTAGTGGCCGTTGCGGCCGACTCGTCATCGACGAGTTACTCCGGAGAGGTAAACACCGCACACCGCACAGCATACTCCCCTTGCCCCAGGCAATCCAACTCTAACAACCGTCCAGGACACACGGTTACAGCACTAGTCCGCGATCCAGAAGCCATGGGCGCACCACGCCCCAATCTCCATTTCATCAAAGGCAAGCATACCCTCTTCTGTGCACACTAGTACTTCAACCTAAGTAGCATCCCCATTGACATGACCGGATAGGCACCCCCACTCATCTTCCCGACATCCGTACCGCATTCCGCGCCGCAGCAGCAGCAGCAACATCCCTCGCCCTAGCAGCAGTCATCGTCACGCTCAGCGCTCCCCGAACAAGCGACAGCCCCTTTTCTGCCCCGCTCGGCCCCCCGCTGCTGATGGCCGACTGCAACGCCAACATCGTGCAAGCCATGCAAGAGTTCGGGGTGCGCAAGACCGTCATTCTACAGGCGTGTGGCGTCGGAGCTTCCTGGAAGAACATGCCCTGGCTGCTACGGCTACTGATGGGGAAGACGAACATGGCGTACCAGTATGCGGATCATAATGAGGTTGAGCGTCGGGTAAGGGGCAGCGGGGTGGGTTTTGTGTTTGTGCGGCCCATGCGGCTGACGGAGGGTGATGATGTTGATACAGAGAAGGTGAAGATCTGGGAGAATGATGGACAGGGAGTGCCTTTGATGGGCAGTATTAGTCGGCGGAGTGTGGCGCGGTTTTTGGTGGATGTGGCGGAGGGGGATGAGTGGGTGGGTGCAGCGCCGGTCATTACTAGCAGGTGACTACCTACTTAGTAACTACGGAGTATTAATTGATAAGTAGGGAGTTACTGTGGCTGCAGGGAAGAGTGCTGTAGCGTCTCCATGTCGTGGTTATTGACATTTACTACTAGTAATACGGATTTACTTAATTACATAGCCTGTCTTGCCTATACGTTATGTAGAGCACAACATTCATAGATTTCGCCTACAGTACCGAATGGTTTCAAATAAATAAACTTCGGCAGCTATAACAAATGCCGGGATCTGATGATGTGCCAATGCTAATGAAGACGGTATGATATCTCAAGGAAGGTCAAAAGGCTATATTGAGCGCAAAGTTTCCTCATCCTGAACAGGCTCACTGTCTTCCGGATTCTGATTTGATAAAACAGCCTCCAGCATTCCTGTAAAGATCTCTCTGTGCGCTGTTTGTGTCACTTCCTAATTTCCTATGGGCACCAGCCGTCACTTGCTGAGTTCAGTAACTTCGAAAGATCATATCTCAGGTTTTGTACCACCACGAAAAGTCGATAAGCCCTCTCTGCTCGACAATGATTTCAAGAGTAGGTATCGGGTATAGACAATAACCTTTGAACTCTAAACTCTTCCAGTTTCGAGCTGTTTCGATCATCTTATATTATAAGACTATAGTACTATCCTTTCATATTCTATAGCTATAATAAGGTAGACGGAACAGATTCTCGTCCATTGATCCTCGCATTGAAAGTGTAGGCGTATATTACTGAGACGAAGCCTGGTATATCTTGTTATATAAGTCCTCGCCTGAATTGGTGAGCGTAGCGAAATCTGACGAATCATCTGAATACCAGAAAGCAGGTTCTATGCTCGCAGCTTGCTAATTAATAATCCCTGTAATAATAATAAGGTCTTCCTCTGAGACAAAAATAGTATGTTTGTATAGATCTGGATAAAAAAACAGTAGTCATGTAGATTGCTTGATAATTGACATAAGAGCTTAAGGATATTTGCTTAAGTGTGGGATGTGCTGATTCTGATACCGTGGTATGTTGATCGAAGGATTATTAGTATGAAGAATTTCGATCCAGGCTTTTTGTATAAGCAGAAAGGTTTGCAAGCCCAGCTTCGATTAGACTCTTACAGAAGCTATTAAGATTATTCCCTACTAAAGGTTGGTACGAATTTACTAATACGGTATATCACAGAAAGGCTTTTAAATAACTTACAAGGTCCGTATAGGCGCTGCCCAGTATGATGAGGCTACTACCGGCTGCTATAATGTGGTCTGATATAGGAATTCTTATTAAGAGGCTGTCTGGTGCTTGGCTGTACAGGTCCTTCCTCAAAGTAAATACTGCTATAAGACAGGGAAGTGAGCATAGTAGTATCTTTCATCTTGTGAATTATCGTATTTAAGTATCTGACCTGCTAGTCCCCAGCTATTTTATCCCATACTCGTACAGGTGAACACCGGAGGTATATTCCATTATGATATATTCGCTGCCAATAGTATTCTCCGTGGAACCGATGTTGTTACTCCAGTTTAATAATATTTGGGATAGGAATGTCTGTTTTTAACTGTACTGTAGAAGTGATTTGGCAACTATACTATATTAGTGTTACTATAAGGAGAAAAACTTACAGTATCTGATGGTAGTGACTTCAGAACTGGTAGTTAGTCACACCGGTCCAGTAAGAATAAAGGGCAATCTAGCCACTATTTGTCTTGAGTTAAGTTGTTTATAATGAAAATAAAAACTCGATTAGAACCCTCTTCACACTTCTTGCAGTCATCAATTAAACTTGTATCAGGACAAAGCTGAAGAACCCTGCTGCACAGTGTACTAAAAATCAAATGCGATGTATTACCTTGAGTATTCAAACTCATCATAACGAAGCCACTGCCAACTAGTGTAGGTATAAGGGTCAAAGCCAAAATCACAGGAGAGCTGAAGCTTTGCACTCTATAAGGGTCTGATCGCGGCTGATAGACGATGATTAGCTGCTGCGAGTAACAGTAACGTGACTTTTAGATTTGGGTAGCCGACGGCTATCCCGGCCGTTATCTGACGAAGTAGAAAAAATTAAGGTTCTATCTTCTATCTATAGCTTCTAATACAAATTTGTATGATAGCCTATAACTTATCTGCTGGATCTAAGGATACCCACTACCCCAGCATTTCTTTCCCTAATCACGTGATCTAATGTACTGGTGGTTTACCCCCCATGTAGCCGCCCAAAAGGAGTTAGTGTGCTTTGGAACGCCTTGGGCTGAGGGAGGCACCCGCAGAGAAGGCACTCGTATATTACCCCTTACAACAGCGGCAGCACTACTGTACTGTTAGTACTGTAAAACCTCATATGATCTCGATTGAAAACTCCCAAGAATGCAGCTGCACACTAGCATAACCGTTCAGTTGTTCTGAGAGCTTCATCATGAACAACCCCAGCCGTATCGAAACCGAGGACAGCCATCCCATCCGCAAACGCCGCCGCGCCGTGGTGTCCTGCTTTCGTTGTCGTGACAAAAAGCTCCGATGCGATCGTGTTGTGCCGTGCGAAAACTGCATCAAGGCGGACTGTCCGGCAGACTGTATCTTCCAGTCCCCTGTTAAGCGCTCTTATCGCCTGGCGGAGAGTGTCGATCCTGTCCCGGATCAGACCCGGCAGAATGTCGGCCAAGTTCGGGGGGTGCTTGAAAACATACAGCATCGGCTGGCTGTGCTTGAAGACCGTCTCCAAGCCGCGTCCAATTGTACACAGAGTCGGACTGCAGACACTGCTGGTCGGGAAGAAAGACCCCTTCCGCAGAGCTCCGCGAGTCAGGATTGCTCTTCGCCAGCTCTCTATCCCGGGACCCTGGTGGTGAAAGGTTCACGCACGCGGTATCATGGGCAGAACAACCGGACCTCGCTCTTGAATCAGGTAACTCGCTGACAGCTATCTATGAAGAAATAAGTTAGTCAACTAAGGTGAACCAGTTCAATGATGCTAAAGAATTCATCCAGCACTGCCCGCAGGATTCGAGTCTCGTGCAACTCGCAAAAGAGATCCAGGCTCTGCAGGGCAGGTCAAAAGGCCTGCACGCTCCGCTTCCTGACCAGCATGCTTCGGCTGAGCTGCGAGAGATGTACAGTCTTTTGCCGGACAAAGAAACCTGCGATCTATTAGTCGATCTGTACATCACCCATTACGAAAGAACATTGCGCATTCTACATATCCCCACGCTTCGGCACCAGTACAAGGCCTTCTGGATTGCGAGTCCCGGTGATGAAGATCGAACAATGTCTTTCCTACCCGTACTCACTGCGGTCCTCGCGGTGGCTTTGCCGCTGCTTGACCCGACCAGTGCATCTGACCCGTCGTTGGTGCGGAAATTGAGAGACCTGCAGACCACTGCACCGGAGCTCCTGCAGACTTGGGTTCGGAGATCGAGTCGCAAGCAGCGAGCGAACCTGGCCACTCTACAGGTTGAAATGCTGGTTGTCCTGGCTCGGAGACTGCGACATGATCCGCCTGAGGAGATCTGGAGTGCAACCGGGGCGTTGGTACGGACTGGGATGATTCTGGGACTGCAACTGCCAGATGCCCCCAGGCCGGGACTATCAGCGGGCCAGAACGAGATCCGACGGCGAGTCTGGGCCACCATCCTGGAACTCGACCTGCAAGCCTCGATCGAGGCCGGGATGCCTACTACCTTCCCGGATTTGAATTCGACATGCTTGATTCCTTCGAACGTGAACGATGGCGAGTTCAACGAGGCTACAGTCGAGCTCCCTCCGGAACGGTCATTGGAGGAAGACACAGACGCGGTGGCTCTGCATATTCTGGCCGCTTCACTTCCTCAGCGCATCCGGACCATGTCCTTTGCGCGTGATCCGAACCGCAACCGCGAAGCGGCCCTCGAACACGCCAGCCAGCTGGAGAGGGTACTTTCCTCTATGCCTGCCGGGCTGCACCCTGCCCAGAGCATGAATACCAGTCGTCCCAATGCATTATTGAATCGCATTCTCCTAGACGTGTACATGCGTAGACCACTGCTCGCGCTCTACCAAGCCCTGCTCATGGACCCCCAGAACCGTCCGCCGCCCCGCGAGGTCACCCACCGGTGTCTCGAGTCGTCACTGGCAATCCTGGCCTACCAAGATCACTTTGACCCGCGCGTGGCCGATCTCGATCTCATCCCCGCGACGACTATCTACTGGGACTTGCTGCATTGTTTCTGCAAAGCCGATCTTCTCTTTGCCGCATTGACGGTGTGTGCTCTGCTGAAGCCACAGACTCAATCACCGGTCTCCGACAATTCCACATCACCACCACCGCCCACTCTGCCGCCGCCCCATACAAAGCCAAACCTGACGCGGATTGTCGAGAGCACACTAGATGGGCTGACCCGCACGATCCACCAACCGGGCAGTCACTTGAAAGACGTCGTTCTGCTGGCCGTGGTCTTGCAGTCTGTTCGGGGCCGGTCCGAGTCCAAGACACTTTGGATGCACCAAGGGGCGACCCAGGCGTTGACTGCGTGTCGACAGCACTTGTTAACGGAGGGGCTCGGTGCCGACTCTCAGCAGATGGTAAGCCCAAAGGTCCGCGTGGTGCAACTTCAGGATACTGATGATTATATTTCTAGTTCAAGGGAGGGCAGTCCTTACTTCCTGTTAGTAGCAGTTTGGCACCACCCCTCGTCACAGGGTCTATGGTGCCGCCGTCGCCAGTGGCTGGACTTGGTGACTTTGAGGTTGATTCGTTCTCGCTGTTTGACGGGATGCTCGGATGGGATCTGTGAATTCGCACATCGCTCTAGTTCTTCTAATTTGAAGTATAAAACTGGATTTGGTGGACTGACAAGCATCCCCAAAAGAAAACACCCAGAAGTTGATCACAATCCAAAAGTAACCCCCTCTGCAGCCAACCACTCATCCACCATGACCTCAAAGTCCGGTTGATACAACCATCCGAGCTCAAACGGCTCCATCTCCACCTCCACCGCAACCCCTTGCTCCTGGTCCCCCTCCTGTAACGGAATCATCCTCCGCGAATCCACCTTGGCATTCAATTCTAACACGCGATCCACCCTCGCCTGCCTCCCAGCCTGCCACGCCTTCCACGCTTTGGCCCTTCCCTCCTCCCACCCCGTCCCTGCCTTCTCGCCCCGTCCCGCAATCAAGGCAAAGGTGTATACATCCTCGATCGCCTGATTAACTCCCTGCCCGGCACTCGGAGGAATCGCATGGGCCGCGTCCCCCAGAATGACCACCCTTCCGTATTGCTGCTCCTGCTCCTGCTCCTGCTCCCTGGACATCTTCGTCGACGTCCACCTCTCCAACTGGGGCACACGATAAAACGGCCACAGGTTGACCGTATCCGGATCAATCCGCTGGACAGCCCGCTGCACAATCGCGGGGAACTCCTCGACCCCTTCGCGGAGAAAGTCCACACACCACTCCTTATTCCCCTCCTGCCCCTCCCCATTCAAGAGCGCCGCCCACCCCGCGCGATCCCGTGGACGATCCATGCGCTTCTGCCTCCCAATCAGCACCTCCTCCCCATCCTTCCGCTGCGGCGCGATGACAAACGCCCCGTACTTGCGATTCATAATCGTCACCGGCAGCGGCCACTCCCCATCCGCACTCTCCTCCCCCTCTGCTCCACCTCCACCTCTCCCGGTGTATAATTGCTGGGTCGGCACCGTCGCCGTAACCGCCACCGCACCCATAAATTCCACCCCGAGGTCCGGAAACAAATACCCCCGCACCGCGGAATGAATCCCATCCGCCCCGAGCAGATACCGCGCCCTCGCCGTCGCGCCGTCCGCGAACCCAAACACCACCTCCTCGCGGGTTTCAGCCACCACGCGGGCGAATTTCTTGTTATAGTGGACCTGAATCCCCCCCGCTTCGGCCACCAGCTCGGTGAGGATGTTGATGGCTGCGTGGCGGTAGATGCGCATCCCCCGGTAGCCGTATTTCGGGGCGCTGCCGAACTCGTATGTGTCGAGGGGTTGGTTGGTGGAGGTGCGGTAGTGGAGGGTGTCGAATTCGTAGGCTTGCTGACGGAAGCGCGAGTAGATGCCCAGGCGGTCGAGGATGCGGAGGGCGTTCGGGGAGAGGGTGATGGCGCCGCCGATGTCGAGGGCGGCGGGGCGGGACTCGTAGATGGTGGTGCTGCTGCCGGGGCATTGTTGGTGCAGGGCGAGGGCGAGGGTTAGGCCGGAGAGGCCGGCGCCGATAATGGCGTAGGTTTCTGTGGACATGGTGTTGTTGAAGAGAATGCTGCGGGTTGGTTGGTGGTTTTGAGCGAGGGTAGTCGTGGCATGGATCTTTATATGCTGTTGTGCGTATATAGTGTTGTGCTAGATGGAACTATGTTTATGGGTTGACGGGATATACTGGGCTCATCTCCGAAGTATAGGCGGAGATAAGTTCGGAGATACTCTGGATATAAGTAGGGAGGTACCTTGGATCAGGCTTATCTCCGCCACTGGCTTTGTGGTCATACAATACCCATGGAAATATCGGGAAATCGATTCTACAGGGGTGATGCTCTCCCAAGCGTGGTATATCTTGCACTCATACTCATGACATACGTGGCGCCCAACTGAACAATCAAAGGTGCTGTACATAACTATCTTTTGCTTCCGCAGCAATTCAAGCTGCCACTCTAACTGGTACAGTACACACAAGGATCGACAACACCTCCCTTAACAGTGCTGTACGCTCACTTCAGACCCTTCTTCCTCCCCCTCATCTCCGAGACGACACCTGCCAGTAGTTAGCCATGCGACAACCGCGGAAGGGAAATACTTATCCAAAAAAAATTAGTGCCGTTCTCCCACCGGAGCCATCGATGAGAGAACGGCTGTCCACCACCCTGGGCCATCCCTCGTGTTCAACTCCTGCGCAACCAACCGCCCTCAAAGCGCAGTCCTCTTCCCGTGATCCACGCAGCACCGAGCCCCCACCGCCCCAGAAACAACAAGAAACGAGACAGACAAGCACTGAGCTTTGATCCCCTTTCGAGGTCCCGTGACAAGTCTCCTGTACGAACCCGAAGTAGCAGTAGAATCGACGCTGAATAGCTCGACGACCAAGAGGACCTGCACGCGATGACAGCAGCAGGCATTACCGAGGCGACGGTCAGGATTCGCGGCACCAGGGCGATGAACGCAAGTCAATGGCCAGGTATACCTCGCGCCCTCGTTGCGAGATTGACAGCCTTGAATCATCCCAGAAATCGCAACCTCGACCTCCCAACCAAGCGTGCTGTCTCCCATGTATCGAACCAGCTAGACGCAAATCATGACCTCACGTTGTCGCCACCCGAGAAACCCCAACCACCTCAACCTCTCGTGTGTGATACAGTGCCCCCACGGACTAGTTTTTGATTCCTCCCCACCAGAGACAACCCGGTGGAGGGCATGGAGAAGCGGACAAACGAAACATCCATAAAAACCGCTCCCTTCTCCCCAAGGGGAGGGACCATACCCGAAGCTATGGTCTAGTCAGCGCCCATCAATCTATCTGCACCCGCGAAATGCAAAGAGATGGTTAACACGATCGATCGGGACCCTCGCAGCCGAGGCGCGGATCGGTGGCAGCGTGCCGTGATCCCCGAGTCCACTAGCCGTTCGGTACCAGAGCTCGAGAGTTGGAATGCAGGGAGGGAGGAGCCCCCCAAGAAACCCCTCGAGTGGGGAGCATGCACGGGACAAGCCAGACAACACCGACCAAGAGAACCAACTGCTTTACCCGGTGAGGGGCGGAGAAAGATACATCATGCACGATAAGAGACTGGTTTGCAAGACCGGAAAGTGACGAACAAGCCGGGGGTTCTCCATGGTATCAACCGATGGACCATGGGGTGAGTCATCCATTTGCAATTGACCTCGCTGTGGTTCAATCCGTCTGGGAATAGTTCACAGCTTGGGGTTCATATTTCCAGCGATTCAACCGTTTCCGACGAGTGGATCAATCCAAAGACACGATGACTGTGTGTAAGGCAGTGTGTGAGGGGCCCACGCGGGGACACACAACACGCACATATTTGTTCGTATTCAAGAGGCAAACCAGCTCTGCACATGCAAATGATCAAGCTCACAGTTATGAAATTCTCGCATCGGCGCCGCCCATCGGCTCCCAAAGACACTTGCGTGCCCGACACGCTCCACCTGCCTTCTCTCTCGAAAGTCTCAGTATCCAGACATAGATGCAGACTATCCGCTTGTGATCAGCATGTAACACACAGCATTGGTAGACCGACGCGTGCCCTGCGGCGGGAACTGCATGGTAAACCGTCTTTGTGCGCCCCGCGAGGATGCGCTCTGGGTATCGGGAACCGTTCGCCTGGTCGATTCCGTTCGGAATCCACTCGACTAGTAAGTTCAAGCCGCCATGCATGACCGTGAAACTCGCCTCCGGCAGAGCCGTTGGCACCGAGCCGACGGGGTTACATTAGGGTTAAACTCCCCAGCAAGCTGGAGAGCGTAACAGGGGACAAGAGCTGTATGAGGTTGCCAAGAACGGCAAAGAGGTGAGAGACTGAGGACCCAGCAGGAAGCACATGAGAGCTTGTTTGTGGTCAACCAGCACGACGAATGAGTCCGACGGACGCTTGCTAATGTCAAAGAGTCCAAGAGAAAGCGAATCTGAAGGATGAAAAAGACAGCGTAAGAGGTCACCTGAGTCCCACGACTGCAATGGTGGAGGAAGAGAGAAGGTAAACACGCGGAGAACGGAGATCTACTAAAGGGGACTCGGAAGCCACACGCGCCGCGCGCGGCACGATGCAAACAGCACAAACCCGTTGCCATACCGCGCTTGGTCAGCACCGCATTTCTCACTCACAACTACAATACTAGTTAAGAATACAAGAAACTGTTATCCAGACCCGCCCGCCAGAACTGCTATTCCTACTACTCCTGCCAGCCCGCACCTTGACCAAGAATTTTGATTAACCTGACCTGACCTGGCTGTTAGCCACTCTACTCTGGCCTCTCACAGTTAGATGGATGTGAACAGAGCCAGTCGGGAGTAGATGAGAATTATTGTGATTGCAATGATTGTTAACTCAGCCCGGTAACATGTAATAAGTGATGATGTTGAGAGGAAAACTCGGGGAGAGTCAGGCCCTAAGGCGGCCATTACCAAGAGAGGGCACACCCTCTCAGGTCCACAACAAACGCCTGCTGCTCCACCCGGTATTGGCTTTCTCCACTAAACCTGGTAGGGTCTATTTTCGGATCATCGCCTCTTTTTTAAATATTGCTCGAGATTTTACATTGGCTTCTCATCTGTACTCTCTTGTTTTCGCGGGTGCTGCTGTCTTCCATTGCGAGCTTGATAATCACTTACATGGCCAGTATATCTTCTGTGTATGAAAACTTGCGTATCTGATGCTTAATAGTATAATAATCACTCAGATTGGGTGCCAGGTCACTCTAGTAAAGGAGAATAAGATTAGAAAGTGGATTTAAAGCCTATACTCAGGAATAAATGCTTCTCATCTACTTACCTCTCGCAGGAGCAGCTCCTTCTGATGATAATGCCCAAAGTAATTTATTGATGTGGAAGATAATATGTCGCGATTGCGAACCGGAAGCTCCAAGCGGACATCTGAGAGCTAGCACGGCTTGTATCTCGGTTATGAAAATCGAATGGAGAGAAAATAATCGAGCTGGCGCTAGTGTGTTGCAGGGTATTGGGAATGTCACCGGAGTGAGGCACATGATGGTTGCCGAGATTGAACTATATAGCCCTCTACTTGAGTTAGCACAGTGATGGGAAAACATATAAATGTGTTATTACAGCAACATTACCAACTTATAAATCCTGTTGCTCGATATTTTCGCCGTCCAGATAGTGGCTGAAGTCGACCATTGGGCTATCTGTATTAAATGTATTTCAGGGACTTGTACTGTGCTCGTTATCATTCTTCTGTCTTGTCACCTAAAGGTCTTCTATTGCCCAAGATGCCGCTTTTCCAAGAGTTCTCGATCCATTGAATGTCAGGTGTGCCGGGGTTCCCATGCCGGACCCTGGTATGATCCGATAGTGCATCTCGCCCCAAGTATTAGTGGACTCAGTATCCAGTATGATATACATACTCTGGGAGTTTGCCGTCCAGTTAAGCCTATAATCAATCTCGATTGGGGTTCGTCTCAAACCCATGGTGGGAAGCGCCTCGCCTTCCGACCATAGGAAAGATTCAGTCCAGGGCTCTACATCAACCTTCATCAGTGTGTTGCTCGTGCCTAGCACATCTAGATCGGCCTTGAAGTTGATGACATGGTCGTACATACTGGAGGTGAATTGATCATAGACACGGTGGCCATACTTCTCACTTTCCCCAGGGATATAGTATGCCCCTTGAATGTAGCTGCTCGCGCGGATCTTGACCTCAGTGCTACCGTCCAGGTAGAAGATGTAGTCCACTGTGTAATCATAGTTGCCAACCACAGCTGTTGTACGTAGCATGAGATAGTTGTTGCGCGACACAGTCACGTAGAAAGAGGTGGTATGGCGTTGTAGGGGATAGTCGGTAGTGTACTCGAACAGATATATAGTCTTGTGCCTTTGTTGGGATTGTTCGGTATTATAGATAATTATGTCTAGGAACTCGGCATACGCTGGACAGTTATAGCCTTACGGAAATACAAATAGATTGAAGTGCATTAGACGGCGGAAACTGAATGGAAAATGACTGTTGGGAAGTAGACTTACCAGGAACCAATCCAAATATAGCACGATCCATGCCAAAGAAGCTGTCTAGATAGGCCACTGCACCTTGTATTGGATTGTTACCCGCATACTGGGCTAGGGCTTCCTGCAACCCGAGCTCGTATATTATTTGCTCGTCCCTAAAGCGCACATCGAATAGCGTAATTCCGGTGGCCTGGGCAAAGGCCCAATAGAATGTGAAGCCCATCCATGAGATGTATTACTGCTCTTGGTTGATGTGATACTGTGGTCCCTCGGGCTGGATTATGATAGGAGCAGATTTCTCACGGCTGGGCCTCTGTATTGTTGAGAAGTCCTTGATTATGATCTATGCGCTGTTATAGTTCGGGGGCAGTTTTCTCAAATCCCGGGGATCGCCATGCGGCGCGGAATTCCTTGCTTGAGTTATAAAGGCGGCCATTGTAGTACTAATGTGGCACCTTCCAGTAGTTGGGGTTGCGGGTTGTTGTGTCTAGCTTCATATAGAGGCCCTGGGGAAGCAAGGTGCCAGCCTCTGCTTTGGTCCCGGCGCGCTGGAAGCTGTACCAGCGCAAGATGTGCCCGTCTTCCATCCACGGATCACGAAAACTGAGCTCCAGTTTATCATGATCTAGGCCAAATAGCTCCTCGCTATTATTGTAATATCGGCTACCTCACAGGCTACCGAATAAGGCCATTTCTTGAAAGATAGTGTATTAGGGACAAGATTGCGGGCGTGGTCTAGAAAATGATGATGAGGATATTTCACCGGCTGGATCTTGGTTACTGATGTGACTGACAAAGGGCTAATAAGATATTCATCCCAGTAGACCTCGTCTGATGTCCTATGGTGAATGGCGACGCGGGTCTATCGGGGAGAAGCCGCCTTTGTTGTGCTGTGGATGAAAGATTGGACGGATATTTTTAGTAGTCTGGCTAGTTGGATTCCGTGTACAAAGTTATCCTGTAGAGTTGCATTCAATACTGCAGTGAGGTTAAGTGTATTAGGCATAGTATGCAAATATTGCAGTATATTTATAATCTCAGATTCAGACAAATCTTTCTACAAATTATCTCGTGGAGCCGCAAATCTAGATGTTGTTGGAATTAAGAGAAAGCTGGGAGGTAGTCGCGGCGTGAAAACACCTGCCTGTTAGAAAGAAAGAAGAAGGTGGTAATAATTAATACAAGCACTGTCTTTCGTCTTACTTGGGTAATTTCTACAACGAACGATAGAGTTAACCTTGTGGCTTAACAATAACTAGAGTACTCGATAGATAGCTAGTAGAGCCGCCCCAACCCTAATTTGCTAAAGTCGCCTGTAGACCTTGGTTCCTGTTAGTCTTGCCTTAGTGCAGTTTAGTATGAGCTAGGTGTAGCACTGACATGCCATTCATCGAGGAGCAACGACAAACTTCTGTGTATCGAATTCCCATTAGGAAAGGCTTAAGTGATTATTCTGTCTTTTCCTCTTGCTCGGTATTTTTTGTAACTATGGAGAAAGTCATATATTTATCCGACGAACTTCCTTGGGTGTTCCTGAAATCTGAAAAAAGGCAGCTGATACTGGTTTTACTGAAAAGCAACAGTAGATATGTAGTATAAGCAGTAAGGCAGGCTGGTGTTAGCTTATTTGGCCAAGATGCGACTTGTGATAGGGAGTATATTCCCTCAGATTGTTTGGTTGTGGATTGGTGCAAACTCAAAGGTTTGAAGTTGACATCCTCCCCTTAATATATGCACGCCCAACGTGCTCTGTAACTATGATACTGTCTTACCCTTCACAGCTGTCTACCCACTCTGCTAAACTAGGTTTTGCCAGAAGTAATGGCTATCCATGGACTCGCAATTCAGCTAGCGAGTGCGCCGTCCTGATTCTCTATTAGCATGTGATCTTAGAATTCGACCCAGCAACAACGCACAGATTTCTAAGATTTCCCACAGAGTAATGTTATGATACTTAAATGATATGGACCTCCCATCCAGTCAGATATTCAAGCTACCTTTTCAAAAAGTCAGTCATTCTTTGTGATAATAAATTGGTACGCATGGCTTGCCCTAGTGGTTGTCAGCCACCTAGTCCACAAGACCAATGCAAAGGCTGTCTTTGCACATTTTATGGTACGTGTATCTTTATTGCTTTCTAATAAGAGCTGAGTACTGATTACGCGTTTATAGGTCACGAATTCCCAAAATTATACTGCTTCTGATTGGGAATCAGATATGAAATTAGCCCAAGATGCCCATATCGATGCCTTTACATTGAACATGGCGTGGCAAGACAGCACCAACGACAACTCTGTTGAAGCCGCATTCGACGCTGCTGACTCAGTCGGCTTCAAACTTTTCTTCTCGTTTGACTACGCGGGGAATGGGCCATGGAGCAAAGATACTGTGATCAGTATAATCCAGCAGTACGGTTCCAATGGAGCTTACTTCCTATACAACGGTCAGCCTTTCGTGTCTACTTTCGAAGGACCCGGAAATGCGGAGGACTGGGTGGAAATCAAAGCGCAGACAAATTGTTATTTCATCCCCGATTGGTCGTCGGTTGGTGCCAAGCCAGCTGCAGCACTTGCAAATGGTGTTGCCGATGGCCTGTTTAGTTGGTCTGCTTGGCCTTGGGGCAATCAGACAATGGATACCTCTACGGATGCCTCCTATTTTCAGTACCTGGAGGGTAAGCCATACATGATGGCTAGATCACCATGGTTTTACACGAATCTCCCAGGCGATGACAAGAACGGGCTTTGGAAGGGTGATAGTCTCTGGTTTGATCGATGGCAGGAGCTTCTTGGTCTTGACCCAATGCCTGAATTTGTCGAAATAATTTCTCTTGCAGCCAGTTGACCGGCTGCTCACTCGAATACTAGCACCAATTGCAGGGACTTCAACACTATCAGTTTCGTTGTTCCGTTCTGCGTCGTGGCCCAAACTGGGGACACCTGCGATTCCATCTCCATAGCCCATTCTATCTCCTCTAACCCTGTATCAAATCAATCCCACCCTGTACAATTGCAGTGACACGATGGTGGGGTTGGACCTGTGTCTGCCTCTGGCATGTGAAGATATCTACGAGGTCGTTGCTGGTGATAATTGCTCATCGATTGCCGTCACCGCGGGCATTTCGTGGATGAAACTAATCTCCCATAACGGCATGGTAGACAGTGCTTGCTCAAACGTCGCCGATACCGCCCTCCTGAGCGGAGTGCGATGCGTCTTCCCTCCCGGGGGCACTTTCGACTTGACAGTCTCGTCTAATTCAAGTTCCGCCCCGGGCGTAGACGGACAGGGTGGCTCTGGATCAGGCTATGGTACCAGCTTCGTCGCCTTGCCAAGCGACGTTACTCTGGCTGAAGGCACCACTACCGACTGTGGCTACTATTACACCGTGGTGTCGGGAGACACCTGCGTGTCGCTCTTGGCGGAGGCCAACACGCCGTTCAATTTATTTATGGCTGCAAATCCGTCCATCACATCCGCCGCGGTCTGTGACGATGAACTGACAGTTGGTGTGACCTACTGTATTCATCCCATGAGCGGCTTCAATACAACAAGCGTGAGTGGTAACCTGACCGTCTCCACCAATGGATTGGGTGGGAACGGGACTACCTGTCTGGGCTCGTCGTTTGGAGACTGCTGTTCCATCTCTGGGTATTGTGGCAGCACTTCCGACTACTGCACGGCCGGAATCTGCGATGCGACCCATGGCCTCTGTGTCTCAGGTAACCCTGTCTCGCTAGACGGCCTCTGTGCATCCCAGTCGTCAACCAACGCGACTTGTGCTGGAAGTGAGTTTGATCTTGCTGCTCGGTCGACGGTTATTGCGGTAGTACCTCTGACTATTGTGGCTACAAAACATGTCAGAGCGAGTTTGGAAGCTGTGATGAAGCTCCTTCAGTCAGCTCTGACGGATTGTGCGGTGCCCTCTCATCAGTTAACGCCACATGTGCCGGTAGCACATTTGGCGACTGTTGTTCGATTAATGGATATTGTGGCAGCGCGTCCGACTACTGTGCCTACGATAGCTGCCAGTCGGCATTTGGCTCCTGCGATGCTGGTCCCACAATCAGCACCGATGGCCTCTGCGGGGCTCTCTCGTCTTCCAATGCTACCTGTGCTGGAAGTACCTTTGGCGACTGCTATTCGATTTACGGCTACTGTGCCTATGATAGTTGTCAGTCAGTGTTTGGAACGTGTGATCCCGGCCCTACCGTCAGTTCAGGTGGGCTTTGCGGCGCCCTTTCATCTACCAACGCTACTTGTGCGGGTAGCACCTTCGGGAGCTGTTGTTCAGTTAATGGCTACGGTGGAAGCACCGGCGAGTACTGCGGCATCGGGACCTGCGACTCTGCGTTTGGTAACTGTGATACGGTGACAGTGAGTCCAGACGGACTGTGCGGCTCCATGTCTTCTGTCAACGCAAGCTGTGCGGGCAGTCAGTTTGGCGACTGCTGCTTGGTGAACGGATACTGCGGTGGCTCGGATGCTTATTGCGCAGCAGTGAATTGTTTGACGGACTATGGCAGCTGCTCACCTTGAGTAGGGGATGTCTGGATAGTGAGTGGCTTGAGAATCTCTTTTCTCCACACAGATGATGATGATGATGGGTGTCAGTTAGGTCAGGAAAAGGAGGCGGAATTCTCTTCCACAGCATGTATAGTACATATAGTACCCTACTGATACTGGTTCAAAGGTCTACAAATAGTGTATCAACCGCGTAACGTGCTGTACCATGCGTTTTCTTTCCGGTCTACTTTGTAACATACAGCTCCCACCACTACCTAGTTACTTACAGTACAGTACAGTACTTGCTATATAAATCCAGCCGTCCTTTCCTCCCTTTTCTCCCGTCACTCATCCCCGCACTTCACCTCTGCGCCACTTCGCTATGGCCTGCTATCCAAGACTTCCATACCCTGATCAGACAGGCCTCAACGGTCAGTTGATTGGGTGGACTCGAGTGGGCAATTTCACCGCCGTGGCGACGCTCCTGGAAGATCCAGACGCAGTGGATTTGCCCAGGCATGGAGAGACGGCACTCCATGAGGCAATTAGGTATAAACGACTTGACTTGCTCCGGTACCTGATCGGTCGTGGATTCGACGTCAATCAAAAAGGTCCTGACGCATATGGCGCAATTTGCTTAACACCTCTGCACTTTGCAGCCGTAGGGAATTCGGCTGAGGCGGTGGATATTCTGCTCTCCGCTGGGGCCGATGCCACTGTGGACGATGCTTCAACAGATGGGTCGTCAACGCGCGGCGTATTCTCAACGGGAGAGGACAAGGGGCCGCATACACCGTTTCTGGCTGCAGCAGTCTGGGGCTCTGACGCCGTGGTGCAACGCTTGATCGACCGGCTGCCTCCAGGCACCATTGCTGATCACGAATGGCCCCTGGCTTTGAGTGCAGCCTCGTTGTATCGCCATCCCAAAGCTCTGGTCGCCATCCTCCGTCACTACCCCGCCCCGATGGTACCACAAGAGATACTTGACCGGGCTTTGGCGGAGGCTGCCGCGAAAGAGGACCACAACGCTGATCTTGCGATGTTTCCGGCTCCACCCGAGGAATCGTGGCAAAGGGGGCTGGAGGCCGTCCAACTCTTGCTCGCTCAAGGGGCTCGCCCGAATCCACAGCAGCCTTCATTACCCCCATCCATCTATCGATCCTCTAGGGTCAAGCCACGACCGATTATCGAAGCGGTCGTTGAGACCTCCATGGGCATGGAGATGCTTCAGATGCTCCTCGACCACGGCCTGGAGCTCCCTCAGCCTTCCTCCACCGCGAGAAAGCCAGGAGAGCCTAGTCTCTTTGCCCGGGCAGTGCACAACGGTAACCCCGATCTGATTCACTTTTTCCATGAGTACCAAGCAGCCGTGCTAGATGTCAACGAGGAACTCCCCGAAACGCACCTATGGACGGGCGGATCTCTGCTCCATGCCGCCGCGAAAAATGGTCGTCCCGAGACCGTCCAATTCCTGCTGAACCACGGAGCGGACCCCCTGCAGATGAATGGTAAGGGGTGGCTCCCCATCCACCAAGCGTGTCAGCAGCGCCATCTCCCGGTGATTGAGCTACTTTGGCCGTGCAGCAGCAGCTCACCCGCCTTTCCAGACCTGGCCAACTATCGCACACGAGATGGACACACGGCGTTCCACCTTGCCAAGTGCTGGAGCGCTGCCGACGATCCCGCGGTCGAGGCGCTTAGCATGCGCCTCTTCTACTTCTTCAAGGACAAAGGCGCCGATCTGAGTAGTCTGAATACCCATGGAAAAAGTATCCTTCACTACATTCCGTTCTATGATGAGGAGCGGTTCTGCGCCATCATGGAGGCAGGCGCGAGGCTGCGACCTGACGCTGAGGGCCAGACAGAGCTTCACCACAGCATGCGCGAGCCAGACTGGGAGTTGCTTGATGTTAAATTCTTGTTACGGCAAGGCGCCTCCAAGGATATCAATGCGCAGGACAACAAGGGCCGCACCCCGCTATATTTCTACCTGGAATGGAATTTCTATGTTCCAGGCGATGAGCAACAAATGCGGGCGGAGGTTGTGGACCTCTTGATGGAGGCCGGGGCGGATGCAGATATCCCTGCGGCATCCGGGAAGACTGCTAGGGATGTTGCGAAGGCCAAGAAATTTCCGTATGATTTCGACAAATGGAAAACTGAGGGGTAATTGATTGGAGACATATGGAGCCAATACATCTAAAGATACGGGTCTAGCTCTCGGCCGAAAAAGAATCTATGTCTCGAGCAGATGCCGGTGACCTTAGATTGTGTCAGTCCAATACCATTGAGAAGCAGGATCTGAGAGTGGTACATGGTCGGTCACTCCATCGGTGACCGCGGTGGGTGGACGGGACACGGTATACAGAGCGAGGAGGTTGTTTGTATGTCATTGGGCGGTAAATAAGAGGCAGTAAGCTGAATTAACTGTCTTACTCATAAAAGACCTACCCCCCTCAAGTGGGTCCAGACAGTAAAAAATTACTTAGCTTATCTCAACACTTGTAGATAGTATCAGTATGAGAATAAGTTACAAAGTTATTGGGGGTGCCCACTGTCTCCAACAAGTATATTAGTATAGTAAGCTGATACAACAGTAGAGGAGAGAAGGAGCATAGTCAATTAATACTAGACATCCTAGCTTCTACAGAGTGTCTGTCTACTGATTAAGAATTAGCCCCTCGAACATTGTTATTGACTAGGATAGGTTAAACAGCCGGTGCTGAACTAGCCCCTCTAAGAGTCTGTCTAAACTAAATAGTATAGAAGCTAAGACGATCAAATGCTCAGGGGTTACTAGGCAAAATTGATCAACTATATATTATAATCAACCAGCATGTTCAACTGATCAGTTACTAAGCAGTAGTTAAACAGAAGAATACAATCAGAAGATGTATCAAAACTACTGCTTCATTTGACGACCACAGTATGGCCTGGAATACACTGGCGCAGTATAGTACGGTGCTAGTAAGTCTTAACCCATGGGATAGATTAAATACTGGTAGAGTAGTCTAGAAGTTGAATAGAAAAAATAATGGGTTGAACAGTATAGCAAACAAGCATATCAGGGGGATAGAGTAATATATTCAGTAGATAGAGTTAATCAAGACTAACACCTAGGTAAGGAATAATCTGGGACATAATAATCTATAGTACAAGAAGATGAACGCAGCAGGAAATAAGGAGACTAGAAATCTCTACTTAGAATTATAAGTGGAGCTTTCAGGTATTTAAGCAGAAGATTAGAGCACGTAATACCATCAAGGTGAAATACTTAAAGCCTCAAAGATCCCAGCCAAATTCTGAAGGACAGAAGAGTTCCTTTCCTCACTCAGCTATCGCCTTCTTCATTGGGGGGCTGTCGAACCCGTGGCTGTCGTCTTCTTCATTGGGGGCCTGTCGAACCGTGGCTGTCGCCTCCCTTCAGTGATTAGCAGGTACCTCTCCGTGGTGCTGAAGACTAGTACTCAGGGCGTGTAGCTTAGGCTGCCCTCTGAGGAAGCTAGATCCTACTCGCAATATCCCATTGCATATTTCAGGTAGACCGGTCTCGCGCATCTACTGTACAATAATTATATAGTGAATGCAAATGCTTGTCTGATTTTTACTCTCTCTAGCCTTACTATGAATAATGTCTGTCTTTGCTTGCGGTGAGCTGTTCCTGATTCACCCAGGGTCTTGTCTGGAGGAGTCGGATCTCTTATATGATATTCGGTAACAGCTGTCTGTATAAGCCATGGTTATCTGCTTAGCTATAAGTAATACGGTGCGGTGATTCCAGCACAGAGAGCCTAGCCTGTCTTATAAGCACGTCACGCGGGAGGTCTGGTCATTTAGCACTAGTTTTCCCATAACTTATTATATAATCTATATTGTCATCTACACTGGGCGCAGGGAGGAGACGTGACGTCAAAATATGGAGAAGTAGTTGATTAAGGTAAGGAGGATGGAGGTGACAAAGGACCAAAGGACGCCCGGTACGGGAGACCGTACGTACCACTAGCGCAGTACACCACTGAGGTGGGTGACATATATAATGATAATATAAATACCAGAAATTCAACTACCATATAAATTCAGTCACAACATAACTATTATTCGTGATTGTAGTGGATCAAACAATGAATTATAGTCCTACTTGATAGTAGGATTATTTCTAGCCCATCCTGGCTTCAGTACTAGGCTTTGATGTTTCCCGCGGCCGGTCTACTGCGCCTAGTAACCATTACTAGTCACCTGTATCTACTAAATAAATACTCCTTAGCGGTTTTCAGTCTATTTCTATAATGTTCAAACCATACAGCTGGAGGGCATAGTGTAGTGGCTATCTTGAGGCCTAAAATGCAGTTTATATACTCATAGTAGGGGATTCCTCTCTTATTTACTATTAGTAGTAGGAGTTTGCTAAGCTAGCACTAGTTTAGTGTATAGTATACAAGGCCTCAGGTACCAATTGGTGCCTGAGGCTGAGCTCCATATCAGGGCCTTGGTCCCATAACACTTATACTGTCTACTAACCAGCTATAATATCACCTGGGAAGAAAGCTGAAGTATAGAGCTATTATCTCAAACTCTATACAACTGATTATACAAACAGGAACCATAAAGAGAGATGAGGAAGGGAGGGGGGGCTTCTATTATAGGACTAAGGCCCTGATATAGAGCTTAGCTTCAGACACTAATTGGTACCTGAGGCCTTGTATACTATACACTAAACTAGTGCTAGCTTAGCATACACACCCAAAAGAATTTCGTATGAACTGATGAAGTAGCTCTTCAGCTATTTCTTCTTGTTCTAAGGCACGTTTTGATCAGCACGATCTTTCCGTCCCGTAACAGTTTTCTACCTCTTTAATCTAAAGTATATAATAGTAACAGTACATTCTACAGAAGAATCCCACAATGAAGAGTTTCCAGATTATGTAGATTAGACTGTTGTCACGGTCCAGGTATGATGTCAACTAATGGGAGAATCACTAGAATAGAAAATGCAAAAGGTAACACAGAGGATATATGAACAAGAAGATGGCGCTGCATTATGTCGAGGTCAAAGCCAATTATAGCACAGGGAAAATGGATCGCACGTTCAGAGCATGGTGCCGGGAACGAAGATGAAGAGGATGCTCAGCGCGGTGGCCACAAAAAAGGCAATCAAGGCCGTTGCCGTGGCGCGTTTGTTCAGCAGCTTCCGCACGTATGGTTCGCGAATAGGTGACCAGGTCATAAATGTGTATTCGCTGTAGCCCAGAAATGCCATGACCGGGTCAAGCTTGTACTGGTACGAAACAAGAAAGTAGGACGCGACGGCAAAGGGCAATATTAGCTGTGACGAAGTTAATGAAGCGTCTCTTCACAAAGCGATAAGCTTGACTTACCCAACACCGTACATGGCGAGGCTTGTCGCGGAGAACCACATAGAAAGCGCCCCAAAATCCGCCACCAAAACTGATCAAAGCAAATGCTAACCGAGCAATGATGCTCAAGGGCACAAGGTTGCCCAGCGCCTTCGCCTGCAGAAACCCGGGGAATGCATCACGCTCCATCGCTTGGAAGACATAATCCTTGGCGGGGTCGAATACTTCGGGATCATCTCGGCCATGGTCTTCGATATGGTCGATGATCGTTGACACCATTTCCTCCGGGAGAACAATCTCTCTCTCGGCTCCGGGGAGCAGGTATGTGTAAAGAATCTTCTCGGCGCTGGCGCGGATGTCCGCTCGTGCCACGGTGTGTCCAGGCGACGGCGAGTCGTTGCGAGGGTCGGAGCCCTCACGCGGCGGCTGCTCGTTCGATGCCGTGCGGGCAGCATTCTGTGACCCGAGGCTGCTCTGTGGGGAGTGTCCTGATGTGTGGCCGTCGGAGCGCAGGAACGCTGACAGTCGCTGATTCGCATCACGATCTTCTAATTCGTGCAGGGCATGGCGCGACCCTGAGGGTCCGGCTTCGACCAGAGGGATATCGTTTAGATGCTCGATGTTGTCCAAGGCGGCGGAAGAGCCTTTGCTGTCGGCTTTTTCCAGATCAGGCGTTGCGACAAGGACAGATCGGCGAAGCTCACGGACATAGTGACGGCAGAGGGACATATGCTGCGAGACGTCCAGCCTGGCGCACGCAATCGCGAATTAGCTACACTCGCGAGTCAAACCCGGTGATCTGAGAGCCTCAAGAACATACCAAAAGTCGAGATAGTCCACCGATCGCTGCTGATCGCGCATGTAGATGTAGAAGGAAAAAAGATCAACGGGGGCGAGAGTTCGCCGACTGAGAACCTCGAAAAGCGTGGGCAAGCGATTCCGCTGCTCCAGCTCCGAAAGCGAAGGCGAGGCCATGCTGAATGATTGTATAGGCAATGCTTTGATGGCGGGATTGTTGCGCTGCCTTTGGTGTTTTGCTGGTATCGCACCAGAGCGCGGGGAGGGGAAGGAAAAGGGGAACGCCAGTCGAGAGTCAATTGAGTTTTAATGGGAATAGGAGTAAGCGGCGCAATTGAGTCGGGATCGCACACGAGATGGTATACAACGAGCGCAGGTAGTCACAAACGAGGATGTTCTTTGATGACGATAAAAGAGGGACCGGCACACGTTGGGATTAATTAGTGCTTGGGCATGAAACCTGCAATAACACGCGGGCTCGGGGCCAGTGCAAGCCAGGAGGCCCTGCAGAGGGACCCGAGGCAGTAAACAAAACACACCCAGCCGACCGCAGGTAAAATCACGGACTCGTAACACAAGCCATGCAGGATGCTCGGAGTGACAATTGCAGACCGCAAGATTGCAGAGAAAGGAATTTGGTGGCAGGCAGAAAGAAGATTGAATGAAGAGGAGGGGGGGTGGATTGAGAGGTGGATGACCAACCCGCGCAGCAACGAAAAAAGAGGCCTTCGATAGGATTACAGTACCACTAGTTTCTTAGCTCGGGGCTAGTAGTCAATGGTCAATGGGTGCCTGACACCGCAGGTTTGAGGGGTGAATGGAACAATATTGATCCGAAATGACTGGCCCACTGATCGATCACTCAACCAGAAGAGCTCGATTCCACGTTGAACTAGATCCTGGAATCACAATACCTAGCAGCGCAGCTTATTCTTGAGCCTCATTCAATCCTGAGCAAGAAAAGGCATAAAGAAAAGGGTGAGTGTTATCACGTTTCTTCATTGTATGTACCGTACATTCCAGACCAACTGCTAAATTACTGACTAAAAAAGGAACCGGGTCGGACGGGATCCACTATCAAAGTCCCCATCGGTTCGCCCTGCCGTGGCTGGGTCTGAATGATGATTTTGGTTCCTGATCGTCACAATAAAAGGAGCGTTGGCCGTTAAACATGCGACATGTTCATTTTGGCTACGTCAGTCACCATGCATGACGCGAGGTGCATTGCTTATAGTTCGCTTCGGTTAGGAGAACTAGACAAGCCACACCTTAACAGTTTGTGTTGACTGGTCTGGTGCGACTCACGTCTACATCAGGCAGTGAATTGACCAGCCACACAGCAGTTGTTCTGAGACACTCGCTGCATGAAGCGTGCCACCGCGGACATTGCAAACCTGCTGATTGCCGAAAGTGGACCGGAATAAAGTGTCCCCAGCTCCGGGCCAGACCACTCCGAGATTTTTGCGCTAAACCTCAACAAATAAACTACCTTACCTCTACTTTAGCAGCTTACGGACTAGTCCATCCGGTTGCCAGCATTCGCCAGCAGCACTGACCTGTGGTTTCCGCCATGAGCGACGGATATGGCCCGCCCCAAAGCTCGAGTGGATTGCCCATCCACCGCAACTGGCAAGAAAAGATCCCTTGAGGAGTTTGAGCCAGACGAGGCCTCCGTGGCCGCCACCTTCCCAGCACAGCGATCGGCCGAAGAGTCCGAAGACCCTCACGAGACGTCGAAATCGGAATCAATTGAGTGTACCGATGGAGACGCACCCTTATCGTCGCAGCCAGCCAGAAAGCGAAAACGAGTTGCTGCACCCCCCAAGCGAACTCCCGCAGCCCCGTGGCCCGACGCGTTCAAGCAGCTTTCCCGCACCCACCGTGCCCTGAACCTCGTTTATACCTTCTGCTGCACCCGAAAACACTTTGCCACCACGTTCAGCAACATCAAACAAGCCGTACAAGCTCAGTTGCAGGGTCAGGAGTTGACGGTGGAAGATGTCGCTCGCGTCCGAGTACTCGTGCCCCGAGCAGTCCGGTTCGAATATGTTGACGATGCGAAGCTGGAGACTATGACTACAGGGGAGCGGGAAGCCAATCATCTGGGATATGGCAGAGACATGCCTTCTGGCTCAGATGGTGTACCGACCAAGACACTTTTGTTCGAGCTTGTCGATCAAGATCTCAAGCGGGAGGTGAGACATCCGAAAACCGGAGAGCCGACGAAGCCGAAACGTAAAATGAAAGATGAAGATCTCAAAATGCCGGTGTATAGTCAGAAGCAGATATTAGCACTCATCGAGAAACGGAACAAAAAGTTCACTGACGCAATCGACGAATTTCTTATCCGCTGCGAGGATGAGAAGATCGACCCTGTCATGCTACTTGAATCCGAAAAAGATGCATGGATTCCCATTCCGCCTGACGATGAAGAGTTGCGAGCCTTGGCAACCGTCAAAGCGCCGCCCCAAATCCCCAAAGAGCGGAAGTCCATGTCGGAAATCGTGGAGGAGATTCGGCAGATGGACTGGTACACGGCACAGATTGTACCGGAAGGACATCGAGTGTTCGAAGCGCAGCCACCCATATACGGAGATTTGAATTTTCAGCTTTCTCAGAATCTTGTGAATGCATTGTACAACACCAAGGGCATCACTCAGCTCTACTCCCACCAAGCGGAGGCTATCAATCATCTTTACGATGGCCACAACGTCATCGTTTCCACCTCAACCAGCTCGGGCAAGTCGTTAATTTACCAGGTGCCCATGATGCATGAGTTGGAGAAAGACCCTGCCGCCCGAGGAATGTATATTTTCCCCACCAAGGCTTTGGCGCAGGACCAGAGACGGAGTATGCAGGAGCTACTTCAGTTCCTGGACGGCCTCCAGGATACCATCGTTGAGACATATGATGGAGATACTCCCATGGCCGCACGGAATCAGATCCGAGACGAGGCGCGCATCATCTTCACCAACCCCGACATGCTACACATCTCTATCCTGCCACAAGAAAGCTCTTGGCGTACGTTTCTGAAGAACCTCAGGTTTGTTGTTGTTGATGAGCTGCACGTGTATAACGGGTTATTTGGCTCCCATGTTGCCTTCATCATGCGTCGCCTGCGCCGTATCTGCGCCGCTATAGGGAACCGTCAGGTCCGGTTTATCTCCTGCTCGGCCACTGTAGCCAACCCCGAAGCGCACATGAAAGCCATCTTTGGCGTCGAGGACGTCAGATTGATCGACTTCGATGGCTCTCCGTCGGGTCGCAAGGAGTTTATGTGCTGGAATACGCCATTTAAAGACCCCAACGACCCGACGTCTGGCCGCGGAGACAGTGTCGCCGAAACGGCTCGTTTATTCTGTCAGCTTATCCTACGTGGTGCGCGCGTTATTGCATTTTGTCGGATTCGCAAAATGTGTGAGGTCCTCTTACAGGCTGTGCGCACGGAATGCCAGAACCTTGGTCGCCTGGAAGTGGCGAAGCTCGTGATGGGCTATCGCGGCGGGTACAGCCCGCAAGACCGACGAATTATTGAGAAGGACATGTTTGAAGGCCGACTGATGGGCATTGTTGCCACTAACGCTTTGGAGCTCGGCGTTGACATCGGATCACTCGATGCTGTCATCACTCTTGGCTTTCCCTATTCTATTTCCAACCTTCGCCAGCAGAGCGGTCGTGCCGGTCGGCGTAATAAGGATTCGCTCTCTGTCCTCGTCGGGGACCGCTACCCGACTGACCAGCACTATATGCGCAACCCCGAGGAGTTGTTCACTAAACCCAACTGCGAGCTGCAGGTTGACCTGACCAACGAGCTGGTCCTTGAGGGCCACGTCCAATGTGCCGCTTTCGAAATGCCCATTCGTCCAGATGAAGATAGCACCTACTTCGGACCTCAGCTTGCCGAATTCGCTGCGACTCGCCTTACCCGCGACGTCCTGGGCTACTATCATTGTCACGAGCGCTTTCGGCCTCAGCCATCTCGCAGTGTTTCCATCCGCGATACTGAAGATCAGCACTTCGCTGTAATCGACACCACAAACTCGCGCAATGTTGTTCTCGAAGAGGTTGAAGCCTCGCGCGCCTTCTTCACCATCTATGAAGGGGGCATCTTTCTTCATCAAGGTCAAACATATCTCGTTCAAGAATTCAACCCGGATCGCCATTTCGCCCGTGTCATTCGTGTTCATGTTGATTGGAATACGATGCAACGTGATTACACCGATATAGACCCCATCGAAACCGACGCCATCCGGTTCATTAATCAAAACCCCTTTACCATCACCGCATCGGCTGCCGCCCAATCCAAAGCGGCTGCCGCCACGTCTGAACCTCCGACTCGCGCATTCTTCGGCTCCATCCGCATCCATGCTGTTGTCTACGGATTTTTCAAGATCGACAAACGCGGTCGCATTCTGGATGCGGTCACGGTCGACAACCCGCCGATCGATATCTACACGAAGGGCATGTGGCTCGACATACCCAAGCGAGCGCTGGACATCCTCCGCTCGCACAACCTCAACATTGCGGCCGCTATTCACGCCGCCGAACACGCCATTCTCTCCCTGCTCCCGACTTTTGTGATCTCTTCCCCCGGCGATGTGCGCACTGAATGCAAAGTGGCGAAGAAGGAACTCGGGCGAGGCCTACGACTGGCCGCGGAAGGGCAGCCGCACGAGGGACAGACGAAGCAGCAGCTGGAAACCAAAGTCAAAAAGATCCTGCAACCTCCAGCACGGCAAAGGCCGGCGCGGCTGACCTTCTATGACGCGAAGGGCGGGTCGTGCGGCTCTGGCATCGCAAGCAAAGCCTTTGAGTTTGTGGACATGCTGTTGCGGCGGGCCGTTAAGCGCATCGAAGCCTGTCAGTGTCTCACGCCGCAGGGGTGTCTGGAGTGTGTCTGCGACGAACGTTGTAAGGAGATGAATGAAGTGATGAGCAAGGCCGGCGCAGGGGTGGTGCTGCGGTGTTTGCTGGGGTGGGAGGTCGATGTGGATGCTTTGCCCTGGGGCGAGGAGGTAGATTTGAGTGGCATATGTGGAGTGGGTGGTGAGGAGCTGCGCGGCGGGTTTGAGACGGTTGTACCTGCCCAGGAGGTGCCACTGCGATCTCAGCGGTAACTAGGAGAATCAAGCGGTTCGAATTACTGAAGCTATCTCATGCACTGCTTAGAACGGCTTCACCATGGATTCGAAATAGCATCAAGCTTATAGTGACTTGAATTTCTCAGACTATTTTATAGTTAAAAGAAGAAGAGAATACAAACAATCAGGACAGAAGAGACGTTCATTAAGAAAAAAAGGGGGCGGGGGGGGACTTTGTTCCTTCAGTCATTTTGGACACTGTTCAATCATGAGCGGATGAGTAACTATCATGATAGCTCCAAGAGCCCGCTGGCTATTGGTGCAGCATATCTGAATAGCGCGTGGTGAAGCGAGAGAAGGACCCTGTTTGAAGGGAGAAGCACCAATCAAGTTTCATTCTTGAACATACATCTAAAAATCCTGGGCGCGAGTCAGTCAATTAAGGGTCACTAGGGTCACTTAACAAGTTAAGCCTAGTAGTCGGATCTTTCATGCCGCACCCTGCGTATTTATTATGCACGATGCCAGTGCACCCTGACTCCTCGCCACATGGCAGTTATCTCCGAGACTGTGCACTTTTTCAAAGCGCCCCCACGGTGCCAATATATCTCTTCGCTAGATAAACCCCATCGCTTGAGTGTCTGTCTCTCCCTATTGCACCGATCGTTTATACATGCGCGAGGATTACTCCAAATGGACTAGGGGGTAACTCCACTTCTTGACTCGAAGGGATCCATATTGTCTCCACTCTTTATGCAGCGTCCTCGTTGTATGAAGAGACCCTTTGTTAGTAGGGGAGCCTCTCTATGACCGCGAAAATCTATATAACCTGCAACTTCGCGGCGTGATTTATCTCTCATGATACATCAGCATTCAGTCAATCCTTTGCATCCTACCTCCCATTCATTCTCGAATTTCCTATCTAGTCACTCTTTTTTTTTTTTTTTTTTTTTTTTTTTCCCTTCTCGTTACGTGTTATACCGTCACGGTTCCAGCTTCATAAGAATCCCTGCCGTCTGCGACTTACCAGGGACTGCATCGAACAGAAACAGAACAAAGAAACATGTCACTGCTTCAGGGCATCTTGGGCCTGATGCTGGCACTGCCCCCGGTGGTTCAGGCCGCAGCGGAGCGTGCAGTATTTGCCCATTACATGGTAATCCACCCCTCAACCCCCAATGGCAAACAATAAACGAAGGCTAACACGAAATAGGTCGGCACCACCGATACTGCTCATGCGGAGCAAGACATCGAAGATGCTATTGCGATGGGAATCGATGGCTTTGCTCTCAACGTCCAATGTCCAAAGGATTCCTTCGCCACGAGCCTGGTCAACGACATGGCTAAATATCTGCAGACCGCTAAACCCGACTTTAGCATCTTCATCAGCATGGATGTGTACGCGTCCGGCAGCCCTTCGTGCGGCGCGACCCCTATAGATTATGTCAGTATGGTGCAGAATGCCATGAGCTCCGGATATTACACGCAGGTCGATGGGAAGATGTTGGTGAGTACCTACAGTTCCGGTGGAGGCACCTGGGAGACTTGGAACGAGTTCAAGAACCTGGTGGCTGTAGCCGGCGATGGTGACCCGGGCTATGAGGTGTATTGGGTCCCTGACCTGGATGACACCGACGGCTACTGGGAGAGTGATGGCGGCTGGTGGTACTACTGGGGCAATCTCACCGATGGAGTCTTCAGTTGGGAGTCCGCTTGGCCGGCCCTCGGCCAGCAGGCGTCGGCCCAGACGGGGGGTGTTGGAGGTCTGGCCCGGGATCAGGTCATTATTGATGCTGCGGAGCAAGAGGGTGTCTCCTACATGATTCGTTCGTCTGCCCCATCGGTGTCTTCGATGACTGATTACTGATTTTGTTTGTATCCCGCCAGCCTTGAGTCTCATGCAGTATAAGAACTCGGTATGTACAAGCCCTCCGTCGGTCGTTGAGCACAGATTCGCAGACTAACCCGCAGAGCAGTATGCGACCAACGTCTATCGTCAGGGAGAAGAGAACTTTATCCAACGCATGCATGATATCTTGGGAGTGACGAGCGAGACTCTGCGGTTCGTGGAGTACATCACCTGGAATGATAGTCCGGAAGGCCATTACATCGGCAATGTCTGGCCGGAGCAGAACACCGACGTGGCGCCCAACAACTATGCCAATACCACCATCTGGCCCCACACAGGCTTCCAGCCCATCATTCAGTCCTTTGCGACCGCCTTCAAAGCGTATCAGAGTGCATCAGACATGCGGCCCCAGAATGGAAACGACGCGGTCGGCGCCATCTGGTACCACACGCTCGCCTTCGATGATACCTGTCCCTTTGAAGGCATTGGAGAGTATACGTTCTGGGACAAACCTGCAGGCTATGACACCTTTTCCCTGACCACCCACTGGGCCATTGTCCTGGATGATACGGTTGACGGATATGCCCCGAGTGACCTGGAGCTCATTATCACGACCGCTACTGACGATCAAGTTGTGGTGAGCGATTTGAGCGCCGGGCTGAATTTCGCACAGGGGCCAAATGTCAACGGAGGTAGCAGTGTTTCCATGATCCTGGCGCCAAAGTCTGGGAGCACGGTTCTCTACACAGCCTCTGGCGGCAAATGCCCGGCGTCAAGCTGCCTGGAGGGATTCTACAACCTGAATTACCAGGTCTTGCCGCTGGTCAAGGGTGATACCACCACCGGTTGCACCTACGAGGAGACCGTCCTGCGGTACACCCCGTTGAACACCACCGCCAATGTGACTATTGATTGCGACTATGTCAAGACCTCGCTATCGGCGGTGGACGCGTGGAAAACAAGTCAGGCTGGCCTGGCTATGGAATTCGAGATCACTCGGCATGCACTATCAACCAGCCATGCTCTTACCACCACCCTGGCCAACATCGACACACACTTCACGAATTTCACTTCCATCGGCACCACCGATTGTGCGGATATCAACGACGACAGCTCCTGCCAGCTGCGCGACACCTGTCCGTCGGTCAATGACTACGTGCCCTACTTTTTTGCTCAACGTTCCTTCTCCATCTTCCAACGGTGTCTGCGCGAGATGTCCACCGATGTCTTCGAAGAGGGATTCATTTCCGCACTGAGTATCAACAGCCTAGTCCAAGACGTCACCGCGTATCTCACCCCCAAGAGCGACGAAGCGGAGATTGTCAAGATCATGGGGGCTCTGGCGGCGGGCTTTACCATCCTGAGCGGTGGCCTCGGTTTCGTCGACGGCTTCGCCAGCGCCTTCGCCGCATTGCTGGGCGGCGTCTTCAGCATGGTCTCGGTGCTCGACACCCCCACAGACCCCGCAGACAGCAGCGCCTTCCTGGCCGCTCCCGGCACCGCCTTGACGGATCGCCTCGCCGCGGTACTCGAGACCTACAACACCAGCCTGGTCAACCTCGCGGAGACCGTGTTCACCACCGGCGACCTCTCCTCATTCCCCAGCTACGCCCTCGACACCTCGAACGACGACTACGGAAGCAGATACACCACGAACTTGACCAAGTTCTTCGCCGGGGGCCGCTTCGCCAACACCGACATGGACTGCAGCCTTCTCTCGAGTGAGATGACCAACCCGATCCAGCAGCAACTGATCAACTACATGCTCCTCAGCTCCAACGTCTACATCATCCAGAACGGCCACTCCCTCGATGACTGTGCCGGCGCCCGGGGCGTCCAGCTCGATCTAACCGGCACCACCTACTGCTACACGCTGGAAAAGCCCGGCGGCGGCTCTTTGGATTTCGACCTCACGGACTCGCTGTCCGCTGACTTTGGGGAGGTGCTGTACGACACGTACAGCATCAACCAGACCGCGCTGGTCGTCAGCTCCTACCAGTGCCAGACCAACAACAATGCCTACGGCGCCACTTACGTCCCCTCCGACACGATCATCCCGGGGTCGGGCTACTCGGTCGATAATCTCCCGCCGTGTTTCTTCAATCTGCCTGTCTTGTACACGGACTATACTGTCAAGACCACGGGCGAGTACGTCACCACCTCGGGGACCCCGTGCCAGCTGCGGGAAAATACGGAGGATGATGGGATCGGGAATTATCTGCCGGATAATCTGGCGAGTATCTTCACGCGGAAGTTCTGCATTGACAAGATTGGTCATTAAACATGGTGGCACTAGCAGTTCTCTTTGTACTGACTGACAAAATATACGTTCAATAAAGATTGAATCATCTTAACCCGTCATGCATGTTAGCTCCCAGACCCGTGGTCATAAGCAACTGGTAAATATGCTGTAGAAGGATGCCAGCCCCTATTGGTTGAGAGTTATGAAGAAAAGGGTAGAGTGATTTAGGGCTGGCTGGAGTTACCAAGCCGTTGCCACTGACACAATCCCTTCCTCCAAGGTTGTAGATCCCGCGTTGAGAGCCATGGTTTTGAAGGTGCATTGTGCGTAACAACCCGCGTGCAGCTGGTCGATGAGTAATCTAGAGGGGCTTGAAGATGATCCGGTGATCGAGGTTACTGCCGTCTATATAATAGCAGAGACGATGGACGGCGTTATTCCCTCCTGTTTCGCAATGTTTACTGGTTCATATCTTTGTTCAGATCAGCCGTGTTATTCGATTCATAACCCACTACTATTGGTCGTAGTCAGTCTCTATGGTAGTAAGGCCTGATAGACGTGTTAAGTCCAGCGCTTAGAGAAGCGCTCGCTACCTTTGATCTCGGCAGGTACCGAAGGTACTGAGGTGCTCTTGTTCTGGATTTCAAGTCGGAGGAAAGCAGCCCAGGTGAAGTCTGCAGACTAGATATCTGGAATCATCAATTATAGAAAGGCTGTTTCAAAGGGCATCTACCTATCTGTGAAGACGCCCCATTCCCTCAGCCCCGCTGGTGTGTGATTCGAGACTGGGATTGCCTCCTGCAGTGGCGGATCCGCCCGTGTAATAGTCATAAATTCAGCGCGAGCGGAGTGCTTTAGGAGGGAGAGGATGTACAGTAGGTGCGAATAGAGAAGCGGGAGTTGTTGGCTGTTATAGACAGACACAGTAGAATGGTGTGGGGATGTTGAGGGGGTTTTATATGGCCGTTTATACACTATGACCCTACTACAGCTACTCACGAGGGGACAGTTTCCCCCGCCTTGAGTCAGGGTTGTCTCATCACGTCATCTCATATCGGGTAATCAATGGTAGGATGAATTCCGGTGGGACGGAATACAGAAAAAGCGTGCTGCTGCTGTAGTGTGATGAGTGGGATGACAAGCTAGAGAGACTTCTGGTGTCTTCCAACTGGTGATAACCCTCGAGACTGATTTCTGGTTGCTTGTAGCGGTACAGGAACTTACAGTACAGACTCCGGAAAGTAACCTCGGATCTTCCCGGCAGCACTAAGCCCTAAGCCCAGGAGATTGAATCTCTCACCGGAAGCGGAAATGCATGCAAAGTCACTATGTTGTGCGATAGCGAAGTTTGCATTGAAGCGCTAGTGACATAAGTTAATCGACGCTATTTGGTCGGAAAAGCTTGATTTATCCTTCAGTAGTCTGGTGAGATTTCCGACTCCAGCGGGGTTATCAACTGCGACGCCTCTCAGCCGCTGCGCATAGCTAGCATGGGTGTCTTCAGCCTGAGAGGTGAAAGACGCATCAACCGTGTGAATAGTATACAAAGAATAACTGATCGGATTAAAAGATAAGATGGAGACTCATTTTCAGCACTATAGACAATAGGAAGATGAAGAGGCAGAGATTCCGTACTACCTGAGCCTCCAATATTGTATCGCGACGAAGGTACGCAGTAGTTGTCGACTATACTTCATATTTATCAGCTTCTTTTCTATGTGAACAAAGCTGGAGACCCTTGTAAGGATGGTTGTACAAAAGTGAAAAAGATCCCTAGGATACACTACCAATAGCATTACTTATCTCGACGCTTCCAAAAATAACCCCACTTACTACTAGGGAGTATATAACTTCTACTCACCTTTATGCCAACTATAGTCTAGGGTTGTGGAGCCTGAAGCAGAACAAAGCCACGGTCTCTTTCTCGTTCTCACTCACTTTCTTCACTACTAATGTAGTGTCAGTCTCCCCTCGTCAGCAACATTTTGCTCAGACCTCAGACTTGTCCAACTCATCTCTTCCCTATCACCCTCACAGCTACCCAGACTTGACACCATCTGCGACAGCTCGAAATCTCCGTCCCATCTCCACCCTTTTCAAGAACACTACAAGCAAAACCCCCATAGCTAAGTAATAAACCCCCCCAAATGCAACCCTTTCTCCCACGGACTCCCCGAGACCCACACCCACGGCACTCTATTTTGTCACCACCCAAATCTCACCCTCCCCACCCGCGGAGTTCTCCTCCGCCTCAGGCTCGTAATCACCGCCCAGCAGGCCATGTATGACAGCACATAACCACAGTCTTTGGGTGAATCTTCGAACCGGGGATCTGCAGATCGTGTTTCGGGGGGGGAGGGAAGGGGGGTAAAATGAAATCGAGGAGTCAGGAAGGAAAAGGGCTTCTCCCCGGCTAGTCTCGAAGAGGAATCAGGCTTTTGTGGTATTGTAACTAAGTTTCGATCTTCCCAGATGATCTCCCGCGGTCTTGTTGGATTTGGAATTCTGAGGTTTATTTAGTAGCTTGGGTCTATGGAATACAGCCGGGGGAGCTACAGACAAGCACGCATGGGGGTTGGCGGGGTGTTCCCGAAGGTGGGAAGGGGATGAGCGGTTTGCAAATAGCAGGTCGGACCAATTATGCGAGACAATCGGTACTCAAAGACATGGATCTTGATTAAATGTCCCGGGGAGAGCGAGGACAAACTACGGGCAGGATGGATGGACGTCATTCAGAGGGTATATACCCGTGGGAGAGTCCCCCATCGTCCACTCCGGCAGGAGCCGGTCGGTGGGCGCCGCAGTGGCCTCGGTGGGGCTCTATGGGTCTCTTTCTCCCCCCTCCCCCCCCCCCCAACATCAATTAGGCCCAACTTCAAATGTGGATCTATGGAGGTCCAGAGGATGTCATGACGATTGTTACCCATGTCTCTGTATTTCTGGCATTCCCTGGTGCTGGTGCTGTCAGCTTATGTTAGAGGAAGAGGGTAGAGATGGGAGCCCGGAAAGCGGAGGACAGGCTACTATTGTGTAACGATTGTATAGGAGATATTGACTGCATAGAATATTAATGGATTAAATGGTTAATCCCGGTCGAGGATCAAAGCCAACACTAATGATACATTATATCTAACATCGCAAGTAACACGCTGTGGATCTAACGCTTTTTAGATTCCAACGATTCCAACCCAGAATTGTAAGAAACAGAAAATCAACCCTAACGCCAAGAACTACCCATGTC